CTGAGTGTCGTCTGCATAGTTATGATAGGAAACTTTGTTTCTGCGTATTAACTGACCTAACGGCAGCATGTAGAGATTGAACAGAAGAGGTCCCAGGATCGACCCCTGTGGGACTCCACAGGTCAGGGCCATATGATCTGAGACACAGTTTCCAATCTCCACAAAGTACTTCCTGTCTTCAAGGTAAGACCTAAACCAACTTAGGGCGGTGCCAGTGACGCCAACCCAGTCCTCTAGTCTCTGTAAGAGGATCTCATGGTCGACGGTGTCAAAGGCAGCACTCAGATCTAACAAGATTAAGATTGAGACTTTGCCTGCGTCAGTGTTCAGCCGGATATCGTTTGTAACCTTAACGAGAGCAGTCTCAGTGCTGTGGTGGGGTCTAAAGCCGGACTGAAACATATCAAATGAGTTGTTGATTATAAGAAATCTAGTAAGCTGTAGGTAGACAACTTTCTCAAGGACTTTCCCCATAAATGGCAGATTTGAGATGGGACGATAGTTGTTAAGTACAGTGGCATCCAGACTGCTCTTTTTTAGCAGGGGCCTGATGACTGCAGTTTTCAGGGCCTTTGGGAATATTCCAGAATGAAGGGACATGTTTACTATCTGTGTGAGTGAAGGTAACAGACTGCTCAGAACAGACTTCAGAAATCTAGTGGGTAGTACATCCAGGCTGCATGTGGAGGAGCTCAAACTGGAGATTATCTCTTGGACAGTTTTATCATTTACAGGTGCAAAGTGAGTTAGCTCAGAGAGCCTTTCTGGCTGTTGGATGGTTATCTGTGGATTGGAGACAATGGCGCTTTTGATGCCTTGAACCTTGTCATTGAAAAAATTAGCAAACTCATTGCATTTACGTTTGGAAGTAAGCTCTAATGGCATTTGAACAGGGGGGTTTGTTAATCTATTAACTGTTGAGAACAGAACACGCAGATTGTTGCTGCAGCCTTCAATCATTTCAGAAAAATACCTTTCTCTCGTACTACGTAGCACCCGGTTAAACTCGCACAACTTATCTTTGAAGATCTCGTAATCTACCTGGAGGTTGGACTTGCGTCACTTCCGCTCGGCCCTCCGGCACTTTCTCTTTTGTGCCCTGACCGAGTCTGCTTTAGCCCACGGCGCCTTCTGCTTATTTTTCACTATTTTAACCTTCACAGGGGCAACGGTATCCAGAACATTCAAAACACTAGAGGTGACAGAGTTAAACAGTTCATCTACAGTAGAATACGATGCATTCTCAAAGTTTATCATTTCCATAAATAGTTCACTCGTATTTTCATTTATGCGCCTTCTTCGAACAGTTGCAGAGTCCACTGGTGGTTTGTTAGTGAAACACATGTCAAAAAAAACACAGAAATGATCCGAAAGAGCAACATCGACCACGTTTACATTTGAAATAATCACCCCCTTTGTAACTAACAGATCTAGAGTGTGCCCTCTGCTGTGGGTGGGGCCACTTACGTGCTGAGTGAGATCAAAGGATTCAAGTACAGAACTCAGCTCATTTGCATTTCTGTCATCAACATTATCCACATGAATATTAAAATCACCTGTAATAACCAAACTATCAAAATCTGTGCATACAACTGAAAGCAACTCGGTAAAATGATCAATAAAACTGTGACATGACTGCGGTGGCTTGTATAGGACAACGAAGAGTATTGGAGGAGATTGTTTTTGTTGTATTTTAAAAGACACATATTCAAATGACGAAAACTTCCCAAGAGACATTCTATGGGAGACAAAGTGGTCTCTAAAAATGGCAGCTAAGCCTCCTCCTTTTTTGTTTTCCCGTATTTCAGATTCAAACTTGAAATTTGGTGGTGATGCTTCTATTAAAACTGCATTTTCTGAATTTTGGTCAAGCCAAGTTTCAGCCATGAACATAAGATCAAGATTATGAGAAGAAATAAAATTATTGATTAAAAAAGACTTGTTACAAAGAGATCTGACATTAAGCGTAGCAAGTTTCAAAGTTTCAGTATCAGCGGTTGCGGTCGGCTGATTCTTACACGGAACAAGAATTAGATTTTCCAGATTAGACTGATTAACTCCAGATGTTTTTCTGTAATGTATTCTTTGTGTTATCACTAAGGGAATGGCACAGGTGGCTTCATGACAGGGCCCCAGCCGGGTCTCTCCTCTAACTAGACTGCCAGTGGCTGCGAAGCAGAGACCCTGTGCATCCTAGTGTTTAGAGAAAAGAGGGGTAGGGGAAGGCGGGGGAGGAGGATGGAGAGGTGGGTGGCTTTTGGGTGTTGAACGAGGGGGGCAGGGAGGTGGATGGGTTTTTGGTGATGGGTTAGGGGAGGGGCAGGCTGAGTTGGGTGGTGGACGAGGGGGGAGTGGAGGTGGAGGGTTTCTTGGTGCTGAGTTAGGGGGGGGGAGGTGGGCTAAATGAGCAGGAGGGGGGGGTGGAATACTTATGGGGTTAGAGGAGGGACGGGTGGATTTTGTGGGAGAATTTGAGTTGGACGCCCTAGGTGGCTTTGGAGGTACGTATGGGGAGTAGTTTTGAATGTTAGATAGGACTCTTGATCTGGCTACAGTGGGTGTGAGAGGAATAGTCTTCATCGCCGATCTTATCATGCCTGCAGAGTGTTCCGGTAAATCCAGTAGTGAAGGCGGGGATAGAAAACAAAGGGAAAGGTCGTCCTCATTTTCCCTAGATGGAGTGGATGTAGCGGGGGGGACCCAAGCCGGGTCCATGGAAGGTGATGAGGGAGTCTTTGGTGGAGACAGAGGTGGTTGAGGAACCCCCAGTACAGGCCTGACTGTAGCCTGGAGTAATGGGGGAAGCTTCACGGGAGCTGTAGGTGGGGAAGGTGCTGCTGAAGATGACGGAGCAGCCACTGCTGCTGCTGAAGATGATGGAGCAGCCACTGCTGCTGCTGAAGATGATGGAGCAGCCACTGCTGCGGCTGTATCCACTGCTGCTGCTGAAGATGATGGAGCAGCCACTGCTGCTGCTGTATCCACTGCTGCTGGTGAAGATGATGGAGCAGCCACTGCTGCTGCTGAAGATGATGGAGCAGCCACTGCTGCGGCTGTATCCACTGCTGCTGGTGGTGCTGTATATGCTGATGGCGCTGATGAAGATGTGGCAGCTGCTGATGATGCTGGGGGTGGAGGCGTTGAGCTCTTTCGAAGCCGTGGAGGTGTTGAGTTCTTTTGGAACCTTGGAGGTGTTGAGTTCTTCTTGAATCGTGGAGGTGTGGAGTTCTTTTGAGGCGGTGGGGGTGCAGAGACCTCGGGAGTCGGTGGAGATGGTCGTGATGTCTGTGCCCTTTGCTTCTTCTTTCTCCCTTTCAACGGCTGCACGCGCTGCGGAGGCTGAGGTCTTAGGGCAGATGCAAAGTTATCCATCAGCACTTTTACTCCGTAGTTGTTCAGATGTGGGCCTTTTTCTTCAAAAAGCTCGTGCCTATTCCAGAACAGATTAAAGTTTTCAATGAAGCCAAGTCCTCTGCGTGAACACTCATTGAGTAGGAATGTGTTTAGCTGATACAGACGGCTAAACTTCTCCATTTTTCCATCTATATTTGGCAGTGGGCCACTAAGAAAAATTGTTATGTCCATTTTCTTGAGGTCATCCAGTAACAGCGTTAAATCCATTCGTAACTTCTCGCTTGCCTTCTCATAGATATCTACCGCCCCCGTGTGGATCAATAATGTACGCACACCACTGTTCTCAGATAACACTTTAGGCAGGAGAGTTCTTATCTCAGCAACTTTAGCAGAGTGAACTGAGACAGTGAGCATGGACTCCATGTTTACATTTTTCACCGAGCCATCTCCGATAAGGACACAGTTTGTCCTTGGTGGAGGCGCTGCAGTTTTTAGCAGCTTTGTTGTAGAGACTACTGCTGATTCATCTTCCAAAAGTGGTGAAAAGCGGTTTCTTGTAATTAAAGATTTTTGCTGTGGCATTATGACACTCTTGTTATCATTAGCTTTGCCTTGTTTGGGCTTGGCACCATATGTGTTCCAACAATTGTCTCTGTTGATTTTGGGAAATGAAATAGCGTCATCATAACTTACGTTCTGTCCATGTGGTCCATTTCCTTTCACTGGTATTGTTGTGTTCAGCCCCAATTCTGATTCAAGCACAAACATTCGGTCTTGAAGAAGTTTTAGCTCCTGTTTGAGTGAAAAACAGCCGTCGCAAAGTTTTGTTCTTTCCCGTCCTCCCGACATGCTGTAAGTTAGGTAAATTCCACAAGTCTTGTGTTGAAGTTTGTAAAAAGGAGTAATCCGTGTTTTGTGGAATAAAAATGTAAGCAAAAATGATTAAAGGAGATAAAAAAGCAGCAAGCGAGGAGCAGCACGAGAATGCGACTGCTCTGTCCAGAAGCAGGAAGCAGGAGGGGCGTGGCCTAATGAAGGGGCCTGTCCAAATGTAGGGGGCGTGGCCTAATGAAGGGGCCTGTTCAAATGTAGGGGGCGTAGCCTAATGAAGGGGCCTGTCCAAATTCCTCGGAATTAAAACAATCTGATGCATTTACTGTTCCCCGTGTTGCAATCAAAGCCTCATGAGAGAACACATGAGAAAACCAAAGAGAGAGAGACCAGAGAGAGAGACCAGAGAGAGACCAGAGAGAGACCAGAGTGAGTGACCAGAGTGAGAGATCAGAGTGAGAGACCAGAGTGAGACACCAGAGAGAGAGAGACCAGAGAGAGAGAGACCAGAGAGAGAGAGACCAGAGAGAGAGAGATCAGAGTGAGAGATCAGAGAGAGAGACCAGAGAGAGACCAGAGTGAGTGACCAGAGTGAGAGATCAGAGTGAGACACCAGAGAGAGAGAGACCAGAGAGAGAGACCAGAGTGAGAGATCAGAGTGAGAGACCAGAGTGAGACACCAGAGAGAGAGACCAGAGTGAGAGACCAGAGTAAGAGATCAGAGTGAGAGACCAGAGTGAGACACCAGAGAGAGAGACCAGAGTGAGACACCAGAGTGAGAGACCAGAGTTAACACACGTGAGTCAGATTTACATATGAAGGTGATTAAACAAGAGACACCTCCCGAGACGCTTCTCTGAATGACAAGACAGGAGCAGAAACAGAACCTTTTCTTCTGACACAAGAGAAGCCATCTTGTGTCTGTCTCTGTCCGAGAGGAGCCATCTTGTGTCTGTCTCTGTCTGGGAGGAGCCATCTTGTGTCTGTCTCTGTCTGGGAGGAGCCATCTTGTGTCTGTCTCTGTCTGAGAGGAGCCATCTTGTGTCTGTCTCTGTCTGAGAGGAGCCATCTTGTGTCTGTCTCTGTCTGAGAGGAGCCATCTTGTGTCTGTCTCTGTCTGAGAGGAGCCATCTTGTGTCTGTATCTTTCTCTGAATCCCTGTGAGTCAGTATCTGTCTCAGGGCCCTGTGAGTCCGTATCTGTCTCAGGGCCCTGTGAGTCAATATCTGTCTCAGGGCCCTGTGAGTCAGTATCTGTCTCAGGTCCCTGTGAGTCAGTATCTACCTGTCCCCGTGAGTCAGTATATACCTGTCCCTGTGAGTCTGTATCTGTCTCAGGGCCCTGTGAGTCAGTATCTACCTTTCCCTGTGAGTCTGTATCTGTCTCAGGTCCCTGTGAGTCTGTATCTGTCTCAGGGCCCTGTGAGTCAGTATCTACCTGTCCCCGTGAGTCAGTATATACCTGTCCCTGTGAGTCAGTATCTACCTGTCCCTGTGAGTCAGTATATACCTGTCCCTGTGAGTCAGTATCTACCTGTCCCTGTGAGTCAGTATCTACCTGTCCCTGTGAGTCCGTATCTGTCTCAGGTCCCTGTGAGTCAGTATCTACCTGTCCCTGTGAGTCAGTATCTACCTGTCCCTGTGAGTCAGTATCTACCTGTCCCTGTGAGTCCGTATCTGTCTCAGGTCCCTGTGAGTCTGTATCTGTCTCAGGGCCCTGTGAGTCTGTATCTGTCTCAGGGCCCTGTGAGTCCGTATCTGTCTCAGGTCCCTGTGAGTCAGTATATACCTGTCCCTGTGAGTCAGTATATACCTGTCCCTGTGAGTCAGTATATACCTGTCCCTGTGAGTCAGTATCTGTCGCAGGGCCCTGTGAGTCAGGGCCCCGTGTCTGCGTAGGTTTCCTCCGGGTACTCCGGTTTCCCCTACCACTAAAAATATGTCCAATAGTTCTGGCATGTGCCTCCTGTACTGGCCCCGCTCCCATCTCTGTGTGGAGTGAGAGACAAATGCCCAAAAATTAACAATTGTAAACCGCTTTGAGACTCAGATCTGCAGTGAAAAGGCGGTATATAAATAAATACTTACTTACTTACTTACTTACTTACTATCTACCTGTCCCTGTGAGTCTGTATCTGTCTCAGGGCCCTGTGAGTCCGTATCTGTCTCAGGGCCCTGTGAGTCCGTATCTGTCTCAGGGCCCCGTGAGTCAGTATATACCTGTCCCTGTGAGTCTGTATCTGTCTCAGGGCCCTGTGAGTCAGTATATACCTGTCCCTGTGAGTCAGTATATACCTGTCCCTGTGAGTCCGTATCTGTCTCAGGGCCCTGTGAGTCAGTATATACCTGTCCCTGTGAGTCCGTATCTGTCTCAGGGCCCTGTGAGTCCGTATCTGTCTCAGGGCCCTGTGAGTCAGTATATACCTGTCCCCGTGAGTCAGTATATACCTGTCCCTGTGAGTCTGTATCTGTCTCAGGGCCCTGTGAGTCAGTATATACCTGTCCCTGTGAGTCCGTATCTGTCTCAGGGCCCTGTGAGTCCGTATCTGTCTCACCTGTCCCCGTGAGTCAGTATATACCTGTCCCTGTGAGTCTGTATCTGTCTCAGGGCCCTGTGAGTCAGTATATACCTGTCCCTGTGAGTCCGTATCTGTCTCAGGGCCCTGTGAGTCCGTATCTGTCTCAGGGCCCTGTGAGTCAGTATATACCTGTCCCCGTGAGTCAGTATATACCTGTCCCTGTGAGTCCGTATCTGTCTCAGGGCCCTGTGAGTCAGTATATACCTGTCCCTGTGAGTCCGTATCTGTCTCAGGGCCCTGTGAGTCTGTATCTGTCTCAGGGCCCTGTGAGTCCGTATCTGTCTCAGGGCCCTGTGAGTCAGTATCTACCTGTCCCTGTGAGTCAGTATCTACCTGTCCCTGTGAGTCTGTATCTGTCTCAGGGCCCTGTGAGTCAGTTTATACCTGTCCCTGTGAGTCTGTATCTGTCTCAGGGCCCTGTGAGTCAGTATATACCTGTCCCTGTGAGTCTGTATCTGTCTCAGGGCCCTGTGAGTCCGTATCTGTCTCAGGGCCCTGTGAGTCTGTATCTGTCTCAGGGCCCTGTGAGTCAGTATATACCTGTCCCTGTGAGTCTGTATCTGTCTCAGGGCCCTGTGAGTCTGTATCTGTCTCAGGGCCCTGTGAGTCTGTATCTGTCTCAGGGCCCTGTGAGTCAGTATCTACCTGTCCCTGTGAGTCAGTATCTACCTGTCCCTGTGAGTCAGTATCTGTCTCAGGTCCCTGTGAGTCAGTGTTTCCGTTCATCATGGACAGATATCCTGACATCTCCTCGTGCTGAGAGGAGGAGAGCAGCCATTACACTCATCTGCATGTGTTAATATGATTAATTAGCGAGAATAAACACTTTCCTTCGACACGGCGAGGCGGCGGCGGCGAGGCGGAGACACGGCGAGGCGCGCACCTGCACCGCTCCTGATAAAAGACAACGCCTCGTGGCACGGAGCCTTTTCTGCAGAGCTGCTAATTGGCAACTGCAAACGTTCTGGCTAATTAGCAGGAGGCAGATGAGGCCTGATTAGTTTGAATGCAGAGTGTAACTTGTGCGGCGCAGACGGGAAAAGGAAGCAGAGGGGAAAAGGAAGCAGAGGGGAAAAGGAAGCAGAGGGGAAAAGGAAGCAGAGGGGAAAAGGAAGCAGAGGGGAAAAGGAAGCATAAGGGAAAAGGAAGCAGAGGGGAAAAGGAAGCAGAGGGGAAAAGGAAGCATAAGGGAAAAGGAAGCAGAGGGGAAAAGGAAGCAGAGGGGAAAAGGAAGCAGAGGAGAAAAGGAAGCAGAGGGGAAAAGGAAGCAGAGGGGAAAAGGAAGCAGAGATTTTTATTTCTCGATACAGAGATAATTGTAATTGTGAGGATTTGCATACGTTAATGAATTTGGTGACGCTCCTTGATCAGACGTGGAATAAATAATGAAGCAGGAGCAGGGTCGAGCCGCGACAAGACGGAGTACTCTCTCACAGCGAGAGAGAGACCAGAAAGAGACCAGAGAGAGAGGAGAGAGAGAGACCAGAAAGAGAGGAGAGAGAGAGACCAGAGAGAGAGAGACCATAGAGAGAGAGACCAGAGATAGACCAGAGAGAGACCAGAGAGAGACCATAGAGAGAGAGACCATAGAGAGACCATAGAGAGAGACCAGAGAGAGACCAGAGAGAGACCAGAGAGAGAGAGACCATAGAGAGACCAGAGAGAGAGACCAGAGAGAGACCAGGGAGAGACCAGAGAGAGAGACCAGAGATAGAGAGAGACCAGAGAGAGACCAGAGAGAGACCAGAGATAGACCAGAGAGAGACCAGAGAGAGACCAGGGAGAGACCAGAGAGAGAGACCAGAGAGAGACCAGAGAGAGACCAGAGAGAGACCAGAGATAGACCAGAGAGAGACCAGAGAGAGACCATAGAGAGAGACCAGAGAGAGACCATAGAGAGAGAGATCAGAGAGACCAGAGAGAGAGAGACCAGAGAGAGACCAGAGAGAACCCAGAGAGAGACCATGGAGAGAGAGACCAGAGAGAGACCATAGAGAGACCATAGAGAGACCATAGACAGAGAGACCATAGAGAGAGAGACCAGAGAGAGACCATAGAGAGAGAGACCAGAAAGAGACCAGAGAGCGGTCCACCATGTAAGTCATGTGGTAATTAACATGTCGTCGCTTCTTCAGTCGTTGTGTCTCAATAGAACTTTTTAAAGACATAATAAACAGAACATATGAGTAAAAGGTGGAGATGGAAGCCCCCCGTGGAGCAGAGGCTGCTGGGGGCTGTAGTCCCATCACGGTAAACAGTAAATACATCACATTGTTGCTAATGCCCCCACTGAAAGATCAAGGCTATGCTCACACTCAGAGAGCAGCCGTCCTCCTGTGGACTCACCACCTGCAGAGGGTCAGTGAGGGGCTGGTGCTATGAGACTTGGGTGGTCTCTCTGACTGCCACCCCCCTGACCCAGAAATGGATTAAAGGGAAGAAAATGGATGGATGGATGGATGTTGCTAATGCCCAGGACAGGCACAGGCCACGCCCCTTTAATTGGACTGTTCCAGATTAGCTTTTATTATTAGCATCCCGTAATAATGTTGCACCCCGAGGAAATATGAGCCTTAGCAGGAGATGTTTACAAATGTTACAACTTATGGTCCGAGCAGAGACCAGAGAGAGACCAGAGAGAGACCAGAGAGACCAGAGAGAGACCAGAGAGAGACCAGAGAGAGGCCAGAGAGAGACCAGAGAGAGACCAGAGAGAGACCAGAGAGAGACCAGAGAGACAAGAGAGAGACCAGAGAGAGACCAGAGAGAGAGACCAGAGAGAGACCAGGGAGAGACCAGAGAGAGAGACCAGAGAGAGACCAGAGAGACAAGAGAGAGACCAGAGAGAGACCAGAGAGAGAGACCAGAGAGAGACCAGAGAGAGACCAGAGAGAGAGACCAGAGAGAGACCAGAGAGAGAGACCAGAGAGAGACCAGGGAGAGACCAGAGAGAGAGACCAGAGAGAGACCAGAGAGACAAGAGAGAGACCAGAGAGAGACCAGAGAGAGAGACCAGAGAGAGACCAGGGAGAGACCAGAGAGAGAGACCAGAGAGAGACCAGAGAGACAAGAGAGAGACCAGAGAGAGACCAGAGAGAGAGACCAGAGAGAGACCAGAGAGAGACCAGAGAGAGAGACCAGAGAGAGACCAGAGAGAGACCAGAGAGAGACCAGAGAGAGAGACCAGAGAGAGACCAGAGAGACAAGAGAGAGACCAGAGAGAGACCAGAGAGAGAGACCAGAGAGAGACCAGAGAGAGACCAGAGAGAGAGACCAGAGAGAGGCCAGAGAGAGACCAGAGAGAGACCAGAGAGAGACCAGAGAGAGACCAGAGAGAGACCAGAGAGAGACCAGAGAGAGACCAGAGAGAGACCAGAGAGAGAGACCAGAGAGAGACCAGAGAGAGACCAGAGAGAGACCAGAGAGAGACCAGAGAGAGACCAGAGAGAGACCAGAGAGAGACCAGAGAGAGACCAGAGAGAGACCAGAGAGAGAGACCAGAGAGAGACCAGAGAGAGACCAGAGAGAGACCAGAGAGAGACCAGAGAGAGACCAGAGAGAGACCAGAGAGAGAGACCAGAGAGAGACCAGAGAGAGACCAGAGAGAGACCAGAGAGAGACCAGAGAGAGATCAGGGAGAGACCAGAGAGAGACCAGAGAGAGACCAGAGAGAGACCAGAGATAGACCAGAGAGAGATCAGGGAGAGACCAGAGAGAGACCAGAGAGAGACCAGAGAGAGAGTCCAGTGTTCATGTGCAACAGTCCGACAGTGGCCTTTTACAACAGGCACTTGCGGGGCCTACTAAATCAGGTCCTTGCTCTCCCCGGTTCCTGTCTTGTCTCTCTTTCTCAGGTCTCTGTCTGGTCTCTCTTTCTGCTCTAACTGGTCTCTCTCAGTTTTCTCTCTGGTCTCTTTCTGATCTCTCTCAGGTCTCTCTGGTCTCTCTCAGGTCTCTCTCTGCTCTCTCTCTCTCTCTGGTCTCTCTGGTCGCTCTCTCTCTCTGGTCTCTCTCTCTGGTCTCTCTCAGGTCTCTCTCTGGTCTCTCTCTCTCAGGTCTCTCAGGTCTCTCTCTGGTCTCTCTCTCTCTCTCTCTCAGGTCTCTCTCTCTGGTCTCTCTCAGGTCTGGTCTCTCTCTCTGGTCTCTCTCTGGTCTCTCTCAGGTCTCTCTGGTCTCTCTCTCCCTCAGGTCTCTCTCTGCTCTCTCTCTCTCTCTGGTCTCTCTGGTCGCTCTCTCTCTCTGGTCTCTCTCAGGTCTCTCTCTGGTCTCTCTCTCTCAGGTCTCTCAGGTCTCTCTCTGGTCTCTCTCTCTCAGGTCTCTCAGGTCTCTCTCAGGTCTCTCTCTCTCTCAGGGTCTCTCTCTGGTCTCTCTCTCTCTCAGGTCTCTCAGGTCTCTCTCTCTCTCAGGTCTCTCTCTCTCTCAGGTCTCTCAGGTCTCTCTCTCTCAGGTCTCTCTCTCCTGTCTCTCCTGTCTCTCTCTCTCCTCTCTCTCCTCTCTCTCTCCTCTCTCTCCTGTCTCTCCTCTCTCCTCTCTCTCTCTCTCTCCTCTCTCTCTCCTCTCTCTGGTCTCTCTCTCTCTCCTCTCTCTCCTCTCTCTCTCCTCTCTCTCCTGTCTCTCTCTCTCCTCTCTCTCTCTACAGCATGGGGGTTTCTCTGCATGACTGACACCAACACAAACACAGTTCAGCTGTCTCACATTTTCAGGAAGACTGTTCTGCATAAACCTGTGGCTCATGTGTTGCTTCTGTAGCGGTCGATGTGTTGGTGTTCTCTCCTGACGTGTTACAGAGGTTTCTCTCCTCACGTGTTACAGAGGTTTCTCTCCTCACGTGTTACAGAGGTTTCTCTCCTCACGTGTTACAGAGGATTCATGTTTAATCCAATTTCATTAACCTCTGGTAAAACAGTTACATTTATATACAGGACTTTTGTACTCTCTCTCTCTGGTCTCTCTCTCTGGTCTCTCTCTCTGGTCTCTCTCTCCCTGGTCTCTCCCTGATCTCTCTCTGGTCTCTCTGTCTCTAGTCTCTCTCTCTCTTGTCTCTCTCTGGTCTCTCTCTCTCTAGTCTCTCTCTCTGGTCTCTCTGTCTCTAGTCTCTCTCTCTCTAGTCTCTCTCTGGTCTCTCTCTCTCTAGTCTCTCTTTCTCTCTGGTCTCTCCCTGGTCTCTTTCTGGTCTCTCTCTCTCTCTAGTCTCTCTCTCTCAGGTCTCTCTCTGTCTCTAGTCTCTCTGTCTCTAGTCTCTCTCTCTCTGGTCTCTCTGTCTCTAGTCTCTCTCTTCCTGGTCTCTCTCACTGTAGAGGATGTGCAGTTCTCAGAGGTGTGTGAGGAGTGGACTCTGTGACTTTAAAACATTTATATTTTTGGTGAAATTAGTTCTACTCAATCTATGTCTGTGTCAGCAGCTCCCTCTGGTGGCAACAGAGGGAGTTTCAGGCATGATTTACCCAGTCTCTCTGGTTTCTCTCTGGTCTCTCTCTGGTCTCTCTCTGGTTTCTCTCTGGTCTCTCTCTGGTCTCTCTCTGGTCTCTCTCTGGTCTCTCTCTCTGGTCTCTCTCTGGTCTCTCTCTGGTCTCTCTCTGGTCTCTCTCTGGTCTCTCTCTGGTCATACTTGATAACAAAGTCAGATCAAACATAGTTCTTCTTTAAGTCTCTCTCTAAAACCTACACTTACTCTTCTCTTCTCTCTCTCCTCCTCCATTTCTCTCACCCCTTTTTACTTTGAGTCCTCCCCCTTCCATCACTCCCCCCTCCCCCCCCTCACATGTGCGTAGGCCTGGCCAGCCCCTTCCCTGGCCAGCAGCCCCATGATTGGTTAGAGGAGGTGTCTGACGAGCAGGACGCAGCCTCTGATTGGTTGAACACTTTCTTCACCTTCCTGTACGGAGTCATAAGTCCCTCGGACAGCGACGAGACCGAGGAGGACGAGGAGGAGCGGAGACACGGGCGAGCGGACAGCCTGAGGGACGAAGACGAAGAGGAGGACGAGGAAGACGAGCGAGAGAGACAAACGAGGAGAGAGTCCAAGCTGGGCCAGAAGGTCGTCATCGTCGGACTTCAGAACCAATAACAGCGAGAGAGAACTTTATGTGCCTTGGACGCAATCTGGTTCTGGTCTCTCTCTGGTCTCTCTCTGGTCTCTCTCTCCGGTCTCTCTCTCTGGTCTCTCTCTCTGGTCTCTCTCTGGTCTCTCTCTGGTCTCTCTCTGGTCTCTCTGGTCTCTCTCTCTGTTCTCTCATTCTCTCTTTCTCTCTCTTTCACTAAGGATTAGGAGCGAGAGAGACAAACGAGGAGAGAGTCCAAGCTGGGCCAGAAGGTTGTCATCGTCAGACTTCAGAACCAACAGCAGCGAGAGAGAACTAACTGATCTACTCTTTTTCCTTGGACGAACAATCCTCCTGCTCCTTGTTTCTGTCGCCCCCTTCTGGTCACTCTGTCATAGACCATATTTATACAGAAAGATATTACTATAAACATATTCTAGACACTGCTACTGGTGTAGAGTCATGGGAGAGAGAGACCAGAGAGAGAGACCAGAGAGAGAGACCAGAGAGAGAGACCAGAGAGAGAGACCAGAGAGAGAGACCAGAGAGAGAGACCAGGGAGAGACCAGAGAGAGAGACCAGAGAGAGAGACCAGAAAGAGAGACCCAGAGAGAGAGAGAGACCAGAGAGAGAGAGAGACCAGCGAGAGAGAGACCAGAGAGAGAGACCAGAGAGAGAGACCAGAGAGAGACCAGCGAGAGAGACCAGGGAGAGACCAGAGAGAGAGACCAGAGAGAGAGAGACCAGAGAGAGAGAGACCAGAGAGAGAGACCAGAGAGAGAGACCAGCGAGAGAGACCAGGGAGAGACCAGAAAGAGAGACCAGAGAGAGAGAGACCAGAGAGAGACCAGCGAGAGAGACCAGGGAGAGACCAGAGAGAGAGACCAGAGAGAGAGAGACCAGAGAGAGAGACCAGAGAGAGAGACCAGCAAGAGAGAGACCAGCGAGAGAGAGACTAGAGAGAGAGAGACCAGAGAGAGAGAGACCAGAGAGAGAGACCAGAGAGAGAGACCAGAGAGAGAGACTAGAGAGAGAGACCAGAGAGAGAGACCAGAGAGAGAGACCAGCGAGAGAGAGACCAGAGAGAGAGACCAGAGAGAGACCAGAGAGAGAGACCAGAGAGAGAGACCAGCGAGAGAGAGACCAGAGAGAGAGACCAGAGGGAGACCAGAGAGAGACCAGAGAGAGAGACCAGAGAGAGAACGGTCAAGGATTCCAGAGAAATGATCTCTAAACTCAGACCAGAATCTGACTTCAGTTTCCACAGTTTCCTGGACATAGATTTCTGCTCCTCCACAGTGTGAACGTTGTGATGTCACATGAACACAACCTCCTGCTCTTTACGTTTCACTCTGAGGAACCAACCGGACCCTCCCCTACCCTCTCCCCCCTCCCCCTCTCTCTCCCCCCTCCCCTCTCTCTCCCCCCTCCCCCCTCCCTCTCTCCCCCCTCCCCCTCTCTCTCCCCCCTCCCCTCCCCTCTCCCCTCTCCCCTCCCCCCTCCCTCTCTCCCCCCCCCCCCCCCCTCCCTCCCCCCCAGGTCAGTCAGTCAGTCAGTCCTAACACATGTGTCCACAGGAGAGAGTACAGAGACAGGTGCAGATGTTTGGTAGAATGGGGTCAGTAAAAGCTCAGGTATCTAACTTTCAGACTCTACTGTAACTGTCTGGACTATGAAGCGCTCTTGTACAGAACTCAGCCCAAAGAGTCAAATATTGACTCTCAGGGATTTACGGACCCCAGCTTTAAAGTGCATTTACTGTTTGTTCATGACCACTTCATATCAGCTGCTCGTCAGAAATAAACATGTTTTTATCATTTGTTTTGAAAGATTGGCCTCAGATGGTATGAGAAACCATCGATGCAGCTGGTTGCATGTCTGCAGTGACGTCTCCTGTGTGTGCCTGAGGCTGCGCTGCCCCCACAGGCCGCCTGCAGAACTACAGCTGCATTTCATTTCCTGTCTTTGTTTTGTGTCAGATGAGAAACCTGGAGCTGAGGCCACAGCAGGAGCTAAGACCAGTACCATGAAAGGTACTGAGTGGAGTTTGCATGTTCTCCCCGTGCCTGCGTAGGTTTCCTCCGGATACTCCGGTTTCCCCTACCACTAAAACATGCACACTAGGTTAAAGTAGTACTAGAATTTAATATGCTGCTATCCAGAATATATAACTACAATATGTGTTTATAATATTTCGGGTGTTCATTTTGACATGTTCAGATGAATTATGTTAAAAAAACAGCTTTAAAGTGGCACCTTTTCACAAACGCTAGGGGGCGCCAAAATGGCGGCGATGACGTAGGAGAAGGACCTCTCACAGCAGCAGCAGCAGTCTGGGCTGAATCTGTAGGAGGTTTCACTGTCATCTGAACAAGGTATAAACCATAGACTGTATATATTAACGGACAGAGTCACGCCTATCTCCGCCGTTCTAACTAATGGGCCAAAAGATTAGCTCGACTGGACCAAGCCCCAGCGATCCAAGATGGCGCCCTATTCAAATGAATGGTTGTGCTCAGTGGCGCTTTGTGACGGCATGGGGGCTGAAAGATCTTTGGGAAACTCACCTGTATTTGGGCCTCGTCTGGTCCTCCCGGTTCTGTGCAGTGGATGATCTCCCATAATGCATTGTGTCAAACACGCGTGTGTGGGTCTCACACCGGGTCTCACACATGTGCACAGAGGGTCTCACACACGTGCACAGAGGGGCTCGGCCGCGCTCTGACCAATCAGAGCAGTTCATCAGAGCGGGAGTTAGAGCCAGAGCCAGACGAGCAGAGTTTGTGGCACTAAAGTGTGGATTTAAACAAAACCGAAGGATTTAAGAAGAAACAAAGTTCAGGACGACAAGGGACACTAAAATCCCCACAAAATCTGACCTTTATGAAAGCTGTAGGTTCTCTGTCAGGTTCTCTGTAGGTTCTCTGTCAGGTTCTCTGTAGGTTCTCTGTCAGGTTCTCTGTCAGGTTCTCTGTCAGGTTCTCTGTCAGGTTCTCTGTCAGGTTCTCTGTCAGGTTCTCTGTCAGGTTCTCTGTCAGGTTCTCTGTCAGGTTCTCTGTCAGGTTCTCTGTAGGTTCTCTGTCAGGTTCTCTGTCAGGTTCTCTGTCAGGTTCTCTGTCAGGTTCTCTGTCAGGTTCTCTGTCAGGTTCTCTGTCAGCTGAGGTTGAGCTGTTTTAATATGCATTGAGTCCTATGGGGAAAATGTCTGGGTAGCCCACGTGAATTTAGTCTGGTTCAGTCTGGTTCAGTCTGCAGTACCGCGAGAATCCCCCGAGTGTAATCACCCACATTCATTCATTCATTCATTCATTCATTCATGAATGAATGAATGAATGAATATTAGCCTTGTTAGAATGTTTTATGATATCAAGTAGAGTTAGCTAACTTGCCCAACACTAATTAGCTTGAATCTCACAAATAAGGCTAAAAGGTTAAAAGAGTTGCACACTATTATGTACAAAACTGATGTAAACATGTTTATACCTTGTTCAGATGACAGTGAAACCTCCTACAGATTCAGCCCAGACTGCTGCTGCTGCTGTGAGAGGTCCTTCTCCTACGTCATCGCCGACATTTTGGCGCCCCCTAGCGTTTGTTAAAAGGTGCCACTTTAAAGCTGTTTTTTTAACATAATTCATCTGAACATATCAAAATGAACACCCGAAACATTATAAACACATATTGTAGTTATATATTCTGGATAGCAGCATATTCAGTTTTAGAACTACGGTAAATCCTCCAGCTTTGGTCCTGACCCAGACCATCAACATCTGATGGTTCCCAGGCACTGTTACTACGACAACCACTGCTCCTGACGTTAGCTTTAGGGTATCAGGGTCAAATGTAGAGGACGAATTTACCTTTAGGTACTATGAAAGGTACCATAAAAGGTACCATGAGAAGTACCATGAGAGTGCAGTGTGCGTTCCAACTAACCATGGTTGAGTTTTGATGTGGTTTTCCTTGTTTTGGAAACTAAAATATAGAATGAACTAGGTCTCTCTCTTTCTGGTCTCTCTGGTCTATCTCTGGTCTTGCTCTCTTTAGTCTCTCTCTCTGGCTCTGGTCTCTCTCTCTCTCTCTGGTCTCTCTCTGGCTCTGGTCTCCCTCTCTCTCTCTCTGGTCTCTCTCTCTCTGGTCTCTCTCTCTGGTCTCTCTCTGGTCTCCCTCTCTCTCTCTCTGGTCTCTCTCTGGTCTCCCTCTCTCTCTCTCTGGTCTCTCTCTCTCTCTGGTCTCTCTCTCTGGTCTCTCTCTGGTCTCTCTCTGGTCTCTCTCTGGTCTCTCTCTCTGGTCTCTCTCTGGTCTCTCTCTGGCTCTGGTCTCCCTCTCTCTCTCTCTGGTCTCTCTCTGGTCTCTCTCTGGTCTCTCTCTGGTCTCTCTCTGGTCTCTCTCTCTGGTCTCTCTCTGGTCTCCCTCTCTCTCTCTCTGGACTCTCTCTGGTCTCTCTCTGGTCTCTCTCTGGCTCTGGTCTCTCTCTGGTCTCTCTCTGGACTCTCTCTGGTCTCTGCACCATGGTGGTTGGTTCAGGACTTCCTGGTCTCGGTGTGGCACCAGTGACCGGTGTAAACAGTGTAAACACTGCATGGATCTGAGTGCAGGATAACTGCCTGTTGCATTTGACCCGTCGAGTGACTCCTGCCGTGTTTTGCCGTGACCCATAATAACGGCATGTTCCTCCACCTCCCCCACGGCGTCCTCTCACCCGCCTCTCCCCCCAGAGCCTCACCCGTCTCCCCCGTCCCACCATAAGCTGCGCGAGGCGCTGAAGCTGCAGCTGTCTGTGATCCGGGAGCGGGTGGAGGCCAAGAGACTGGCCCGCATGGCCCTGACCCAAGTCCGGCTGCTCCTGGAGGAGGAGCAGGAGCAGAGAGCCGTGGAGCTGGGGCGGGCCAACATGTCCGAGCGGGTCATGGAGCGGGTCGCACGGAGGCTGAGGCGCGAGGAGGAGCGCATGGAGGAGGAGGAGGTGCAGAAAGCCCTGAAGAAGAGGAGAGAGGAGGAGGTGCAGAAAGCCCTGGAGAAAAGGAGAGAGGAGGAGGTGCAGAAAGCCCTGGAGAAAAGGAGAGAGGAGGAGGTGCAGAAAGCCCTGGAGAAAAGGAGAGAGGAGGAGGTGCAGAAAGCCCTGGAGAAAAGGAGAGAGGAGGAGAGAAACCAGACCCAAGGGGAGAACCTGAAGACCAGAGGGGAGGAGGAGAAGCCAGAGAGGAGGTCCGAGGGGAGAGCGAAGGAGCGACCCAAGAGGAGCCGAGCTGAGAAGAGCTAGGCCGAAGCAGGACATTCACCGCTCACAGCTTCAGGCGTTTGTTTGACCTGAGAAGAAACAGGATTCATTAGTTATTTACAATAGACCACATCAGAGTGTGACATCACCACAGTGTGACATCACCACAGTGTGACATCACCACAGTGTGACATCACCACAGTGTGACATCACCACAGTGTGACATCACCACAGTGTGACATCACCACAGAGTGACATCACCACAGTGTGACATCACCACAGTGTGACATCACCACAGTGTGACATCACCACAGAGTGACATCACCACAGTGTGACATCACCACAGTGTGACATCACCACAGTGTGACATCACTGGTTTGGTTTGACGCTGTTAGCTTCGCGCTATAGCAGGGGTTGCTAAGGCAAACTGGTCTCTCTCTGGTCTCTCTCTGGTCTCTCTCTCTTGTCTCTCTCTGGTCTCTCTCTGGTCTCTCTCTCTTGTCTCTCTCTTGTCTCTCTCTGGTCTCTCTCTGGTCTCTCTCTGGTCTCTCTCTCTGGTCTCTCTCTGGTCTCTCTCTCTTGTCTCTCTCTGGTCTCTCTCTGGTCTCTCTCTGGTCTCTCTCTCTGGTCTCTCTCTGGTCTCTCTCTCTTGTCTCTCTCTGGTCTCTCTCTGGTCTCTCTCTCTTGTCTCTCTCTGGTCTCTCTCTGGTCTCTCTCTCTTGTCTCTCTCTGGTCTCTCTCTGGTCTCTCTCTGGTCTCCCTCTCTGGTCTCTCTCTGGTCTCTCTCTCTTGTCTCTCTCTGGTCTCTCTCTCTGGTCTCTCTCTGGTCTCTCTCTGGTCTCTCTCTCTGGTCTCTCTCTCTGGTCTCTCTCTCTGGTCTCTCTCTGGTCTCTCTCTGGTCTCTCTCTGGTCTCTCTCTCTTGTCTCTCTCTGGTCTCTCTCTGGTCTCTCTCTCTGGTCTCTCTCTGGTCTCTCTCTGGTCTCTCTCTTGTCTCTCTCTGGTCTCTCTCTGGTCTCTCTCTGGCCTCTCTCTGGTCTCTCTCTCTGGTCTCTCTCTGGTCTCTCTCTGGTCTCTCTCTCTTGTCTCTCTCTGGTCTCTCTCTGGTCTCTCTCTCTTGTCTCTCTCTGGTCTCTCTCTGGTCTCTCTCTGGTCTCTCTCTCTTGTCTCTCTCTGGTCTCTCTCTGGTCTCTCCCTCTCTGGTCTCTCTCTCTGGTCTCTCTCTCTTGTCTCTCTCTGGTCTCTCTCTCTGGTCTCTCTCTGGTCTCTCTCTCTTGTCTCTCTCTGGTCTCTCTCTGGTCTCTCTCTCTTGTCTCTCTCTGGTCTCTCTCTGGTCTCTCTCTCTTGTCTCTCTCTGGTCTCTCTCTGGTCTCTCTCTCTTGTCTCTCTCTGGTCTCTCTCTGGTCTCTCCCTCTCTGGTCTCTCTCTCTGGTCTCTCTCTCTGGTCTCTCTCTCTGGTCTCTCTCTCTGGTCTCTCTCTCTGGTCTCTCTCTGGAATTAGAGTGTGACATCACAGTGTTAGCACTAAAGCTGAAGAAGCTGATTTGAACATAAGCTGGAGCCAGTTTCCTTATATGGGCATTTGTTTGTGACGTTAGCGTAGCGCCTCAAAACCTGTTGCTAAGACGAGCTGGAGGCGAGCTGGAGTTTCCCACTGAATGAAGGCCTCTGATTGGTCGATCCACATATCTATATTTACAAAGACACGTACACTATGACCTCACAGACAGAGCTCGTCTCTAAACTCACCTCAGTCTCTCTCCTTCATCAAACTGATGGTTGTAAAAGCAGCGTGTATGTTCCCACTTCCACCACCAGAGGGCGTGTTGCTCCGTCCAGCCATCTCATACTCCATTAAACTTGTGTATCCATATATTTTGTACTTAAAGTATTTCACATTTACAAACAGAAGGTCTTAAGGCTCCGACATGATTCTAGATTCAACACCATGTGACGTTCATGTGATTAAATGAATCTCCCATCGATGGTTGTGTCTCTTTTCTCTGGTTCACTCAGTTATAAACGTTAGCATCTGGGAACGATTTAGACGCTCTTATACAGACCTATACACACTGACTACACACACAGACCCTTACACACACAGACCCATACACACTACACACACAGACCCTTACACACACAGACCCATACACACTACACACACAGACCCTTACACACACAGACCCATACACACTACACACACAGACCCTTACACACACAGACCCATACACACTACACACACAGACCCTTACACACACAGACCCATACACACTACACACACAGACCCTTACACACTACACACACAGACCCATACACACTACACACACAGACCCATACACACTACACACACAGACCCATACACACTACACACACAGACCCATACACACTACACACACAGACCCATACACACTACACACACAGACCCTTACACACTACACACACAGACCCATACACACAGACACACACAGACCCATACACACTACACACACAGACCCATACACACTACACACACAGACCCATACACACTACACACACAGACCCTTACACACTACACACACACAGACCCATACACACTACACACACAGACCCATACACACTACACACACAGACCCATACACACACAGACCCATACACACTACACACACAGACCCATACACACTACACACACAGACCTATACACACTACACACACAGACCCATACACACACAGACCTATACACACTACACACACAGACCCTTACACACACAGACCCATACACACTACACACACAGACCCATGTACACTACACACACAGACCCATACACACTACACACACAAACCCTTACACACTACACACACAGACCCATGCACACACAGACCCATACACACTACACACACAGACCCATACACACTACACACACAGACCCATACACACTACACACACAGACCCTTACAGACCCATACACACTACACACACAGACCCATACACACTACACACACAGACCCATACACACTACACACACAGACCCATACACACTACATACACAGACCCATACACACTACACACACAGACCCATACACACTACACACACAGACCCATACACACTACACAAACAGACCCATACACACTACACACACAGACCCTTACACACACAGACCCATACACACTACACACACAGACCTATACACACACAGACCTATACACACTACACACACAGACCCTTACACACACAGACCCATACACACTACACACACAGACCCATACACACTACACACACAGACCCATACACACTACACACACAGACCCTTACACACACAGACCCATACACACTACACACACAGACCCATACACACTACACACACAGACCCATACACACTACACACACAGACCCTTACACACACAGACCCATACACACTACACACACAGACCCATACACACTACACACACAGACCCATACACACTACACACACAGACCCATACACACTACACACACAGACCCATACACACTACACACACAGACCCATACACACTACACACACAGACCTATACACACTACACACACAGACCCATACACACACAGACCTATACACACTACACACACAGACCCTTACACACACAGACCCATACACACTACACACACAGACCCATGTACACTACACACACAGACCCATACACACTACACACACAAACCCTTACACACACACACACACAGACCCATGCACACACAGACCCATACACACTACACACACAGACCCATACACACTACACACACAGACCCTTACAGACCCATACACACTACACACACAGACCCATACACACTACACACACAGACCCATACACACTACACACACAGACCCATACACACTACATACACAGACCCATACACACTACACACACAGACCCATACACACTACACACACAGACCCATACACACTACACAAACAGACCCATACACACTGCACACACTGACCCATACACACACAGACCCATACACACTACACACACAGACCCATGCACACACAGACCCATACACACACAGACCCATACACACTACACACACAGACCCATACACACAGACACACACAGACCCATACACACTACACACACAGACCCATACACACTACACACACAGACCCATACACACTACACACACAGACCCATACACACAGACACACACAGACCCATACACACTACACACACAGACCCATACACACTACACACACACACAGACCCATGCACACTACACACACAGACAAATGCACACACAGACCCATACACACAGACACACACAGACCCATACACACTACACACACAGACCCATACACACTACACACACAGACCCATACACACTACACACACAGACCCATACACACACAGACCCATGCACACTACACACACAGACCCATACACACTACACACACAGACCCTTACACACACAGACCTATACACACTACACACACAGACCCTTACACACACAGACCTATACACACTACACACACAGACCCTTACACACACAGACCCATACACACTACACACACAGACCCTTACACACACAGACCCATACACACTACACACACAGACCCTTACACACAAACACACACAGACCCATACACACTACACACACAGACCCATGCACACACAGACCCATACACACACCACACACAGACCCATACACACTACACACACAGACCCATACACACTACACACACAGACCCATACACACTACACACACAGACCCATACACACAGACACACACAGACCCATACACACTACACACACAGACCCATACACACTACACACACAGACCCATACACACTACACACACAGACCCATACACACACAGACCCATGCACACTACACACACAGACCCATACACACTACACACACAGACCCATACACACAGACACACACAGACCCATACACACTACACACACAGACCCATACACACTACACACACAGACCCATGCACACTACACACACAGACCCATACACACACAGACCCATACACACTACACACACAGACCCCATACACACACAGACCCATGCACACTACACACACAGACCCATACACACACAGACCCATACACACTACACACACAGACCCATACACACTACACACACAGACCCATACACACTACACACACAGACCCATACACACTACACACACAGACCCATACACACTACACACACAGACCCATACACACACAGACCCATGCACACTACACACACAGACCCATACACACTACACACACAGACCCATACACACTACACACACAGACCCATACACACTACACACACAGACCCATACACACTACACACACAGACCCATACACACTACACACACAGACCCATACACACACAGACCCATGCACACTACACACACAGACCCATACACACACAGACCCATACACACTACACACACAGACCCATACACACTACACACACAGACCCATACACACTACACACACAGACCCATGCACACTACACACACAGACCCATACACACACAGACCCATACACACTACACACACAGACCCATACACACAGAAACACACAGCCCTCTCTGAGGCCGTCACTCCATGTTCTTCTTCAACACTTTTTAAAAATATATTTTTCCATTATTTTTAAAACTGTCAGTGAGAGATGTCAGTGTCAGTGAGAGGTGTCAGTGAGAGGTGTCAGTGTCAGTGAGAGGTGTCAGTGAGAGATGTCAGTGTCAGTGAGAGATGTCAGTGTCAGTGAGAGGTGTCAGTGTCAGTGAGAGATGTCTGTGTCAATGAGAGATGTCAGTGAGAGATGTCAGTGTCAGTGAGAGATGTCAGTGTCAGTGAGAGATGTCAGTGTCAGTGAGAGATGTCAGTGTCAGTGAGAGATGGTCTGTGTCTGTGAGAGATGTCATTGTCAGTGAGAGATGTCAGTGAGAGATGTCAGTGTCAGTGAGAGATGTCTGTGTCAGTGAGAGATGTCAGTGAGAGATGTCAGTGAGAGATGTCAGTGAGAGATGTCAGTGTCAGTGAGAGATGTCAGTGTCAGTGAGAGATGTCTGTGTCAGTGAGAGATGTCAGTGTCAGTGAGAGATGTATGTGTCAGTGAGAGAGGTCTGTGTCAGTGAGAGATGTCAGTGAGAGATGTCATTGTCAGTGAGAGATGTCAGTATCAGTGAGAGATGTCACTGTCAGTGAGAGATGTCAGTGAGAGATGTCTGTGTCAGTGAGAGATGTCAGTGTCAGTGAGAGATGTCTGTGTCAGTGAGAGATGTCTGTGTCAGTGAGAGATGTCAGTGTCAGTGAGAGATGTCAATGTCAGTGAGAGATGTCTGTGTCAGTGAGAGATGTCACTGTCAGTGAGAGATGTCAGTGTCAGTGAGAGATGTCTGTGTCAGTGAGAGATGTCAGTGTCAGTGAGAGATGTCACTGTCAGTGAGAGATGTCAGTGTCAGTGAGAGATGTCACTGTCAGTGAGAGATGTCAGTGTTAGTGAGAGATGTCTGTGTCAGTGAGAGATGTCAGTGAGAGATGTCAGTGAGAGATGTCAGTGTCAGTGAGAGATGTCTGTGTCAGTGAGAGATGTCAGTGAGAGATGTCAGTGTCAGTGAGAGATGTCAGTGTTAGTGAGAGATGTCAGTGAGAGATGTCAGTGTCAGTGAGAGATGTCAGTGAGAGATGTCAGTGTCAGTGAGAGATGTCAGTGAGCGATGTCAGTGTCAGTGAGAGATGTCAGTGTCAGTGAGAGATGTCAGTGAGAGATGTCAGTGTCAGTGAGAGATGTCTGTGTCAGTGAGAGATGTCAGTGAGAGATGTCAGTGTCAGTGAGAGATGTCAGTGTCAGTGAGAGATGTCAGTGTCAGTGAGAGGTGTCAGTGTCAGTGAGAGGTGTCAGTGAGAGATGTCAGTGAGAGATGTCAGTGTCAGTGAGAGATGTCAGTGAGAGATGTCAGTGTCAGTGAGAGATGTCAGTGTCAGTGAGATATGTCAGTGTCAGTGAGAGATGTCAGTGTCAGTGAGAGATGTCAGTGTCAGTGAGAGATGTCAGTGAGAGATGTCAGTGTCAGTGAGAGATGTCAGTGTCAGTGAGAGATGTCAGTGTCAGTGAGAGATGTCAGTGTCAGTGAGAGATGTCAGTGTCAGTGAGAGATGTCAGTGAGAGATGTCAGTGTCAGTGAGAGATGTCAGTGTCAGTGAGATATGTCAGTGAGAGATGTCAGTGAGATATGTCAGTGTCAGTGAGAGATGTCAGTGAGAGATGTTAGTGTCAGTGAGAGATGTCAGTGTCAGTGAGAGATGTCAGTGAGAGATGTCAGTGTCAGTGAGAGATGTCAGTGAGAGATGTTAGTGTCAGTGAGAGATGTCAGTGTCAGTGAGAGATGTCAGTGAGAGATGTCAGTGTTAGTGAGAGATGTCAGTGAGAGATGTCAGTGTCAGTGAGAGATGTCAGTGAGAGATGTCACTGTCAGTGAGAGATGTCAGTGTCAGTGAGAGATGTCAGTGTCAGTGAGAGATGTCAGTGAGAGATGTTAGTGTCAGTGAGAGATGTCAGTGTCAGTGAGAGATGTCAGTGAGAGATGTCAGTGTCAGTGAGAGATGTCAGTGTCAGTGAGAGATGTCAGTGTCAGTGAGATATGTCAGTGTCAGTGAGAGATGTCAGTGAGAGATGTCACTGTCAGTGAGAGATGTCAGTGTCAGTGAGAGATGTCTGTGTCAGTGAGAGATGTCACTGTCAGTGAGAGATGTCAGTGAGAGATGTCAGTGTCAGTGAGAGATGTCAGTGTCAGTGAGATATGTCAGTGTCAGTGAGAGATGTCAGTGAGAGATGTCACTGTCAGTGAGATATGTCAGTGTCAGTGAGAGGTGTCAGTGAGAGATGTCAGTGAGAGATGTCAGTGTCAGTGAGATATGTCAGTGAGAGATGTCAGTGAGAGATGTCAGTGTCAGTGAGATATGTCAGTGAGATATGTCAGTGTCAGTGAGAGATGTCAGTGTCAGTGAGAGATGTCAGTGAGAGATGTCAGTGTCAGTGAGAGATGTCAGTGAGAGATGTCAGTGTCAGTGAGAGATGTCAGTGTCAGTGAGAGATGTCAGTGAGAGATGTCAGTGTCAGTGAGAGATGTCAGTGAGAGATGTCTGTGAGATTATCACACTTCCCTCTCCTCAGTGGGAGCCGTGACATTAACTACATTTGCCTGAGTTCATCTTTTCACTGGTTCTTTGTGAGTTTGATTTTGAACCAACTCCGACATAAACAAAGAAATAATAAAATCCTAAATAAGAGTTTGTTCCGTGCTCAGGTCTGAAGGAGAAGGAGGAGGTCGTCCTGCGGCGGGAGGAGGCTGTGGAGGAGGCTGTGGAGGAGACTCGGCAAGGTATGTGACATCACAGGGTGTGACATCACAGGGTGTGACATCACAGGGTGTGACATCACAGGGTGTGACATCCCAGGGGACACTAGTTCAGTCCTTCTATAAAACTGGGCAGTCTGTGGTTTCCATGTTTCAAAAACTAAACTAATAACTAGATAAATAATATTTACAGAAGTAAAGTAGACATAGTGCAGATTCCTCATAATCGTCTGTGTGTGTGTGTGTCTGTGTCCTGTGTCTGTGTGTGTGTGTCCGTGTGTGTGTCTATGTGTGTGTCTGTGTGTGTGTGTGTGTGTATGTGTCCTGTGTGTGTGTCCGTGTGTGTGTCTATGTGTGTGTCTGTGTCCTGTGTCTGTGTGTGTGTCTGTGTCCTTTGTCTGTGTGTGTGTCCGTGTGTGTGTCTATGTGTGTGTCTGTGTCCTGTGTCTGTGTGTGTGTCTGTGTCCTGTGTATGTGTGTGTGTCCGTGTGTGTGTCTATGTGTGTGTCTGTGTCCTGTGTTTGTGTGTGTGTCCGTGTGTGTGTCTATGTGTGTGTCTGTGTCTGTGTGTGTGTGTGTGTGTATGTGTGTGTGTCTGTAAATGTGTGTGTGTCTGTGTGTGTGTTGTTGTGTCTGTTGTTGCGTCTGTGTCCTGTGTGTGTGTGTCTGTGTCCTGTGTCTGTGTGTGTGTGTGTGTGTGTATGTGTGTGTGTCTGTAAATGTGTGTGTGTCTGTGTGTGTGTTGTTGTGTCTGTGTGTGTGTGTCTGTGTCCTGTGTCTGTGTGTGTGTGTCTGTGTCCTGTGTGTGTGTGCGTGTGTGTGTGCGTGTGTGTGTGTGTGTGTCCGTGTGTGTGTGTGTCTGCAGCGGTGATAGAGCCAGACCCCGTGCCCGTGGAGGAGGAGGTGATCCCCGCGGCTGTGGCAGAGGAGACCGCTGCTGTTCCAGGTCAGTGTGACGGCTCCACCTGCTGGACAAACACTGGTACTGCAGCAGAATACAGGCTTTTGTTTCAGTGTAGAAGCACTGCAGCTGGTGTTCAGGCTTCTCTCAAAGGTACATCAGGTCTGAACACCTTCCAAGTCAAAGGTACATCAGGTCTGAACACCTTCCAAGTCAAAGGTACATCAGGTCTGAACACCTTCCAAGTCAAAGGTACATCAGGTCTGAACACCTTCCAAGTCAAAAGAACATCAGGTCTGAACACCTTCCAACAGTATTCAGCCATGAGCCCCATTTCCACCAGCCCCACCCTGCTGTATTCTACTCTACTCTGCTTATTATTTGCCTGTCAAATTAAAAGTAAGGCCTCACAAGAAGAAGGAAATCTGCACTAAATGCATTCAAATGGCACTTCTAGACTGGGCTCAGACCTGTTTCTGTCCTGTCTGACCCTGGTTCAGACCTGACCAGTCCTAGTCCAGTCCTGGTGCAGACCCATGGTTCAGACGGAATGAGGCCAAAGATACAAAAAACACAACTACATGTTTCATATTCAAACCATTGTTTCTGTGTAGATCCTGAACGGGAGCCAGAGCCTGAACCGGAGCCAGAGCCCGAAGCTGAGCCAGAGCCCGAAGCTGAGCCAGAGCCTGAGCCCGAAGAGGTGTGTGTGTGTGTGTGTGTGTGTGTGTGTGTGTGTGTGTGTGTGTGTGTGTGTGTGTGTGTGTGTGTGTGTGTGTGTGTGTACGCGTGTTTAACTATTCAAAACAACCATCACAAACAAATCCAAAGCAAGGTGTGATCTGCAGGTGATCGAGGAGGAACCTGAGATCCTGGAGGAGGAGCTTCCAGCTGAAGAGGAGGAGGCTCCAGCAGTGGAGGAGGAGGAGGAGGCTCCAGCTGTGGAGGAGGAAGAGGAGGCTCCAGCAGTGGAGGAGGAGGAGGAGGCTCCAGCAGTGGAGGAGGAAGAGGAGGCTCCAGCAGTGGAGGAGGAAGAGGAGGCTCCAGCAGTGGAGGAGGAGGAAGAGGAGGCTCCAGCAGTGGAGGAGGAGCCAGCAGTGGAGGAGGCTCCAGTTGAGGAGGTGAGGGACAGAACATCTGGACTGGCAGAGCGGGGGGGCAGGAGAAGTTCACAAACTGGAGACAGTGAGATGTGGAAGGACGGGTCAAATGCAAAGTGGTCTAGACACGGGAGACAAACCTTAAAGGGCAGGCGCAGGTTTTAGCTCTATCCTGAGTCAGTCCAGACTCCACCGTGTCCTCGAGTCCCACAGGGACTGGGACCGTCTGTGGCCGGACCTGAGGTTGTCGGGATCAAAATCTGCACATCCAAATCCAAGGGTCAGGGTTCTGGACCATATGGTCACTCTCTCTCTCTGGTCTCTCTCTGGTCTCTCTCTGGTCTCTCTCTGGTCTCTCTCTGGTCTCTCTCTGGTCTCTCTCTGGTCTCTCTCTGGTCTCTCTCTGGTCTCTCTCTGGTCTCTAACCTCTGTTTCGTTTCCAGGCTGCAGTAGAAGAAGAGCCAGTTGTGGATGCAGTCGCAGAAGAGCTGACCAGACAAGTGGAGGCCGCACTGGAGGAAGCTGCTGCTGAAGAGGAACCAGCTGAAGAGGAACCAGCAGAGGAGGAACCAGCTGAAGAGGAACCAGCTGAAGAGGAACCAGCAGAGGAGGAACCAGCAGAAGAGGAACCAGCAGAAGAGGAACCAGCAGAACCAGCTGAGGAAGAACTGTCTGAAGAGGAGGCTCCTGCAGCAGAGGAAGAGGTTCCACAAGCCGATGAACCAGTGGAAGAACCAGTGGACGAACCAGTGGACGAACCGATTGAAGATGTTGTTGAGGAACCTTTGGAAGCCGAGGAAGAGGCAGCTGAGGAGGAGGCAGCTGAGGAAGAGGTAGCAGAAGTGGAGGCTCCGGCTGAGGAGGAGGTGGAGGAGGAGGAGGCAGCTGAGGAAGAGGTAGCAGAAGTGGAGGCTCCGGCTGAGGAGGAGGTGGAGGAGGAGGAGGCAGCAGAAGAAGAAGAAACAACGCAAGAAGAAGCGGAAGAAGAAGTTTTGGAGGAAGAGCAGGCTCCGTCAGAGGAAGAGGAGGAGGCAGCGACAGGTCAGTAGTTCTTACACATGGTCCTGAAACATGAGTCAGAAGGTCATGACACATAGTTAGATGTAGGTAGGTCTCTCTCTCTGGTCTCTCTCTCTGGTCCCTCTCTCTCTCTGGTCTCTCTCTGGTCTCTCTCGCTGGTCTCTCTCTCTCTGGTCTCTCTCTGGTCTCTCTCGCTGGTCTCTCTCTCTCTGGTCTCTCTCTCTGGTCTCTCTCTGGTCTCTCTCTGGTCTCTCTCGCTGGTCTCTCTCTCTCTGGTCTCTCTCTCTGGTCCCTCTCTCTCTCTGGTCTCTCTCTGGTCTCTCTCTCTGGTCTCTCTCTGGTCTCTCTCTCTGGTCTCTCTCTCTCTGGTCTCTCTCTCTGGTCTCTCTCTCTGGTCTCTCTCTGGTCTCTCTCTCTGGTTTCTCTGGTCTCTCTCTGGTCTCTCTGGTCTCTCTCTCTGGTCTCTCTCTCTGGTTTCTCTGGTCTCTCTCTCTGGTCTCTCTCTGGTCTCTCTCTCTGGTCTCTCTCTGGTCTCTCTCTGGTCTCTCTCTCTGGTCTCTCTCTCTGGTCTCTCTCTCTGGTTTCTCTGGTCTCTCTCTCTGGTCTTTCTCTCTGGTCTCTCTCTGGTCTCTCTCTCTGGTCTTTCTCTCTGGTCTCTCTCTGGTCTCTCTCTCTGGTCTCTCTCTGGTCTCTCTCTGGTCTCTCTCTCTGGTCTTTCTCTCTGGTCTCTCTCTGGTCTCTCTCTCTGGTCTTTCTCTCTGGTCTCTCTCTGGTCTCTCTCTGGTCTCTCTCTCTGGTCTCTCTCTCTGGTTTCTCTGGTCTCTCTCTCTGGTCTTTCTCTCTGGTCTCTCTCTGGTCTCTCTCTCTGGTCTTTCTCTCTGGTCTCTCTCTGGTCTCTTTCTCTGGTCTCTCTCTGGTCTCTCTCTGGTCTCTCTCTCTGGTCTCTCTCTGGTCTCTCTCTCTGGTCTTTCTCTCTGGTCTCTCTCTGGTCTCTCTCTGGTCTTTCTCTCTGGTCTCTCTCTGGTCTCTCTCTGGTCTCTCTCTGGTTTCTCTGGTCTCTCTCTCTGGTCTTTCTCTCTGGTCTCTCTCTGGTCTCTCTCTCTGGTCTCTCTCTCTGGTCTCTCTCTCTCTGGTCTCTCTCTGGTCTCTCTCTCTGGTCTCTCTGGTCTCTCTCTCTGGTCTCTCTCTGGTCTCTCTCTCTGGTCTCTCTCTCTGGTCTCTCTCTGGTCTCTCTCTCTGGTCTCTCTCTGGTCTCTCTCTCTGGTCTCTCTCTCTGGTCTCTCTCTGGTCTCTCTCTGGTCTCTCTCTGGTCTCTCTCTCTGGTCTCTCTCTCTGGTCTCTCTCTGGTCTCTCTCTCTGGTCTCTCTCTGGTCTCTCTCTCTGGTCTCTCTCTGGTCTCTCTCTCTGGTTTCTCTGGTCTCTCTCTGGTCTCTCTCTCTGGTTTCTCTGGTCTCTCTCTGGTCTCTCTCTCTGGTTTCTCTGGTCTCTCTCTGGTCTCTCTCTCTGGTTTCTCTGGTCTCTCTCTGGTCTCTCTCTCTGGTTTCTCTGGTCTCTCTCTCTTAGTGACGCGGGTCATCTTTTTTTACAACCCGACCCGCCCGACCCAGACAAGTGAGCATTGATTTCTCAACCCGGCCCAACCCGAACCCGCGGACATTAATACTACCGTTTTGCTTTTCAAATACAAAGGACAACTCTTTTTCAGATAAAACAACCACATAAAATGTTTAATTGACTGAATAAATAAAGGTCAATTTAAAGAACGGAACGGGAAAGGCAAGCCTATATTATTAACATTTGCATAACATTTCCATAACATTTGCATAACATTTACATGGGTTCTGAATCTGAACAATTAACTATTAATGTCAGGCTTATTATTGACATTTTATTTAGCTTATTTCGCTGCACTATGAAGGAGGAGAATAGAGTCCACAGTTCCAGGATTCAGTCTATTCCTTCTAGCCTCCAGCACACGACCCGCAGAGCTGAAAGTTCGCTCACTGGAAGCGCTTGTGGCCGGGATGCACAAAACGGCTTTTGCCACAAGTGACAAACTTGGGTAATCACGTTGGTGATCTTTCCAAAAAGAGAGAACATCCTTAAAGCAATCTTCGAGGGAGAAATGATTGTTAATATAACGCTGAACGTCATCATCGGCCTCATACAGCTCTGCTGGTGTGTCTTCCCACTCAGCAAAAAGCCGACACCTTTTCTCTGGCATTCCTACAATAATAAAAAATACATAAATATAATAATCATAATGAAGATGCTTTCTAAAATTTTAGAAAGCTGTAGTGTAAACTATTCATTTTACCTTCAAACGGCTTCTCATCTGCCAAACTTCTCTCGCTTGCCTCCATCTCCTCCGCTACCACTAAATAATAAATATATACACTCAATCAGAAATATTTGCTATCTATTTTGAGATGTTACACATATCATATAGGCTAAGCATGCGTAATGTGTAGCCTGCGCGTACATACGCACCTGCTTCAGAAGGCCTCTGTTGTGATGACAACACCGTCATCAGTCTACGCGCCTCTGTGTGGACTACGCATCTGTCATCGGGCTGGAGCATTTTGAGGCTTTTAAAGCGGGGAGTCAGGAAGGTGGCGATCTTGTGGGTGTTGGTCACGATTCATTTTTCGTTTAACAACATCCCTGCGCTGTTGCAAATGTAATCAAGGTATTCAGGACTCTCACTCCGTGGCTCACAGTGCACTTTGAGCTTAGTGTACCAAAGAAGCACGGTGTTGATGGTGGGATAGCGATCGCCTTCCATTTCATCTGATGCATCTTTGAAAATGGACAAAAAGTTGCCGACTGTCTTCAGCACTTCTACTTGGATGCCATTCAAACGGTGTCCTTGCTCCTTGACCTCAAGCAGCTCGAGGATCTGCCTGTACTGTTTAACCACGGAGTTTATCATCGCAACTTTAGTGTTCCACCTTGTTTCGCTTTCCTGTGTGACCGCGTAAGGCAGGCTGAGTGTTCCACCAGACTTTTTGAGGTAAGTAACCAACGCTTTGCACTTGTGTATTTGATTCGTGACAAGACTCATAAATGCTGGCGCATCTTTTTCCTCAAATGTATGTTTCAGGATGTTGTTAAGGATATGTGCGGCGCATGGCATCCAGGAGTCATTTTTCAGAGGAGCTTTTATATTGGGCCCCTGATCTGTGACAAAAACAACCCTGGCAAGGTGCTGGGGAGACACGCCGATGTCTATTAACTCCTTGCTTATCTGGTCGTGTATGTTTGCAGCAGTTTTCTTCTCGTTGGCATCGAACTCCAAAGTACAGATTACGCGACACAGTAGTATCCACTCCTCAGTGATCAAGTGACATGTCAGCGCTGTGTATGATCGCATATTAAATCCATCTGTCCACATATCTGTAGTGATGCCAATCCCATGATCAAGCGCATTGTTAATCACTTCACATAAAGCGGCCTTTTCGAGTTTGGCCTTATCCTCTGCCCTGTCACAAACTGTCTGTCTGTGAGGAATCACGGAGTCTGCATCCACAGAGCCATATTTGGCTCCAATATTGATGAGTCCCTGTGCCACACTGGTGAAGCCTTTGCCTGAGACAATGTCGAATGGGCGCAAGTCAGCGCAACAGAAATCCACAAAATGATCTACAAGTTTGGATTTTGCAGAGAGGGGCACTTTATTCTGAATAAAGGATGTAATCCGAAGCTGCTGTACGTGCGCAGTTGTCTCACCGTCACAGCGATGACGAATCAGATTTGATGTGCCAGTCTTGTGGCTGTCGTACCTGTACAATGCCCTACAAGTTAAGCAAATTACATGGTCTGCAGTAGAACCACCTGGTAGAACGATTTGTCCAAATTTCTCCCAAGCTTTACTCTTCTTGCCTTCCTTTTTCACAACTTTAGCCTCCCCTGTTTTTAATGTCTCTCTTATCAAATCCGCCATGGTGCAAGCTAAATCAATCTGGGTTAAATTGCCGCTCTAAGCTAGGCCTGTACGGATGCCCTTCGTCCAAATAACGAAACATAAGCGCAATTTCAAAACTATAGCTACTGCTAGCTAGCTAGCCTATTATATACATATATATATATATATATATATATATATATAATGTATGTGTGTTGTGTGTGTTGTAGCGTGCCACAGTAGTAGTGTTCTTCTGTTCTCTCAAATGTAGTGTTATATGCCATGGACTGTTAAGTGCTTACCATGACAGAGCTCACCATCTCAATTGATAAGTACCCTATGCTTTCTGTGTGCAGCGGTGTAAAATGAAATGATAGACGTTGAGCTCCACCTTGTGGTGAGGAGTTGTGCACGGCACAAAGAGCATGATGGTGTGATACTCATTATTTTGACTTCAATAATACATATCTTGGCCCGACCCGCCCGCACCCAACTTTAGCCGTATATATGAATGTTAGACCCGCCCGAAACCGCAACGCCCGCGGGTTTAGGGTTGACCCGCGCATCACTACTCTCTCTGGTCTCTCTCTCTGGTCTCTCTCTGGTCTCTCTCTGGTCTCTCTCTGGTCTCTCTCTCTGGTCTCTCTCTGGTCTCTCTCTGGTCTCTCTCTGGTCTCTCTCTGGTCTCTCTCTGGTCTCTCTCTGGTCTCTCTCTCTCTGGTCTCTCTCTGGTCTCTCTCTGGTCTCTCTCTCTGGTCTCTCTCTCTGGTCTCTCTCTGGGTCTCTCTCTCTGGTCTCTCTCTGGTCTCTCTCTCTGGTCTCTCTCTGGTCTCTCTCTGGTCTCTCTCTGGTCTCTCTCTCTGGTCTCTCTCTGGTCTCTCTCTGGTCTCTCTCTCTGGTCTCTCTCTGGTCTCTCTCTGGTCTCTCTCTCTGGTCTCTCTCTGGTCTCTCTCTCTGGTCTCTCTCTGGTCTCTCTCTGGTCTCTCTCTGGTCTCTCTCTCTCTCTGGTCTCTCTCTTTGGTCTCTCTCTGGTCTCTCTCTGGTCTCTCTCTGGTCTCTCTCTCTGGTCTCTCTCTGGTCTCTCTCTGGTCTCTCTCTCTGGTCTCTCTCTCTGGTCTCTCTCTGGTCTCTCTCTGGTCTCTCTCTCTCTCTCTGGTCTCTCTCTCTGGTCTCTCTCTGGTCTCTCTCTCTGGTCTCTCTCTGGTCTCTCTCTGGTCTCTCTCTCTGGTCTCTCTCTGGTCTCTCTCTGGTCTCTCTCTCTGGTTTGACACAGGACTTTGGTGTTTTTGCAGAAGCTGAATTCTCCGAGACACAAGAACAGAGTGAAGAAGAGCCTACAGGTAACACACGCCCGCCCCACGAGGGCTGAGGAAGCCATGGCGACCAGGAAATTTCCACTAATACTGGTTTGTTGTTGGGAGGTTGCTGGGACAAAGCCACCGAGTAGAGTAGAGTAGAGTAGAGTAGGGTAGGGTAGAGTAGAGTAGAGTAGAGTAGAGTAGAGTAGGGTAGGGTAGAGTAGAGTAGAGTAGAGTAGAGTAGAGTAGAGTAAAGTAGAGTAGAGTAGAGTAGAGTAGGGTCGGGTAGAGTAGAGTAGAGTAGAGTCGGGTAGGGTAGGGTAGGGTAGAGTAGAGTAGAGTAGGGTAGGGTAGAGTAGCGTAGAGTAGGGTAGAGTAGAGTAGAGTAGAGTAGAGTAGAGTAGAGTAGAGTAGAGTAGAGTAGGGTCGGGTAGAGTAGAGTAGAGTAGAGTAGGGTAGGGTAGAGTAGAGTAGAGTAGAGTAGAGTAGAGTAGAGTAGAGTAGAGTAGAGTAGAGTAGAGTAGGGTCGGGTAGAGTAGAGTAGAGTAGAGTAGAGTAGAGTCGGGTAGGGTAGGGTAGGGTAGAGTAGAGTAGAGTAGGGTAGGGTAGAGTAGCGTAGAGTAGGGTAGAGTAGAGTAGAGTAGAGTAAGTGAGAGAGGCTCCTTATGAATCCAGGTCTTTCAATAATTACTGACTCTTCTGGCCTCTGAAAAAGCCATGTTCCAGCTTCTTCCCTCTGCCAGAAGATATGGTCGGCTGCAGGACATCTGGACATGCTAACATGCTAACATGCTAACAGCTGTTTTCAGTCTGAACACAGACCTGTAATGATCTCATTTTGTTGGATTCACATGTCTGCTGCACACTGGGACTCTCGCACATTTATTCCAACGGGGTTTTACTGCACATGGCAAACAAGTGACAGGGCTGGTGGACACAGGGCGTGACATGTGTGACACGTGGAGCTGGACCAGACTGGACTTTGGCCAGAACACACTATCAGAGCTGAGCACACATGGTACACATGTGGAGTCCACACTATCAGAGCTGAGCACACATGGTACACAGTCTGCAGCTGTCAATACTCACATGGAAGAGACCAGAAAGAGACCAGAGGGAGACCAGACCCCAGAGTGAGACCAGAGGGAGACCAGAGAGGGCGACCAGAGAGAGACCAGAGAGAGAGACCAGAGAGAGAGACCAGAGAGAGAGACCAGAGAGAGAGACCAGAGAGAGACCAGAGAGAGAGACCAGAGAGGGCAGAGAGAGAGAGAGAGACCAGAGAGAGACCAGAGAGAGAGACCAGAGAGAGACCAGAGAGAGCGACCAGAGAGAGAGACCAGAGAGAGACCAGAGAGAGACCAGAGAGAGACCAGAGAGAGCGACCAGAGAGAGAGACCAGAGAGAGACCAGAGAGAGACCAGAGAGAGCGACCAGAGAGAGAGAGACCAGAGAGAGACCAGAGAGAGAGACCAGAGAGAGACCAGAGAGAGACCAGAGAGAGAGACCAGAGAGAGACCAGAGAGAGCGACCAGAGAGAGAGACCAGAGAGAGACCAGAGAGAGACCAGAGAGAGACCAGAGAGAGAGACCAGAGAGAGACCAGAGAGAAAGACCAGAGAGAGACCAGAGAGAGACCAGAGAGAGAGACCAGAGAGAGAGACCAGAGAGAGACCAGAGAGAGAGACCAGAGAGAGACCAGAGAGAGAGACCAGAGAGAGACCAGAGAGAGAGACCAGAGAGAGACCAGAGAGAGACCAGAGAGAGCGACCAGAGAGAGAGACCAGAGAGAGAGACCAGAGAGAGAGACCAGAGAGAGACCAGAGAGAAAGACCAGAGAGAGACCAGAGAGAGACCAGAGAGAGAGACCAGAGAGAGAGACCAGAGAGAGACCAGAGAGAAAGACCAGAGAGAGACCAGAGAGAGTCCAGAGAGAGACCAGAGAGAGAGACCAGAGAGAGACCAGAGAGAGACCAGAGAGAGAGACCAGAGAGAGAGACCAGAGAGAGACCAGAGAGAGAGACCAGAGAGAGACCAGAGAGAGACCAGAGAGAGAGACCAGAGAGAGAGACCAGAGAGAGAGACCAGAGAGAGACCAGAGAGAGACCAGAGAGAGAGACCAGAGAGAGACCAGAGAGAGACCAGAGAGAGACCAGAGAGAGACCAGAGAGACCAGAGAGAGAGACCAGAGAGAGACCAGAGAGAGACCAGAGAGAGACCAGAGAGAGACCAGAGAGAGACCAGAGAGAGAGAGAGAGACCAGAGAGAGAGACCAGAGAGAGACCAGAGAGAGACCAGAGAGAGACCAGAGAGAGAGAGAGACCAGAGAGAGAGACCAGAGAGAGACCAGAGAGAGACCAGAGAGAGAGACCAAGAGAGAGACCAGAGAGAGAGACCAGAGAGAGAGACCAGAGAGAGAGACCAGAGAGAGACCAGAGAGAGACCCAGAGAGAGAGACCAGAGAGAGACCAGAGAGAGACCAGAGAGAGAGACCAGAGAGAGAGACCAGAGAGAGACCAGAGAGAGACCAGAGAGAGAGACCAGAGAGAGCGACGAGAGACCAGAGAGAGAGACCAGAGAGAGACCAGAGAGAGACCAGAGAGAGACCAGAGAGAGACCAGAGAGAGACCAGAGAGAGAGACCAGAGAGAGACCAGAGGGAGACCAGAGAGAGACCAGAGAGAGACCAGAGAGAGACCAGAGAGAGACCAGAGAGAGACCAGAGAGAGAGACCAGACCCCAGAGGGAAACCAGAGGGAGATCAGAGGGAGACCAGAGAGAGAGACCAGAGGGAGACTAGAGGGATACCAGGAGAGCAGAGAGAGGTGGGGGCAGCAGAACAATACAGAAATATATACTGTAGGTTGCTTTTCTATTAGTCTTTAGTATCTGGTCCCGTATCCTAGCAACCTCCCCACAACAAACCAGTATCTAGGGAAATTCCTTGGTAACCATGGTTCCCAGCAACAATCTTTAGTACTAGCTCGGCCTGGATAGAACCAGGACCAAGAGGGACTAAAGAAGGACCTGTTACTGGTTACACAGGACCATGAAGGACTAAAGAAGGATCTGTTACTGATTACACAGGACCATGAAGGACTAAAGAAGGACCTGTTACTGGTTACACAGGACCAAGAGGGACTAAAGAAGGACCTGGTACTGGTTACACAGGACCATGAAGGACTAAAGAAGGACCTGGTACTGGTTACACAGGACCATGAAGGACTAAAGAAGGACCTGTTACTGGTTACACAGGACCATGAAGGACTAAAGAAGGACCTGGTACTGGTTACACAGGACCATGAAGGACTAAAGAAGGACCTGTTACTGGTTACACAGGACCATGAAGGACTAAAGAAGGACCTGTTACTGATTACACAGGACCATGAAGGACTAAAGAAGGACCTGGTACTGGTTACACAGGACCATGAAGGGCTAAAGAAGGACCTGTTACTGATTACACAGGACCATGAAGGACTAAAGAAGGACCTGTTACTGATTACACAGGACCATGAAGGACTAAAGAAGGACCTGGTACTGGTTACACAGGACCAAGAGGGACTAAAGAAGGACCTGGTACTGGTTACACAGGACCATGAAGGGCTAAAGAAGGACCTGTTACTGGTTACACAGGACTAAAGAAGGACCTGGTACTGGTTACACAGGACCATGAAGGACTAAAGAAGGACCTGGTACTGGTTACACAGGACCATGAAGGACTAAAGAAGGACCTGTTACTGGTTACACAGGACCATGAAGGACTAAAGAAGGACCTGTTACTGGTTACACAGGACCATGAAGGACTAAAGAAGGACCTGTTACTGGTTACACAGGACCATGAAGGACTAAAGAAGGACCTGGTACTGGTTACACAGGACCATGAAGGACTAAAGAAGGACCTGTTACTGATTACACAGGACCATGAAGGACTAAAGAAGGACCTGTTACTGGTTACACAGAACCATGAAGGACTAAGAAGGACCTGGTACTGATTACACAGGACCATGAAGGACTAAAGAAGGACCTGTTACTGATTACACAGGACCATGAAGGACTAAAGAAGGACCTGTTACTGGTTACACAGAACCATGAAGGACTAAGAAGGACCTGGTACTGGTTACACAGGACCATGAAGGGCTAAAGAAGGACCTGTTACTGGTTACACAGGACCATGAAGGACTAAAGAAGGACCTGGTACTGGTTACACAGGACCATGAAGGACTAAAGAAGGACCTGGTACTGGTTACACAGGACCATGAAGGACTAAAGAAGGACCTGTTACTGGTTACACAGGACCATGAAGGACTAAAGAAGGACCTGTTACTGGTTACACAGGACCATGAAGGACTAAAGAAGGACCTGTTACTGGTTACACAGGACCATGAAGGACTAAAGAAGGACCTGTTACTGGTTACACAGGACCATGAAGGACTAAAGAAGGATCTGTTACTGATTACACAGGACCATGAAGGACTAAAGAAGGACCTGTTACTGGTTACACAGGACCATGAAGGACTAAAGAAGGACCTGTTACTGATTACACAGGACCATGAAGGACTAAAGAAGGACCTGGTACTGGTTACACAGGACCATGAAGGGCTAAAGAAGGACCTGTTACTGGTTACACAGGACCATGAAGGACTAAAGAAGGACCTGGTACTGGTTACACAGGACCATGAAGGACTAAAGAAGGACCTGGTACTGGTTACACAGGACCATGAAGGACTAAAGAAGGACCTGTTACTGGTTACACAGGACCATGAAGGACTAAAGAAGGACCTGTTACTGGTTACACAGGACCATGAAGGACTAAAGAAGGACCTGTTACTGGTTACACAGGACCATGAAGGACTAAAGAAGGACCTGTTACTGGTTACACAGGACCATGAAGGACTAAAGAAGGACCTGTTACTGGTTACACAGGACCATGAAGGACTAAAGAAGGACCTGTTACTGGTTACACAGGACCATGAAGGACTAAAGAAGGACCTGTTACTGATTACACAGGACCATGAAGGACTAAAGAAGGACCTGTTACTGGTTACACAGGACCATGAAGGACTAAAGAAGGACCTGTTACTGGTTACACAGGACCATGAAGGACTAAAGAAGGACCTGGTACTGGTTACACAGGACCATGAAGGACTAAAGAAGGACCTGTTACTGGTTACACAGGACCATGAAGGACTAAAGAAGGACCTGTTACTGGTTACACAGGACCAAGAAGGACTGAAGAAGGACCTGGTATTGGTTACACAGGACCATGAAGGACTAAAGAAGGACCTGGTACTGGTTACACAGGACCATGAAGGACTAAAGAAGGACCTGGTACTGGTTACACAGGACCATGAAGGACTAAAGAAGGACCTGGTACTGGTTACACAGGACCATGAAGGACTAAAGAAGGACCTGTTACTGGTTACACAGGACCATGAAGGACTAAAGAAGGACCTGTTACTGGTTACACAGGACCATAAACGCTCTTCTACCTTCTTCTTCTCTCTGTAGAAACGTAGAGGCTGCAGCTGTTGCCGTGGTGATGAAGCAGGGACCAACTGAGCACGCTCAGTAGACGCCGCATGTCCCCACCTGAGGACTGACCCCGGCGTCCCCCCCTGTGTGTGTCTGTGTGTGTCTGTGTCTGTGTGTGTGTGTGTGTCTGTGTGTGTCTGTGTGTGTCTGTGTGTGTGTGTGTGTGTGTGTGTGTGTGTGTGTGTGTCTGTGTGTGTGTGTGTGTGTCTGTGTGTGTGTCTGTGTGTGTGTGTGTGTGTGTGTCTGTGTGTGTCTGTGTGTGTGTGTGTGTCTGTGTATGTGTGTCTGTGTGTCTGTGTGTGTGTGTCTGTGTGAGTGTGTGTGTGTGTGTGTGTCTGTGTGTGTGTGTGTGTGTGTGTGTGTGTGTGTGTGTGTGTGTGTGTGTGTGTCTGTGTGTGTGTGTGTGTGTCTGTGTGTGTGTGTGTGTGTCTGTGTGTGTGTGTGTCTCTCTGTGTCTGTGTGTGTCTGTGTGTCTGTGTGTGTGTGTGTGTGTGTGTGTGTGTGTCTGTGTGTGTGTGTGTGTGTCTGTGTGTGTGTGTGTGTGTGTCTGTGTGTGTCTGTGTGTGTGTGTGTGTGTCTGTGTATGTGTGTCTGTGTGTGTGTGTGTGTGTGTGTGTGTGTGTGTGTGTGTCTCTCTGTGTGAGTGTGTGTGTGTGTGTGTGTCTGTGTGTGTCCTGATCCTTCTGTGACACACCTCAGTTTTTAAAAACCTCAACGTCTTTTTATTTGATGTTTTTAACGTTTTAACTCATGTTGTCATTTCTTACGTCGAGGGACTGTGAATTTAGACTCAAGACATTTGGAAACTATTTTTTCCTTAAGCTACAAAACCTGTGCCACTTTCACACCAAAAATGATTCCTTCGGCACCAACGCAAACTTTAGCTTAGCCGCTTTGAACAGCTAACTGTGAGCTAACTGTGGCTAGCAAGCGGGCAGTGTGCTAGCCACAATTCAGAAGCGGCCGAATGTTTTTGTTCTTATGTATTCAGCAATATGAATGACGTCAACAGTGCTATCTCTTCTTTTAATCCCAGCTCCTCTTGATGAATACTGAACAAGAATGTTTCCTGTCCCGAGCTAACAGGCTAACAGGCTAACATCTGTGTCTGAATGTCCCGAGCTAACAGGCTAACATCTGTGTCTGAATGTCCCGAGCTAACAGGCTAACATCTGTGTCTGAATGTCCCGAGCTAACAGGCTAACAGGCTAACATCTGTGTCTGAATGTCCCGAGCTAACAGGCTAACAGGCTAACATCTGTGTCTGAATGTCCCGAGCTAACAGGCTAACAGGCTAACATCTGTGTCTGAATGTCCGAGCTAACAGGCTAACATCTGTGTCTGAATGTCCCGAGCTAACAGGCTAACATCTGTGTCTGAATGTCCCGAGCTAACAGGCTAACAGGCTAACATCTGTGTCTGAATGTCCCGAGCTAACAGGCTAACAGGCTAACATCTGTGTCTGAATGTCCCGAGCTAACAGGCTAACATCTGTGTCTGAATGTCCCGAGCTAACAGGCTAACAGGCTAACATCTGTGTCTGAATGTCCCGAGCTAACAGGCTAACAGGCTAACATCTGTGTCTGAATGTCCCGAGCTAACAGGCTAACAGGCTAACATCTGTGTCTGAATGTCCCGAGCTAACAGGCTAACAGGCTAACATCTGTGTCTGAATGTCCCGAGCTAACAGGCTAACAGGCTAACATCTGTGTCTGAATGTCCATGCTAGTCCCAACACAGGGAGCTAAAGGAAAGTGGTCTGTTCCCTGTTTTCAAACGGAAAAAGGGAAAAATGCTGACTAAAAAAACAAATGTCTTTGCTCTAAGCCTTGATTAGCGTAAAGCCTAGCGTACATGGGCCTGGTAACTGATGATTAGCGTAAAGCCTAGCGTACATGGGCCTGGTAACTGATGATTAGCGTAAAGCCTAGCGTACATGGGCCTGGTAACTGATGATTAGCGTAAAGCCTAGCGTACATGGGCCTGGTAACTGATGATTAGCGTAAAGCCTAGCGTACATGGGCCTGGTAACTGATGATTAGCGTAAAGCCTAGCGTACATGGGCCTGGTAACTGATGATTAGCGTAAAGCCTAGCGTACATGGGCCTGGTAACTGATGATTAGCGTAAAGCCTAGCGTACATGGGCCTGGTAACTGATGATTAGCGTAAAGCCTAGCGTACATGGGCCTGGTAACTGATGATTAGCGTAAAGCCTAGCGTACATGGGCCTGGTAACTGATCATATCCGTGGCCAATGAGTCGCTGCCCCGCACACTCCTGTATCAGGCCAGTCTGTATCAGGCCAGTCTGTATCAGGCCAGTCTGTATCAGGCCAGTCTGTATCAGGCCAGTCTGGGGAATAACAGCAACGGGCCTCAGCTACAGTGTGTTTTCTGACATAAACTGTAGAGGGCGCTATACACACAATACACACATGTTGTTGGAGCACATCGGTGATATCTCTGGAAAAGTAGAACACGGGCAACTGACTGAATCCAGAGACCGACTGATCGTCTCCATCGTCTCCTCTCAGTCGCCAAAAGCCGCCTGGAAACTAGATGTCTCCAGTTACTCTCCATGTGCGCTAGGCTTGAGAGGCTAGCACGTTTGATTAGCCTTCTGCGACGCTAATCAAACATGCTAGGCTTGAGAGGCTAGCACGTTTGATTAGCCTTCTGCGACGCTAATCAAACATGCTAGGCTTGAGAGGCTAGCACGTTTGATTAGCCTTCTGCGACGCTAATCAAACATGCTAGGCTTGAGAGGCTAGCACGTTTGATTAGCCTTCTGCGACGCTAATCAAAACATGCTAGGCTTGAGAGGCTAGCACGTTTGATTAGCCTTCTGCGACGCTAATCAAACATGCTATTAACAGCTGTAAGCACACACTAATATACACTTAACGGTAACTTACCTTAACCTTAGCTCGTGCTGGTTTTATCCCCGTCCTGATTTAAAGCTTGGGTGCGTAGATTTTTGCTTCATAAATAATCAATTTTGTTTTAACTAAAAACTACATTTTATGAACAATTCAGACCACACCGCTCTGTCTTTGCACAACAATATCAGTTCATATTTTCACACTTGAGAAAGTCCTTAACCTCAGGAGTCACCACTATTTGAGCTGAGAGCTGATTGGCTCAGAGCTGATTGGCTGAGAGCTGATTGGCTCAGAGCTGATTGGCTGAGAGCTGATTGGCTGGGAGCTGATTGGCTCAGAGCTGATTGGCTGGGAGCTGATTGGCTCAGAGCTGATTGGCTGAGAGTACAGGGGTTAGCGGGACATTCTAACGCAGCTTTAGCCTCTTTTTAAGTATTTTCAATCATTTCTGCTGTTTGTTGCTTGGTCACTCTCTGTGGACGTGTTAGCGGTGTAGCGGGTTGTGTATGACCCTCAGACCTTTCCAAATAAAAGCCCGAGCTGGTGTTTTTAAACTTATTTTGAAGGAGCAGGTTGTAAATGTTTGCGTTTGATTGTTGTTTTGTGTTGTCTTTGTCGCCATTTTTCCATCCAAACTGTGGCAGTGGTTCTGACATAGACTGTAGACAGAGGGGCAATGCTAACAGGCTAGCTCAATGCTAACCCACGAGCTCAATGCTAACAGGCTAGCTCAATGCTAACCCACGAGCTCAATGAAACCCAACAGGCAAATGCTTTAGACAGAGAAGTATTACTTACAACATAGAAGTAAACACATTTCACCAACATTTTCAGATGTACTTAGTCTCCGTTAAAAACCCGGTTATTTTATAAACTTTACTTTTCGGACTCCAACTCAAAGTTTGGCTCCTCCCTCTGGCTCCTCCAGCTCAGAAACCACAATTTATATCGCAATATTGTCCAGATCTGAGCCTTATAAGGATTGACCAATAGATGAAGGGCAAACTCCAGCTCTCCTTAGCAACCGTCTTAGCAACACATGCCGGATATGAGCCCGGACAGCTGACCAATCAGGATCCATCTGTCATCGAATTAGGCTTTAGCGGCGAGTAGCAGTAGAGGGGACATGATAGTGCTGTTCCTGATTGGCTCTTGGTAACTAAGCCGTCGCTACCATCATAATAGCCTGTTCTAGCTAGCTGCATTAAAGCTAGCACTATGGCCACGCCCACTCCCGGTCTACAGTCTATGGTGCGTCTGGAACACAGATAATTGTATAGTTTTGATAATAAACTTAGGGTGCTATAAGTGACGCACTGAACCCATGTCCTCTGGGCGGAAAGATGGCGTCCAACCCCTGTTCAGTGCGACATCACATTCCAGTTTGGTGTTTTCTCATTCTTTGTACAGAGGCCCCTGTGGCATTGGCAGGGTTAGGGTCAAATGCAGAGGCCCCTGTGGCATTGGCAGGGTTGGGGTCAAATGCAGAGGCCCCTGTGGCATTGGCAGGGTTAGGGTCAAATGCAGAGGCCCCTGTGGCATTGGCAGGGTTAGGGTCAAATGCAGAGGCCCCTGTGGCATTGGCAGGGTTAGGGTCAAATGCAGAGGCCCCTGTGGCATTGGCAGGGTTAGGGTCAAATGCAGAGGCCCCTGTGGCATTGGCAGGGTTAGGGTCAAATGCAGAGGCCCCTGTGGCATTGGCAGGGTTAGGGTCAAATGCAGAGGCCCCTGTGGCATTGGCAGGGTTAGGGTCAAATGCAGAGGCCCCTGTGGCATTGGCAGGGTTAGGGTCAAATGCAGAGGCCCCTGTGGCATTGGCAGGGTTGGGGTCAAATGCAGAGGCCCCTGTGGCATTGGCAGGGTTGGGGTCAAATGCAGAGGCCCCTGTGGCATTGGCAGGGTTAGGGTCAAATGCAGAGGACACATTCTCCACTGGTCTTTGTAAGTCACCGTGAGCTGTTTCACCTTTTTATCTCTGGACACCTTTAACCAGGAGAGAAACTTCTAGATTTTTAAATGTTTGTATGAAAAATATGGACTTTGAGGGAAACTCTGGGGAATTGGAACAAAGCCAAGAAAGGGTTGAATCTTGGAATAATGTGGAATTTGGGGTTCATTTTGCCCTGGGTTTAGTCTGGCAGGCTGCGTCACTGTCCGCGGCTGCGTCTCTGTCGCGGCTGCGTCTCTGTCGCGGCCGCGTCTCTGTCGCGGCTTCGCTGACAAATCCGGGGGAGTAAATTATTGATGTGATGATGTCGATGATTGAAGCAGTTTGTTTTTGAAGCTGCCAATAAAGTGTGGGACAAAACAAAACCGACTCTGGGCTTTTATTTCACTTCTGTTCAGTGGGAATAAAGTCAGCTCCAAATGAAGACGCTGCAAAAGAGGGTCTCTCTCTTTTAAGGATGAAAACAGCCGAGATGTTCCTGCAACAAGCTGGTTATTGACATTTCTATGTCCTCATTTAAAACAGTAACAGGAGCTTATAGATACAGATGCTAATGCTAACACAGACTGTATACAGACGCTAATGCTAACACAGACTGTATACAGATGCTAATGCTAACACAGACTGTATACAGATGCTAATGCTAACACAGACTGTATACAGATGCTAATGCTAACACAGACTGTATACTGATGCTAATGCTAACACAGACTGTATACAGATGCTAATGCTAACACAGACTGTATACAGATGCTAATGCTAACACAGACTGTACACAGATGCTAATGCTAACACAGACTGTATACAGATGCTAATGCTAACACAGACTGTATACTGATGCTAATGCTAACACAGACTGTATACAGATGCTAATGCTAACACAGACTGTATACAGATGCTAATGCTAACACAGACTGTATACTGATGCTAATGCTAACACAGACTGTATACAGATGCTAATGCTAACACAGACTGTATACAGATGCTAATGCTAACACAGACTGTATACAGATGCTAATGGCTAACACAGACTGTATACAGATGCTAATGCTAACACAGACTGTATACTGATGCTAATGCTAACACAGACTGTATACAGATGCTAATGCTAACACAGACTGTATACAGATGCTAATGCTAACACAGACTGTATACAGATGCTAATGCTAACACAGACTGTACACAGATGCTAATGCTAACACAGACTGTATACAGATGCTAATGCTAACACAGACTGTATACAGATGCTAATGCTAACACAGACTATATACGGATGCTAATGCTAACACAGACTGTATACAGACGCTAATGCTAACACAGACTGTATACAGATGCTAATGCTAACACAGACTGTATACAGATGCTAATGCTAACACAGACTGTATACAGATGCTAATGCTAACACAGACTGTATACAGATGCTAATGCTAACACAGACTGTATACAGATGCTAATGCTAACACAGACTGTATACAGATGCTACATGCTAACACAGTCTGTATACAGATGCTAATGCTAACACAGACTGTATACAGATGCTAATGCTAACACAGACTGTATACAGATGCTAATGCTAACACAGACTGTATACAGATGCTAATGCTAACACAGACTGTATACAGATGCTAATGCTAACACAGACTGTATACAGATGCTAATGCTAACACAGACTGTATACAGATGCTAATGCTAACACAGACTGTACACAGATGCTAATGCTAACACAGACTGTATACAGATGCTAATGCTAACACAGACTGTATACAGATGCTAATGCTAACACAGACTGTATACAGATGCTAATGCTAACACAGACTGTATACAGATGCTAATGCTAACACAGACTGTATACAGATGCTAATGCTAACACAGACTGTATACAGATGCTAATGCTAACACAGACTGTATACAGATGCTAATGCTAACACAGACTGTATACAGATGCTAATGCTAACACAGACTGTATACAGATGCTAATGCTAACACAGACTGTATACAGATGCTAATGCTAACACAGACTGTATACAGATGCTAATGCTAACACAGACTGTATACAGATGCTAATGCTAACACAGACTGTGTACAGATGCTAATGCTAACACAGACTGTATACAGATGCTAATGCTAACACAGACTGTATACAGATGCTAATGCTAACACAGACTGTATACAGATGCTAATGCTAACACAGACTGTATACAGATGCTAATGCTAACACAGACTGTATACAGATGCTAATGCTAACACAGACTGTACACAGATGCTAATGCTAACACAGACTGTATACAGATGCTAATGCTAACACAGACTGTATACAGATGCTAATGCTAACACAGACTGTATACAGATGCTAATGCTAACACAGACTGTATACAGATGCTAATGCTAACACAGACTGTATACAGATGCTAATGCTAACACAGACTGTATACAGATGCTAATGCTAACACAGACTGTATACAGATGCTAATGCTAACACAGACCAGAGAGATAGATACTTTGTTGATCCCTGTAGGAGAAATGTGGGTTTCCTGCAGCAGAAGACTCCTCCGGGTTTGTTGTACAGTCTGAAACATTCCGTTCGGCAGCGTAGTGAAAGGAGCCTGTTGCTTCGATTACTCCTCTGAGCGGCCATAGTGTCATGAGTGAGAGACCGGAGTGAGAGACCGGAGTGAGAGACAGGAGTGAGAGACCAGTAAGAGAGAGACCGGAGTGAGAGACCAGTCAGAGAGAGACCGGAGTGAGAGACCAGTAAGAGAGAGACCGGAGTGAGAGACCAGTCAGAGAGAGACCGGAGTGAGAGACCAGTCAGAGAGAGACCGGAGTGAGAGACCAGTCAGAGAGAGACCGGAGTGAGAGACCAGTCAGAGAGAGACCGGAGTGAGAGACCAGTAAGAGAGAGACCGGAGTGAGAGACCAGTCAGAGAGAGACCGAGTGAGAGACCAGTAGAGAGAGACCGGAGTGAGAGACCAGTCAGAGAGAGACCGGAGTGAGAGACCAGTCAGAGAGAGACCGGAGTGAGAGAGTCGAGAGCGAGAGAACCAGTCAGAGAGAGACCGGAGTGAGAGACCAGTCAGAGAGAGACCGGAGTGAGAGACCAGTCAGAGAGAGACCGAGAGTGAGAGACCGTCAGAGAGAGACCGGAGTGAGAGACCAGTGTGAGAGACCAGTCAGAGAGAGACCGGAGTGAGAGACCAGTCAGAGAGAGACCGGAGTGAGAGACCAGTCAGAGAGAGACCGGAGTGAGAGACCAGTCAGAGAGAGACCGGAGTGAGAGACCAGTCAGAGAGAGACCGGAGTGAGAGACCAGTCAGAGAGAGACCGGAGTGAGAGACCAGTCAGAGAGAGACCGGAGTGAGAGACCAGTCAGAGAGAGACCGGAGTGAGAGACCAGTAAGAGAGAGACCGGAGTGAGAGACCAGTCAGAGAGAGACCGGAGTGAGAGACCAGTCAGAGAGAGACCGGAGTGAGAGACCAGTAAGAGAGAGACCGGAGTGAGAGACCAGTAAGAGAGAGACCGGAGTGAGAGACCAGTAAGAGAGAGACTGGAGTGAGAGACCAGTCAGAGAGAGACCGGAGTGAGAGACCAGTAAGAGAGAGACCGGAGTGAGAGACCAGTAAGAGAGAGACCGGAGTGAGAGACCAGTAAGAGAGAGACTGGAGTGAGAGACCAGTCAGAGAGAGACCGGAGTGAGAGACCAGTAAGAGAGAGACCGGAGTGAGAGACCAGTCAGAGAGAGACCGGAGTGAGAGACAGGAGTGAGAGACCAGTAAGAGAGAGACCGGAGTGAGAGACCAGTAAGAGAGAGACCGGAGTGAGAGACCAGTAAGAGAGTGGACCGGAGTGAGAGACCAGTAAGAGAGAGACCGGAGTGAGAGACCAGTCAGAGAGAGACCGGATGTGAGAGACCAGTCAGAGAAGAGACCAGACAGTGAGAGACACGAAGTGAGAGACAGGAGTGAGGAGACCAGTGAGAGAGAGAGAGACCGGAGTGAGAGACCAGAGTAAGAGAGAGACCGGAGTGAGAGACAGGAGTGAGAGACCAGTAAGAGAGAGACCGGAGTGAGAGACCGGAGTGAGAGACCAGTAAGAGAGAGACCGGAGTGAGAGACCAGGAGTGAGAGACCAGTAAGAGAGAGACGACCGGAGTGAGAGACCAGGAGTGAGAGACCAGTAAGAGAGAGACCGGAGTGAGAGACAGGATTGAGAGACCAGTAAGAGAGAGACCGGAGTGAGAGACAGGAGTGAGAGACCAGTAAGAGAGAGACTGGAGTGAGAGACAGGAGTGAGAGACCAGTAAGAGAGAGACCGGAGTGAGAGACAGGAGTGAGAGACCAGCGAGTGAGTAGACGATGAGTCGAGTGAGTCCGACGTGAGAGACCAGAGTGAGTCAGACGTGAGAGACCGGAGTGAGTCCGACGTGAGAGACCAGAGTGAGTCCGACGTGAGAGACCGGAGTGAGTCTGACGTGAGAGACCAGAGTGAGTCCGACGTGAGAGACCAGAGTGAGTCCGACGTGAGAGACCAGAGTGAGTCCGACGTGAGAGACCAGAGTGAGTCCGACGTGAGAGACCAGAGTGAGTCGGAGTGAGTCCGACGTGAGAGACCGGAGTGAGTCTGACGTGAGAGACCAGAGTGAGTCCGACGTGAGAGACCAGATTGAGTCCAACGTGAGAGACCAGAGTGAGTCTGACGTGAGAGACCGGAGTGAGTCCGACGTGAGAGACCGGAGTGAGTCCGACGTGAGAGACCGGAGTGAGTCCGACGTGAGAGACCGGAGTGAGTCTAACGTGAGAGACCAGAGTGAGTCTAACGTGAGAGACCAGAGTGAATCCGACGTGAGAGACCAGAGTGAGTCCGACGTGAGAGAGCAGAGTGACTCCGAATTGAGAGACCGGAGTGAGTCTGAAATGAGAGACCTGCGTGAGTCCGACATGAGAGACCAGAGTGAGTCCGACGTGAGAGAGCAGAGTGACTCCGACATGAGAGACCGGAGTGAGTCCGACGTGAGAGAGCAGAGTGAGTCCGACGAGAGAGACCAGAGTGAGTCCGACGTGAGAGACCGGAGTGAGTCGGAGTGAGTCCGACGTGAGAGACCGGAGTGAGTCTGACGTGAGAGACCAGAGTGAGTCCGACGTGAGAGACCAGATTGAGTCCAACGTGAGAGGCCGGAGTGAGTCGGAGTGAGTCCGACGTGAGAGACCGGAGTGAGTCCGACGTGAGAGACCGGAGTGAGTCCGACGTGAGAGACCGGAGTGAGTCTAACGTGAGAGACCAGAGTGAGTCCGACGTGAGAGACCAGAGTGAGTCCGACGTGAGAGACCAGAGTGAGTCGGAGTGAGTCGACGTGAGAGACCAGAGTGAGTCGGAGTGAGTCCGACGTGAGAGACCAGAGTGAGTCAGACGTGAGAGACCAGAGTGAGTCGGAGTGAGTCCGACGTGAGAGACCGGAGTGAGTCCGACGTGAGAGACCGGAGTGAGTCTAACGTGAGAGACCAGAGTGAGTCCGACATGAGAGACCAGAGTGAGTCTGAAATGAGAGACCTGAGTGAGTCGGACATGAGAGACCAGAGTGAGTCCGACGTGAGAGAGCAGAGTGACTCCGACATGAGAGACCGGAGTGAGTCCGACGTGAGAGACCAGAGTGAGTCCGACGTGAGAGACCAGAGTGAGTCCGACGTGAGAGACCAGAGTGAGTCTGACGTGAGAGACCAGAGTGAGTCCGACGTGAGAGACCAGAGTGAGTCCGACGTGAGAGACCAGAGTGAGTCTGACGTGAGAGACCAGAGTGAGTCTGACGTGAGGGACCAGAGTGAGTCCGACGTGAGGGACCAGAGTGAGTCCGACGTGAGGGACCAGAGTGAGTCTGACGTGAGAGACCAGAGTGAGTCCGACGAGAGAGACCAGAGTGAGTCCGACGTGAGAGACCGGAGTGAGTCCGACGTGAGGGACCAGAGTGAGTCGGAGTGAGTCCGACATGAGAGACCGGAGTGAGTCTGACGTGAGAGACCAGAGTGAGTCCGACGTGAGAGACCAGAGTGAGTCCGACGTGAGAGACCGGAGTGAGTCTGACGTGAGAGACCAGAGTGAGTCCGACGTGAGGGACCAGAGTGAGTCCGACGTAAGAGACCAGAGTGAGTCCAACGTGAGAGACCAGAGTGAGTCCGACGTGAGAGACCAGAGTGAGTCGGAGTGAGTCCGACGTGAGAGACCGGAGTGAGTCTGACGTGAGAGACCAGAGTGAGTCCGACGTGAGAGACCACAGTGAGTCCGACGTGAGAGACCGGGGTGAGTCGGGTGAGTCCGACGTGAGAGACCGGAGTGAGTCCGACGTGAGAGACCAGAGTGAGTCCGACGTGAGAGACCGGAGTGAGTCTGACGTGAGAGACCAGAGTGAGTCCGACGTGAGAGACCAGAGTGAGTCCGACGTGAGAGACCAGAGTGAGTCCGACGTGAGAGACCAGAGTGAGTCCGACGTGAGAGACCAGAGTGAGTCGGAGTGAGTCCGACGTGAGAGACCGGAGTGAGTCTGACGTGAGAGACCAGAGTGAGTCCGACGTGAGAGACCAGATTGAGTCCAACGTGAGAGGCCGGAGTGAGTCGGAGTGAGTCCGACGTGAGAGACCAGAGTGAGTCCGACGTGAGAGACCGGAGTGAGTCCGACGTGAGAGACCGGAGTGAGTCCGACGTGAGAGACCGGAGTGAGTCTAACGTGAGAGACCAGAGTGAGTCTAACGTGAGAGACCAGAGTGAATCCGACGTGAGAGACCAGAGTGAATCCGACGTGAGAGAGCAGAGTGACTCCGACTTGAGAGACCGGAGTGAGTCTGAAATGAGAGACCAGAGTGAGTCCGACGTGAGAGAGCAGAGTGACTCCGACGTGAGAGACCAGAGTGAGTCCGACGTGAGAGACCAGAGTGAGTCCGACGTGAGAGACCAGAGTGAGTCGGAGTGAGTCCGACGTGAGAGACCGGAGTGAGTCCGACGTGAGAGACCGGAGTGAGTCTAACGTGAGAGACCAGAGTGAGTCCGACATGAGAGACCGGAGTGAGTCTAACGTGAGAGACCAGAGTGAGTCCGACGTGAGAGACCAGAGTGAGTCCGACGTGAGAGACCAGAGTGAGTCGGAGGGAGTCGACGTGAGAGACCAGAGTGAGTCGGAGTGAGTCCGACGTGAGAGACCAGAGTGAGTCAGACGTGAGAGACCAGAGTGAGTCGGAGTGAGTCCGACGTGAGAGACCGGAGTGAGTCCGACGTGAGAGACCGGAGTGAGTCTAACGTGAGAGACCAGAGTGAGTCCGACATGAGAGACCAGAGTGAGTCTGAAATGAGAGACCTGAGTGAGTCGGACATGAGAGACCAGAGTGAGTCCGACGTGAGAGAGCAGAGTGACTCCGACATGAGAGACCGGAGTGAGTCCGACGTGAGAGACCAGAGTGAGTCCGACGAGAGAGACCAGAGTGAGTCCGACGTGAGAGACCGGAGTGAGTCGGAGTGAGTCCGACGTGAGAGACCAGAGTGAGTCTTACGTGAGAGACCAGAGTGAGTCCGACGTGAGAGACCAGAGTGAGTCCGACGTGAGAGACCAGAGTGAGTCTGACGTGAGAGACCAGAGTGAGTCCGACGTGAGAGACCAGAGTGAGTCCGACGTGAGAGACCGGAGTGAGTCCGACGTGAGGGACCAGAGTGAGTCGGAGTGAGTCCGACATGAGAGACCGGAGTGAGTCTGACGTGAGAGACCAGAGTGAGTCCGACGTGAGAGACCAGAGTGAGTCCGACGTGAGAGACCGGAGTGAGTCTGACGTGAGAGACCAGAGTGAGTCCGACGTGAGGGACCAGAGTGAGTCCGACGTAAGAGACCAGAGTGAGTCCGACGTGAGAGACCAGAGTGAGTCCGACGTGAGAGACCAGAGTAAGTCGGGAGTGAGTCCGACGTGAGAGACCGGAGTGAGTCTGACGTGAGAGACCAGAGTGAGTCCGACGTGAGAGACCACAGTGAGTCCGACGTGAGAGACCGGGGTGAGTCGGAGTGAGTCCGACGTGAGAGACCGGAGTGAGTCCGACGTGAGAGACCAGAGTGAGTCCGACGTGAGAGACCGGAGTGAGTCTGACGTGAGAGACCAGAGTGAGTCCGACGTGAGAGACCAGAGTGAGTCCGACGTGAGAGACCAGAGTGAGTCCGACGTGAGAGACCAGAGTGAGTCCGACGTGAGAGACCAGAGTGAGTCGGAGTGAGTCCGACGTGAGAGACCGGAGTGAGTCTGACGTGAGAGACCAGAGTGAGTCCGACGTGAGAGACCAGATTGAGTCCAACGTGAGAGACCGGAGTGAGTCCGACGTGAGAGACCGGAGTGAGTCCGACGTGAGAGACCGGAGTGAGTCCGACGTGAGAGACCGGAGTGAGTCTAACGTGAGAGACCAGAGTGAGTCTAACGTGAGAGACCAGAGTGAATCCGACGTGAGAGACCAGAGTGAGTCCGACGTGAGAGAGCAGAGTGACTCCGACTTGAGAGACCGGAGTGAGTCTGAAATGAGAGACCTGCGTGAGTCCGACATGAGAGACCAGAGTGAGTCCGACGTGAGAGACCGGAGTGAGTCTGAAATGAGAGACCTGCGTGAGTCCGACATGAGAGACCAGAGTGACTCCGACGTGAGAGACCAGAGTCAGTCCGACGTGAGAGACCAGAGTGAGTCCGACGAGAGAGACCAGAGTGAGTCCGACGTGAGAGACCGGAGTGAGTCTGAAATGAGAGACCTGCGTGAGTCCGACATGAGAGACCAGAGTGACTCCGACGTGAGAGACCAGAGTGAGTCCGACGTGAGAGACCAGAGTGAGTCCGACGAGAAAGACCAGAGTGAGTCCGACGAGAAAGACCAGAGTGAGTCCGACGTGAGAGACCGGAGTGAGTCGGAGTGAGTCCGACGTGAGAGACCGGAGTGAGTCTGACGTGAGAGACCAGAGTGAGTCCGACGTGAGAGACCAGATTGAGTCCAACGTGAGAGGCCGGAGTGAGTCGGAGTGAGTCCGACGTGAGAGACCGGAGTGAGTCCGACGTGAGAAACCGGAGAGAGTCTGAAATGAGAGACCTGCGTGAGTCCGACATGAGAGACCAGAGTGACTCCGACGTGAGAGACCAGAGTGAGTCCGACGTGAGAGACCAGAGTGAGTCCGACGAGAGAGACCAGAGTGAGTCCGACGTGAGAGACCGGAGTGAGTCTGAAATGAGAGACCTGCGTGAGTCCGACATGAGAGACCAGAGTGACTCCGACGTGAGAGACCAGAGTGAGTCCGACGTGAGAGACCAGAGTGAGTCCGACGAGAAAGACCAGAGTGAGTCCGACGTGAGAGACCGGAGTGAGTCGGAGTGAGTCCGACGTGAGAGACCGGAGTGAGTCTGACGTGAGAGACCAGAGTGAGTCCGACGTGAGAGACCAGATTGAGTCCAACGTGAGAGGCCGGAGTGAGTCGGAGTGAGTCCGACGTGAGAGACCGGAGTGAGTCCGACGTGAGAAACCGGAGAGAGTCCGACGTGAGAGACCGGAGTGAGTCTAACGTGAGAGACCAGAGTGAGTCCGACGTGAGAGACCAGAGTGAGTCCGACGTGAGAGACCAGAGTGAGTCGGAGTGAGTCCGACGTGAGAGACCAGAGTGAGTCCGACGTGAGAGACCAGAGTGAGTCGGAGTGAGTCCGACGTGAGAGACCAGAGTGAGTCGGAGTGAGTCCGACGTGAGAGACCAGAGTGAGTCAGACGTGAGAGACCAGAGTGAGTCGGAGTGAGTCCGACGTGAGAGACCGGAGTGAGTCCGACGTGAGAGACCGGAGTGAGTCTAACGTGAGAGACCAGAGTGAGTCCGACATGAGAGACCAGAGTGAGTCTGAAATGAGAGACCTGAGTGAGTCCGAAATGAGAGACCAGAGTGAGTCCGACGTGAGAGAGCAGAGTGACTCCGACATGAGAGACCGGAGTGAGTCCGACGTGAGAGACCAGAGTGAGTCCGACGAGAGAGACCAGAGTGAGTCCGACGTGAGAGACCGGAGTGAGTCGGAGTGAGTCTGACGTGAGAGACCGGAGTGAGAGTCTGACATGAGGGACCAGAGTGAGTCCGAGGTGAGAGACCACAGTGAGTCCGACGTGAGAGACCGGAGTGAGTCCGACGTGAGAGACCAGAGTGAGTCGGAGTGAGTCCGACGTGAGAGACCAGAGTGAGTCAGACGTGAGAGACCGGAGTGAGTCCGACGTGAGAGACCAGAGTGAGTCCGACGTGAGAGACCGGAGTGAGTCTGACGTGAGAGACCAGAGTGAGTCCGACGTGAGAGACCAGAGTGAGTCCGACGTGAGAGACCAGAGTGAGTCCGACGTGAGAGACCGGAGTGAGTCGGAGTGAGTCCGACGTGAGAGACCGGAGTGAGTCTGACGTGAGAGACCAGAGTGAGTCCGACGTGAGAGACCAGATTGAGTCCAACGTGAGAGACCAGAGTGAGTCCGACGTGAGAGGCCGGAGTGAGTCGGAGTGAGTCCGACGTGAGAGACCGGAGTGAGTCCGACGTGAGAGACCGGAGTGAGTCCGACGTGAGAGACCGGAGTGAGTCTAACGTGAGAGACCAGAGTGAGTCCGACGTGAGAGACCAGAGTGAGTTCGACGTGAGAGACCAGAGTGAGTCGGAGTGAGTCCAACGTGAGAGACCGGAGTGAGTCGGAGTGAGTCTGACGTGAGAGACCAGAGTGAGTCTAACGTGAGAGACCAGAGTGAATCCGACGTGAGAGACCAGAGTGAGTCCGACGTGAGAGAGCAGAGTGACTCCGACTTGAGAGACCGGAGTGAGTCTGAAATGAGAGACCTGCGTGAGTCCGACATGAGAGACCAGAGTGAGTCCTACGTGAGAGAGCAGAGTGACTCCGACATGAGAGACCGGAGTGAGTCCGACGTGAGAGACCAGAGTGAGTCCGACGAGAGAGACCAGAGTGAGTCCGACGTGAGAGACCGGAGTGAGTCGGAGTGAGTCCGATGTGAGAGACCGGAGTGAGTCTGACGTGAGAGACCAGAGTGAGTCCGACGTGAGAGACCAGATTGAGTCCAACGTGAGAGGCCGGAGTGAGTCGGAGTGAGTCCGACGTGAGAGACCGGAGTGAGTCCGACGTGAGAGACCGGAGTGAGTCCGACGTGAGAGACCGGAGTGAGTCTAACGTGAGAGACCAGAGTGAGTCCGACGTGAGAGACCAGAGTGAGTCCGACGTGAGAGACCAGAGTGAGTCGGAGTGAGTCCGACGTGAGAGACCAGAGTGAGTCGGAGTGAGTCCGACGTGAGAGACCAGAGTGAGTCAGACGTGAGAGACCAGAGTGAGTCGGAGTGAGTCCGACGTGAGAGACCGGAGTGAGTCCGACGTGAGAGACCGGAGTGAGTCTAACGTGAGAGACCAGAGTGAGTCCGACATGAGAGACCAGAGTGAGTCTGAAATGAGAGACCTGAGTGAGTCCGACATGAGAGACCAGAGTGAGTCCGACGTGAGAGAGCAGAGTGACTCCGACATGAGAGACCGGAGTGAGTCCGACATGAGAGACCAGAGTGAGTCCGACAAGAGAGACCAGAGTGAGTCCGACGTGAGAGACCGGAGTGAGTCGGAGTGAGTCCGACGTGAGAGACCGGAGTGAGTCTGACGTGAGGGACCAGAGTGAGTCCGACGTGAGAGACCACAGTGAGTCCGACGTGAGAGACCGGAGTGAGTCGGAGTTAGTCCGACGTGAGGAGACCAGAGTGAGTCAGACGTGAGAGACCGGAGTGAGTCCGACGTGAGAGACCAGAGTGAGTCCGACGTGAGAGACCGGAGTGAGTCTGACGTGAGAGACCATAGTGAGTCCGATGTGAGAGACCAGAGTGAGTCCCATGTGAGAGACCAGAGTGAGTCCCACGTGAGAGACCAGAGTGAGTCCCACGTGAGAGACCAGAGTGAGTCCGACGTGAGAGACCATAGTGAGTCCGATGTGAGAGACCGGAATGAGTCGGAGTGAGTCCGACGTGAGAGACCAGAGTGAGTCCGACGTGAGAGACCGGAGTGAGTCGGAGTGAGTCCGACGTGAGAGACCAGAGTGAGTCCGACGTGAGAGACCGGAGTGAGTCCGACGTGAGAGACCAGACTGAGTCCGACGTGAGGGACCGGAGTGACTCTGACGTGAGAGACCAGAGTGAGTCCGACGTGAGAGACCAGAGTGAGTCCGACGTGAGAGACCAGAGTGAGTCCGACGTGAGAGACCAGAGTGAGTCCGACGTGAGAGACCAGAGTGAGTCCGACGTGAGAGACCGGAGTGAGTCTGATGTGGGAGACCAGAGTGAGTCTGACGTGAGAGACCAGAGTGAGTCCAACATGAGAGACCAGAGTGAGTCCCACGTGAGAGACCAGAGTGAGTCCCACGTGAGAGACCAGAGTGAGTCCCACGTGAGAGACCAGAGTGAGTCCGACGTGAGAGACCAGAGTAAGTCTGACATGAGAGACCAGAGTGAGTCTGACATGAGAGACCAGAGTGAGTCCGACGTGAGAGACCAGAGTGAGACCAGAGTGAGTCCGACGTGAGAGACCAGAGTGAGTCCGACGTGAGAGACCAGAGTGAGTCCGACGTGAGGGACCAGAGTGAGTCCGACGTGAGAGACCAGAGTGAGTCTGATATGAGAGACCAGAGTGAGTCCGACGTGAGAGACCGGAGTGAGTCGGAGTGAGTCCGACGTGAGAGACCGGAGTGAGTCCGACGTGAGAGACCAGAGTGAGTCCGACGTGAGAGACCGGAGTGAGTCTGACGTGAGAGACCAGAGTGAGTCCGACGTGAGAGACCACAGTGAGTCCGACGTGAGAGACCGGAGTGAGTCGGAGTGAGTCCGACGTGAGAGACCAGAGTGAGTCAGACGGGAGAGACCGGAGTGAGTCCGACGTGAGAGACCAGAGTGAGTCCGACGTGAGAGACCGGAGTGAGTCTGACGTGAGAGACCAGAGTGAGTCCGATGTGAGAGACCAGAGTGAGTCCGACGTGAGAGACCAGAGTGAGTCCGACGTGAGAGACCAGAGTGAGTCCGACGTGAGAGACCAGAGTGAGTCCGACATGAGAGACCAGAGTGAGTCGGAGTGAGTCCGACGTGAGAGACCGGAGTGAGTCTGACGTGAGAGACCAGAGTGAGTCCGACGTGAGAGACCAGATTGAGTCCAACATGAGAGACCAGAGTGAGTCCGACGTGAGAGGCCGGAGTGAGTCGGAGTGAGTCCGACGTGAGAGACCGGAGTGAGTCCGACGTGAGAGACCGGAGTGAGTCCGACGTGAGAGACCGGAGTGAGTCTAACGTGAGAGACCAGAGTGAGTCCGACGTGAGAGACCAGAGTGAGTCCGACGTGAGAGACCAGAGTGAGTCCGACGTGAGAGACCAGAGTGAGTCCGACGTGAGAGACCAGAGTGAGTCCGACGTGAGAGACCAGAGTGAGTCGGAGTGAGTCCGACGTGAGAGACCGGAGTGAGTCGGAGTGAGTCTGACGTGAGAGACCGGAGTGAGTCGGAGTGAGTCCGACGTGAGAGACCGGAGTGAGTCTAACGTGAGAGACCAGAGTGAGTCTGACGTGACAGACCAGAGTGAGTCCGACGTGAGAGACCAGAGTGAGTCCGGCATGAGAGACCAGAGTGAGTCTGACATGAGAGACCTGAGTGAGTCCGACATGAGAGACCAGAGTGAGTCCAACGTGAGAGACCGGAGTCTGACGTAAGGGACCAGAGTGAGTCCAACAAGAGAGACCAGAGTGAGTCCGACGAGAGAGACCAGAGTGAGTCTGACATGAGAGACCTGAGTGAGTCCGACATGAGAGACCAGAGTGAGTCCGACGTGAGAGACTGGAGTCTGACGTGAGGGACCAGAGTGAGTCCGACGAGAGAGACCAGAGTGAGTCGGAGTGAGTCCGACGTGAGAGACCGGAGTGAGTCTGACGTGAGGGACCAGAGTGAGTCCCATGTGAGATACCAGAGTGAGTCCCACGTGAGAGACCAGAGTGAGTCCCACGTGAGAGACCAGAGTGAGTCCGACGTGAGAGACCAGAGTGAGTCCGATGTGAGAGACCGGAATGAGTCGGAGTGAGTCCGACGTGAGAGACCAGAGTGAGTCCGACGTGAGAGACCGGAGTGAGTCGGAGTGAGTCCGACGTGAGAGACCAGAGTGAGTCCGACGTGAGAGACCAGACTGAGTCCGACGTGAGGGACCGGAGTGAGTCTGACGTGAGAGACCAGAGTGAGTCCGACGTGAGAGACCAGAGTGAGTCCGACGTGAGAGACCAGAGTGAGTCCGACGTGAGAGACCAGAGTGAGTCCGACGTGAGAGACCAGAGTGAGTCCGACGTGAGAGACCGGAGTGAGTCCGACGTGAGAGACCAGAGTGAGTCCGACGTGAGAGACCAGAGTGAGACCAGAGTGAGTCCGACGTGAGAGACCAGAGTGAGTCCGACGTGAGAGACCAGAGTGAGTCCGACGTGAGAGACCAGAGTGAGTCCGACGTGAGAGACCAGAGCGAGTCTGACATGAGAGACCAGAGTGAGTCCAACATGAGAGACCAGAGTGAGTCCGACGTGAGAGACCGGAGTGAGTCTGACGTGAGAGACCAGAGTGAGTCCGACGTGAGAGACCAGAGTGAGTCTGATGTGAGAGACCGGAGTGAGTCTGACGTAAGAGACCGGAGTGAGTCCGACTTGAGAGACCGGAGTGAGTCTGACGTGAGAGACCGGAGTGAGTCCGACGTAAGAGACCGGAGTGAGTCCGACGTGAGAGACCGGAGTGAGTCTGACGTGAGAGACCGGAGTGACATGAGAGACCAGAGTGAGTCCGACTTGAGAGACCAGAGTGAGTCCGACATGAGAGACCAGAGTGAGTCTGACGTGAGAGACCAGAGTGAGTCCGACGTGAGAGACCAGAGTGAGTCCGACGAGAGAGACCAGAGTGAGTCCAACATGAGAGACCAGAGTGAGTCCAACATGAGAGACCAGAGTGAGTCCGACGTGAGAGACCGGAGTGAGTCTGACGTGAGAGACCAGAGTGAGTCCGACGTGAGAGACCAGAGTGAGTCTGACATGAGAGACCAGAGTGAGTCCAACATGAGAGACCAGATTGAGTCCAACATGAGAGACCAGAGTGAGACCAGAGTGAGTCCGACGTGAGAGACCAGAGTGAGTCCGACGTGAGAGACCAGAGTGAGACCAACATGAGAGACCAGAGTGAGTCCAACGTGAGAGACCAGAGTGAGTCCGACGTGAGAGACCAGAGTAAGTCCAACATGAGAGACCAGAGTGAGTCCCACGTGAGGGACCAGAGTGAGTCCGACGTGAGAGACCAGAGTGAGTCCGACGTGAGAGACCAGAGTGAGTCCGACGTGAGAGACCAGAGTGAGTCTGACATGAGAGACCAGAGTGAGTCCAACATGAGAGACCTGAGTGAGACCAGAGTGAGTCCGACGTGAGAGACACACTGAAAACCAATGTTTATAGTTTCAATAACTTTATGGAGGATGTAGTGATATTGACACTTGTTACAACACAATTATATAATAATAATAATAATAATAATCACAACACACTCAACACAAGAGAAATGTTTTAAAAGAACAGATACATCACTTTTTTACTACTTACTGGATCTTAACATTTTCAGAGTAGAAGGTTGTGTCACATTTTCAGGAAGACTGTTTCAGATATTAGCTGCATGAACATTACTGCAGGACCACCCAGTCCTGAGGTCTCTGTGAGGACCACCCAGTCCTCTGGTCTCTGTGAGGACCACCCAGTCCTCTGGTCTATGTGAGGACCACCCAGTCCTCTGGTCTATGTGAGGACCACCCAGTCCTCTGGTCTCTGTGAGGACCACCCAGTCCTGTAGTCTCTGTGAGGACCACCCAGTCCTGTAGTCTCTGTGAGGACCACCCAGTCCTCTGGTCTCTGTGAGGACCACCCAGTCCTCTGGTCTCTGTGAGGACCACCCAGTACTCTGGTCTCTGTGAGGACCACCCAGTCCTCTGGTCTCTTGACCTCAGAGGTCTCAGTCTGTTGTGGGGTCTAAAGCCAGACTGGAAAACATCAGATGACTTGTTTATTTGGGAACATATTTGGAGACGCAGGTCAGAGCCGTTGGGAGTGTTCAGATTTAAGGGTGAAGGAGAAAGACAGAAACAGCAAACACACTTTTAACAGTAGGATTGTTCTCCCCGACCCTGGCACGTCAGTGTCCCAGTCTGATGGCTCCAAACACAGACACTATCCTGTGCCTGAACACACTCTGGTTGATTCCGAGAGTGACAGTGGTGCCAGATACAAACAGAGACGTGACGGTGAAGGTGATGCTGATGTTCAGGTAGAACTGGGGCGTCTCTGAAGTAAAACACTGAAAGAGAAAGTAAACGGCGAGGACAGAGAAGAAGACAGCTTGGACTGCTCCAGTGACGGTGACTCTGATCTGTCCACGGAGTCTGGCTGCAGAAACAGAAGCGCCCATTGCTGCTAACGTTGTCATGTGTTTGTGAAGGTGTCGCACTGTGGACAAACTACTGACCATCGACACGCAGAGCAGTGCTGCGTAATGCAACATGACCGGGTACAACGCCAGAGCACGAAGACGGTAAAACTCCTCCGGCATGGGATAGTCCCATGTACTGGAGTTAGGGTGAGCCAAATGAAGAGACCATACCATCTTATCGAGAACATACATATTGAGTTTAGTTGAAATTACCACCAAGATGTCCAACGCTAAAAGCACATAAATAGAAGTCTTAATGTTTCGTTTGACCCAGTGGGAAAGGGGACACAGCGCCGGGACGATCTGGATGTAGAAGTAGAAGCTCAGCCACACGTAGCTGACCATGCTAAGGTCCACAGTGCAATCAACTATCAACATGCTTAATACGAAGTGCTCATAGGTCATCCGCTCCCAAAAAAGGCCAGCAACTGTGGACACAGAGTAGAAAAGGCTGCAGGAAATAAGAAGGGCCAGAAGCAGAGTCACCGGCTGCTTTCTCTGTCCTGGTTCAGTTGGAAAAATCAGGCAAAAAGAGAAAAACATGTTCACGATTGTGTTGAAGATGCAGAGTGAGCTGTTGATGGTCACAGTGGCCAGATACGGCATGTCAATCAAATCACCCATTGTGGAGTAAAGTAACTGTGCTAAGGCTCCGACTGGCTCCGACTGGCTCCGACCGGCTCCGACCGGCTCTGACTGGCTCTGACTGGCTCCGACTGGCTCCGACTGGCTCCGACTGGCTCCGACTGGCTCCGACTGGCTCAACTACTCCAAAGGAAGTGTGTTTATAAAGACACATGAGGCTGGGTGATGAGGCGGAGCCTCAGCTGTGGTCCTGCACAGACTAATCATAGCCCTACAGACCAGGACCAGTCAGGACTTCAGCATGTCACCTGGTACTGACCCTACGGACCAGGACTAGTCAGGACCTCAGCATGTCACCTGGTACATGAGTGTCAATTAAAGTATCTGGACTTTAAAAGGTTGTGACTCAAAAACTATAATGACTTCATAAAATTGTAAGAATATTTCAAACACAGACAGATCGAAGAGAAAGGATGAAATCAAAAGGAAAGATTAACAAATACATTTGGAACGACCGCCTCAGCCTCTGAATGTTAACATCTGAATGTTAACATCAGGAAATCACTGCTTTTAAAAAGGATTCATTAAAAAAATAATCAATACAAATGTAAATGACCTTGAAAAATGTGTTACGGACGTGATGGTTTCCTTTAACCACATTTATTATGAAAGTGTCTCTTTGTTTCTACAAATATGGATCATTACAGAGACGTTTCCACATCTGTATCTTCACAGGAGCATGGAGCAGGTGCTAACCACAGTCAAAGAGAAGTTCACCGAGACAGTACCCACCACAGACCGGAGCCCAGGGCGTCTACAAATGTTTGAAAAGTCCTATTTCTACACTTGTTATTGTCATTATGTGCATAAATAAAAAAAATCTCTTTAGAAGAAAATACATGTTCCAGCTCATATCTCAGACAGAATCAGGCGCGAGGACTTGAAAGGCTCGATCATGGCACCATTTCAACCATTTTAACCATTTTCACCATTTTCACCCAAACCAGAAATGGTGGAAACTTGTTGGAAACATTTGATGAATGTGAGAAAAGTGGATGCAACATTAAGCTGCTCTTTTGCCTTTCAAATGTGCTCAGCCACAGACCTGTGTTTCTATACAGACGGTACATTATGTCCACCTTAACAGCCACAGACCTGTGTTTTTATACAGACGGTACATTATGTCCACCTTAACAGCCACAGACCTGTGTTTTTATACAGACGGTACATTATGTCCACCTTAACAGCCACAGACCTGTGTTTTTATACAGACGGTACATTATGTCCACCTTAACAGCCACAGACCTGTGTTTCTATACAGACGGTACATTATGTCCACCTTAACAGCCACAGACCTGTGTTTTTATACAGACGGTACATTATGTCCACCTTAACAGCCACAGACCTGTGTTTCTATACAGACGGTACATTATGTCCACCTTAACAGCCACAGACCTGTGTTTTTATACAGACGGTACATTATGTCCACCTTAACAGCCACAGACCTGTGTTTTTATACAGACGGTACATTATGTCCACCTTAACAGCCACAGACCTGTGTTTTTATACAGACGGTACATTATGTCCACCTTAACAGCCACAGACCTGTGTTTTTATACAGACGGTACATTATGTCCACCTTAACAGCCACAGACCTGTGTTTTTATACAGACGGTACATTATGTCCACCTTAACAGCCACAGACCTGTGTTTTTATACAGACGGTACATTATGTCCACCTTAACAGCCACAGACCTGTGTTTTTATACAGACGGTACATTATGTCCGCCTTAACAGCCACAGACCTGTGTTTCTATACATACTGTACATTATGTAATAAACTGTCAAAGATCCATGAGAAACTGTCAAAGATCCATGAGAAACTCTCAAAGATCCATGAGAAACTCTCAAAGATCCATGAGAAACTGTCAAAAATCCATCATAAACTGTCAAAGATCTATGAGAAACTGTCAAAGATCCATGAAACTCTCAAAGATCCATGAGAAACTCTCAAAGATCCATGAAACTCTCAAAGATCCATGAAACTCTCAAAGATCCATGAGAAACTGTCAAAAATCCATCAGAAACTGTCAAAGATCCATGAGAAACTCTCAAAGATCCATGAAACTCTCAAAGATCTATGAGAAACTCTAAAAGATCCATTAGAAACTCTAAAAGATCCATGAAACTTTGAAAAATCCATGAGAAACCAGGGCTGGACTGGGACCAAAAACAAAAAAACGGAAAAAAAAAAACTAAAAACAACATCTGTCTGGAGCCGCAAAAAAAAAAAACAGCGTTGTATAAGGCTTATATGAAGGTAACAGGGGCTGAAGCTGTATTAGCTACATTAGCTACATTAGCTACCTTAGCTACCTTAGCTATATTAGCCTAATATCTAAATGACAAAGTAAAGGCTACAAACACATAAAAACCATTCATGATTATCAGATGTGTATTTTCATTGCAGCGTGTCCTGGAGAGAATGACGCACCACGTGACAACTCTGCTTTAACTTTAACCTTCTTGCAATTGTACAAATACAGTAAATAAATCTGCTTTTTGTCTCCGAGTTCACCTGCATCACTGTCTGTTCATATCCATCACAGGCTGAAGTTTGCTGGAGCTGAATGTCCTTAATGGCCTTTTCTTTCACCGTCTTTGAGAAGGTTTTTGAAGTCTGAAAATAGGTTCTCTGACTTTATGATGAATGAATCTTTCTGTGGACGTGTTTAAAGCTTCATTGTTCCTCCTGTTGCAACAACACTTTTCATTACAAACATGAAGCAGTCCTTCCTCATTGACTGAAAGCAAATGTTCATTCTCATTCTTAGTCCAGTCTTATCGACTCTCTTTATCTTTGGGCACACACAGTCTATGATGCTCACACGCCGGTTTGTTTACAGCAGCAGCCGCCTGGCACGGGCCGCGTCACAGGATATGACGCACTACGTGGACAGAAATGTTTAAATTGAATATTATTTATACAAGTTTTTGCAGAATTGAAAAATGTCAAGAATGTTTTTCCTCCTACAGAAACCACATTGAAACTAGAAATAAAATATAGCCCTCACACTCCATTTTCAGACATTTTTGAAAAGTCTCCAGGAGCCACTTTAGGGGCACTAAAGGTTGACCCCTGGTTTATACAGTATGTGGAAGCAAATACTGTAGAGGATCAGGATGTCTGCAGTTTCAACAATAAAATAAAGTACAATAGTCTACATTAAACAGAGTAATACTCTGTGTTTTCTACTTCCGCCTCCGTCGAGCAAAGACGTGTCTCAGACGCTCCTGCTTCTGACTGCTTGCTATCTCCTGTTTTTGTCTTTTTCCTGGAGTTTTGCCACAGACAACTTTAACAAGAATGGAAATGATTAACTGGTCCCTCAACGCAATTGATTCTATCTTTTCAACACGTAAGCGTGGGTCTGGAGAGCCCGTGTGCCCGGACGGGACTTCACCAGCGGGGTATACTCTTGACAGCTGGAACAAGTTTCAGCCCCTCTGTCTGTCGACCCTGTCCATTGAAGATTCAGAAGACGTATATATCTTTGGCATTTTGGTGGTGGGAATCCTCCTGTTTGGCTTTGGAGCTGTTCTCTTCTACCACAAATTCGGAGGCATGGCAGTTCGCAAGATTCACGACCTGCTGGCCGACAAAATCGATGGGATGTACAAGGAGCTTAGCCGCGTCGTGGTTGAGAGTGCTGTGGCTGGACAAAGGAGAGTGGTTTTGGTGGAACAGTTGATAAAAGACCTCGCAGCTCGTTCACTCGATGGGCATAAAACTCTGGAGTTGAGATTGAATGACATTGTGTGTCAGGCTTGAACTCTCTGACCCGGCTTGGATCTGCCCCTGTGTACGGGGTCTGAGGGCGCCGCAATTCGGTTTAATTGGATTTAATAGAATATCTGCCTGACATTGCATTGAATATTGTCTGAGGCGATGTGTTTTCTCCTCCTGTGTCTTCTCTCCACTCTTATCTCACATTCCTCGGGCCAAGGCCATAATAACAAGGTCCCATCTACAACAATCTCACACTTCAGTCTCCAGCTCGGATCCCGTCTCCCCCGCCTCCCTCTCTATCCATCTTGCTCCCTCCCTCCCCTTCACTCCTCACTGTGTTTCCGACTCACCCCCCTCCCTGACCCCGCCCCCCTCTGACAGCCACATTGGGCGGCTGTAGGAGGTGCTTCATCCCGAGAAAAAATCCGTGCTTTATACAAGGCACAAATGTGTCTATCCAACTGTCTGTTTATTCTACTGTTTGTCGCATGGCGCCGTAAAGATGGCGCCGTGGCAAGAGCTCTGGTGTGTGTCGTCTCCTCTGTCTGGTGCACACCGGGGTAGTCTTGCACAGTTTTTCCAATGTGGTTTTACTGCAAATGGCAAATAAATGAATCTGAATCTGATCTGAATCTAATAAACATGTCTCAGAGTGAAGGAGGTGGACACAGACAATACTATTGTTTGTTACAGGGATGAGAATTGGTAAACATTTATGAAAGGCATATTGTCAGCCATTAGCTGGCTCTAAATCTGTTTAATTTGTTCACAACATTTTACTTTTGGGCTCAAACATCAACTTTTAATGCAAAGGAAAATGTAGGTACCCGAGCTTTAATTTAGAGGAGAGGGGAGACGCGGACTGTTTTCTGCAGCGGTGTATTTATTGGGTGCACAAATTACGCAAAGACACGCATGGTCCTGTGCGCGTTTATGGTCTTGGGTATATTGTCACGTTGCGGCTACGCGCTCACCGTGTTGTGTTGTGAGCGGTCCCAGGTGAGCGGTTCCTGCGTCTAGCTCAGAGCCGCTGGATGCAGGAACACTGCGGCTGCTGAGGTGGTGGAATCCCGTTTGAGTACATACAGCAGGTGCCCCGCGGACACGCGCGCTCCCCTCAAACAATTCTCAACGGATTTACACTTTTCATAAACATGTGTTTTGTATGAGGCAGACAGACCGGCCCAAATATGGGCATCGGCCCTTCTGGCATTGCCCGGTACGCCCGATGGCCAGTCCAGCCCTGTTAGAAACTCTAAAAGATCCATGAGAAACTCTAAAAGATCCATGAGAAACTCTCAAAGATCCACGAGAAACTCTCAAAGATCCATTAGAAACTCTCAAAGATCCATGAAACTCTCAAAGATCCATGGGAAACTCTCAAAGATCCATGAAATTCTCAAAGATCCATGAAACTTTGAAAAATCCATGAGAAACTCTCAAAGATCCATGAGAAACTCTCAAAGACCCATGGGAAACTCTCAAAGACCCATGGGAAACTCTCAAAGATCCATGAAACTCTCAAAGATCCATGAGAAACTCTCAAAGATCCATGGGAAACTCTCAAAGATCCATGAGAAACTCTCAAAGATCCATGGGAAACTCTCAAAGATCCATGAAACTCTCAAAGATCTATGGGAAACTCTCAAAGATCTCTGGCAAACTCTCAAAGATCCATGGGAAACTCTCAAAGATCTATGGGAAACTCTCAAAGATCAATGGGGAAACTCTCAAAGATCTATGGGAAACTCTCAAAGATCTATGGGAAACTCTCAAAGATCTATGGGAAACTCTCAAAGATCTATGGGAAACTCTCAAAGATCTATGGGAAACTCTCAAAGATCCATGAAACTCTCACCAGAGAGAGAGAAACCATCAACGCCTGAACCAGAGGAACAGGGAACCATCAACGCCTGAATCAGAGAGACAAGGAACCATCAACACCTGAACCAGAAGAAGAGGAACCATCAACATCTGCACTAGAGAGAGAGGAACCATCAACACCTGCACCAGAGGGACAAGGAACCATCAACACCTGCACCAGAGAGAGGAACCATCAACCCTGAACCAGCACACCAGCTCCCTGCGCAGGTACACGTCTGAGCCTGCACCAGAGAGACAAGGAACCATCAAAGCCTGCACCAGAGGAATAGGAACCATCAACGTCTGAGCCTGCACCAGAGGGAAGAGGAACCATCAACGCCTGAACCAGAGGAACAGGGAACCATCAACGCCTGAATCAGAGAGACAAGGAACCATCAAAACCTGAACCAGAGGGACAGAGAACCATCAACGCCTGAATCAGAAAGACAAGGAACCATCAACGTCTGCACCAGAGGAAAGAGGAACCATCAAAGCCTGAACCAAAGGGAAGAGGAACCATCACCGCCTGCACCAAGGGGAAGAGGAACCATCAGCGCCTGAACCAGAGGGACAGGGAACCATCAACGTCTGCACCAGAAGGAAGAGGAACCATCAACGCCTGAACTAGAGGGAAGAGGAACCATCAACGCCTGAACCAGGGAGACAAGGAACCATCAACGTCTGAACCAGAATGAAGAAGAACAATCAACGCCTGACACAGAGGGACAAGGAACCATCAACGTCTGACGAACACAGAGGGACAAAGAGTTTTGAGAACCTTTTCGTTAGAACTTCCTGGTTTCTTTTTCTCTCTGGTGTCTCTCTCTGGTCTCTCTCTCTCTGGTGTCTCTCTCTCTCTCTGGTGTCTCTCTCTCTCTCTGGTCTCTCTCTCTCTGGTCTCTCTCTCTCTGGTCTCTCTCTCTCTGGTCTCTCTCTCTCTGGTCTCTCTCTCTGGTCTCTCTCTCTCTGGTTTCTCTCTCTCTGGTCTCTCTCTCTTTGGTCTCTCTCTTGGTCTCTCTCTCTCTGGTCTCTCTCTCTGGTCTCTCTCTCTGGTCTCTCTCTCTGGTCTCTCTCTCTGGTCTCTCTCTCTGGTCTCTCTCTCTGGTCTCTCTCTCTGGTCTCTCTCTCTGGTCTCTCTCTCTGGTCTCTCTCTCTGGTCTCTCTCTCTGGTCTCTCTCTCTGGTCTCTCTCTCTGGTCTCTCTCTCTGGTCTCTCTCTCTGGTCTCTCTCTGGTCTCTCTCTGGTCTCTCTCTGGTCTCTCTCTCTGGTCTCTCTCTGGTCTCTCTCTCTGGTCTCTCTCTCTGGTCTCTCTCTCTGGTCTCTCTCTCTGGTCTCTCTCTCTGGTCTCTCTCTCTGGTCTCTCTCTGGTCTCTCTCTCTCTGGTCTCTCTCTCTGGTCTCTCTCTCTGGTCTCTCTCTCTGGTCTCTCTCTCTGGTCTCTCTCTCTGGTCTCTCTCTCTGGTCTCTCTCTCTGGTCTCTCTGGTCTCTCTCTCTGGTCTCTCTCTCTGGTCTCTCTCTCTGGTCTCTCTCTCTGGTCTCTCTCTCTGGTCTCTCTCTCTGGTCTCTCTCTCTGGTCTCTCTCTCTGGTCTCTCTCTCTGGTCTCTCTCTGTCTCTCTCTGGTCTCTCTCTGGTCTCTCTCTGGTCTCTCTCTGGTCTCTCTCTGGTCTCTCTCTGGTCTCTCTCTGGTCTCTCTCTGGTCTCTCTCTGGTCTCTCTCTGGTCTCTCTCTGGTCTCTCTCTGGTACCTGGTTCAGCAAAGTTCCTCAGGGGGTCGTCTCCCATGACCCAGCCGTTGTGAGCCAGGAAGTGTGAGGTCTTCTGTGGCAGGTCCAGCATCTGCAGCTCCTCCTCCAGAGTCATGTCTCCGTACGGGAACGTGAAGTACCTGTCAATCATACACACGTGTGACATCACCACAGTGTGACATCACCACAGTGTGACATCACCACATAGTGACATCACCACAGTGTGACATCACCACAGTGTGACATCACCAGTGTGACATCACCACAGTGTGACATCACCACAGTGTGACATCACCACAGAGTGACATCACAGCTGGAGTTTCCCCTGAATGAAGGCCTCTGATTGGTCAGTCCTTATATGGTCATATCAGGACTTACAAAGACAACATCACATATAAACAGCAGGATCACAGAGCGCGGTAAACCACATATTTAAGCCCAAACTGTCTTCATAATGTGACATAATGTAAACATTCCCACCTCTGCACCTTCTCCACCGACTCCCACTGATGACTGCTGTCGTTGTGTCCTTGGGCAAGACACTTAACCCCACTTTGCCCAAAGCCCCCACTGAAAGATCAAGGCTATGCTCACACTCAGAGAGCAGCCGTCCTCCTGTGGACTCACCACCTGCAGAGGGTCAGTGAGGGGCTGGTGCTATGAGACTTGGGTGGCATCTCTGACTGCCACCCCCCTGACCCAGAAATGGATTAAAGGGTAGAAAATGGATGGATGGATGGAATGTAAACATTAAAACATCTCAGACCAAAGTCTCGCCTCCAACATTCTGTTCATCTTTTAACGTCAGCAGAAAGTGTAGAAAACTCCGCTGGACTTTGCAGTGGACTTTCTAAGCCTTGACCTGTGATGGTTCATAAAGCTGTAATCTCTGCTTCTATTGACACACAATAAACATGGACCAAAGTTCATTTTGACACATGGTATGACACATGGTATCAGTCCCAGAACCATCACTACATCTGCAGGACAACACTGAGTCCACCACTAACATGAGCAAGACCAGAGGGCTCCCTTTGATTTGCTCTCACCCAGTCCAGCCCCAGTCCCAGCCCAGCCCCAGTCCCGACCAGTCCAAATCCAGGCCAGTCCCACTCCTCCCTCTGTGTGTGCGCGGTGGAAAGGGTACAAACCTGGTGACTAGCGGGTCTTTCTGGGTCACTGGTCCCAGCTTGGGTCCATGTGCGGCAAGGCGCTCGTATACTACACTTCCCAGAATGCAGTTCACCGCCTGTTGAGGGAGACAGTGGACTTCAGTGAGCAGAGAGAGACCAGAGAGGAACCAGAGAGGAGCCAGAGAGAAGCCAGAGAGAGAGAGACCAAACCGAGACCAGAGAGAGAGAGACCAGACCGAGACCAGAGAGAGACAGAGAGAGACCAGAGAGACCAGAAAGAGACACTTTTGGTCATGGTTTTCTGTGATAAGTGCAGCTTTACCCTGTGCCGTGTCTCAGTAGTGTCCTCTGTGCCGTGTCTCAGTAGTGTCCTCTGTGCCGTGTCTCAGTAGTGTCCTCTGTGCCGTGTCTCAGTAGTGTCCTCTGTGCCGTATCTCAGTAGTGTCCTCTGTGCCGTGTCTCAGTAGTGTCCTCTGTGCCGTGTCTCAGTAGTGTTGCCGTGTCTCAGTAGTGTCCCCTGTGCCGTGTCTCAGTAGTGTCCTCTGTGCCGTGTCTCAGTAGTGTCCCCTGTGCCGTGTCTCAGTGGTGTCCCCTGTGCCGTGTCTCAGTGGCGTCCTCTGTGCCCTGTCTCAGTGGTGTCCTCTGTGCCGTGTCTCAGTGGTGTCCTCTGTGCCGTGTCTCAGTGGTGTCCTCTGTGCCGTGTCTCAGTGGTGTCCCCTGTGCCGTGTCTCAGTAGTGTCCTCTGTGCCGCGTCTCAGTAGTGTCCTCTGTGCCGCGTCTCAGTAGTGTCCCCTGTGCCGTGTCTCAGTAGTGTCCCCTGTGCCGTGTCTCAGTAGTGTCCCCTGTGCCGTGTCTCAGTAGTGTCCTCTGTGCCGTGTCTCAGTAGTGTCCTCTGTGCCGTGTCTCAGTAGTGTCCTCTGTGCCGTGTCTCAGTAGTGTTGCCGTGTCTCAGTAGTGTCCCTTGTGCCGTGTCTCAGTAGTGTCCCCTGTGCCGTGTCTCAGTGGTGTCCCCTGTGCCGTGTCTCAGTGGTGTCCCCTGTGCCGTGTCTCAGTAGTGTCCCCTGTGCCGTGTCTCAGTAGTGTCCCCTGTGCCGTGTCTCAGTAGTGTTGCCGTGTCTCAGTAGTGTCCTCTGTGCCGGTGTCTCAGTAGTGTTGCCGTGTCTCAGTAGTGTCCCCTGTGCCGTGTCTCAGTGGTGTCCCCTGTGCCGTGTCTCAGTGGTGTCCCCTGTGCCGTGTCTCAGTGGTGTCCCCTGTGCCGTGTCTCAGTGGTGTCCCCTGTGCCGTGTCTCAGTAGTGTCCCCTGTGCCGTGTCTCAGTAGTGTCCCCTGTGCCGTGTCTCAGTAGTGTCCCCTGTGCCGTGTCTCAGTGGTGTCCCCTGTGCCGTGTCTCAGTGGTGTCCCCTGTGCCGTGTCTCAGTGGTGTCCCCTGTGCCGTGTCTCAGTGGTGTCCCCTGTGCCGTGTCTCAGTGGTGTCCCCTGTGCCGTGTCTCAGTAGTGTCCCCTGTGCCGTGTTTCAGTAGTGTCCCCTGTGCCGTGTCTCAGTAGTGTCCCCTGTGCCGTGTCTCAGTAGTGTCCTCTGTGCCCTGTCTCAGTAGTGTCCTCTGTGCCGTGTCTCAGTAGTGTTGCCGTGTCTCAGTAGTGTCCTCTGTGCCGTGTCTCAGTAGTGTCCTCTGTGCCGTGTCTCAGTAGTGTTGCCGTGTCTCAGTAGTGTCCTCTGTGCCGTGTCTCAGTAGTGTCCTCTGTGCCGTGTCTCAGTAGTGTCCCCTGTGCCGTGTCTCAGTAGTGTTGCCGTGTCTCAGTAGTGTCCTCTGTGCCGTGTCTCAGTAGTGTCCTCTGTGCCGTGTCTCAGTAGTGTCCCCTGTGCCGTGTCTCAGTAGTGTCCTCTGTGCCGTGTCTCAGTAGTGTCCTCTGTGCCGTGTCTCAGTTGTGTCCCCTGTGGCCTCAGTAGTGTCCCCTGTGCCGTGTCTCAGTAGTGTCCCCTGTGCCGTGTCTCAGTAGTGTTGCCGTGTCTCAGTAGTGTCCCCTGTGCCGTGTCTCAGTGGTGTCCCCTGTGCCGTGTCTCAGTGGTGTCCCCTGTGCCGTGTCTCAGTGGTGTCCTCTGTGCCGTGTCTCAGTGGTGTCCCCTGTGCCGTGTCTCAGTGGTGTCCCCTGTGCCGTGTCTCAGTGGTGTCCCCTGTGCCGTGTCTCAGTGGTGTCCCCTGTGCCGTGTCTCAGTGGTGTCCTGTGCCGTGTCTCAGTGGTGTCCTGTGCCGTGTCTCAGTGGTGTCCTCTGTGCCGTGTCTCAGTGGTGTCCTCTGTGCCGTGTCTCAGTGGTGTCCTCTGTGCCGTGTCTCAGTGGTGTCCTCTGTGCCGGGTCTCAGTGGTGTCCTCTGTGCCGTGTCTCAGTGGTGTCCCCTGTGCCGTGTCTCAGTGGTGTCCCCTGTGCCGTGTCTCAGTGGTGTCCCCTGTGCCGTGTCTCAGTGGTGTCCTCTGTGCCGTGTCTCAGTGGTGTCCTCTGTGCCGTGTCGCAGTGGTGTCCCCTGTGCCGTGTCGCAGTGGTGTCCCCTGTGCCGTGTCTCAGTGGTGTCCCCTGTGCCGTGTCTCAGTGGTGTCCCCTGTGCCGTGTCTCAGTGGTGTCCCCTGTGCCGTGTCTCAGTGGTGTCCCCTGTGCCGTGTCTCAGTGGTGTCCCTGTGCCGTGTCTCAGTGGTGTCCCCTGTGCCGTGTCTCAGTGGTGTCCCCTGTGCCGTGTCTCAGTGGTGTCCTCTGTGCCGTGTCTCAGTGGTGTCCTCTGTGCCGTGTCTCAGTGGTGTCCTCTGTGCGTGTCTCAGTGGTGTCCTCTGTGCCGTGTCTCAGTGGTGTCCTCTGTGCCGTGTCTCAGTGGTGTCTCTGTGCCCTCTGTGCTCGTGCGTCTCAGTGGTGTCCTCTGTGCCGTGTCTCAGTGGTGTCCTCTGTGCCGTGTCTCAGTGGTGTCCTCTGTGCCGTGTCTCAGTGGTGTCCTCTGTGCCGTGTCTCAGTGGTGTCCTCTGTGCCGTGTCTCAGTGGTGTCCTCTGTGCCGTGTCTCAGTGGTGTCCTCTGTGCCGTGTCTCAGTGGTGTCCTCTGTGCCGTGTCTCAGTGGTGTCCTCTGTGCCGTGTCTCAGTGGTGTCCTCTGTGCCGTGTCTCAGTGGTGTCCTCTGTGCCGTGTCTCAGTGGTGTCCTCTGTGCCGTGTCTCAGTAGTGTCCCCTGTGCCGTGTCTCAGTAGTGTCCCCTGTGCCGTGTCTCAGTAGTGTTGCCGTGTCTCAGTAGTGTCCTCTGTGCCGTGTCTCAGTAGTGGTGCCGTGGCTCAGTAGTGTCCCCTGTGCCGTGTCTCAGTAGTGTCCCCTGTGCCGTGTCTCAGTAGTGTCCCCTGTGCCGTGTCTCAGTAGTGTCCCCTGTGCCGTGTCTCAGTAGTGTCCCCTGTGCCGTGTCTCAGTAGTGTCCCCTGTGCCGTGTCTCAGTAGTGTCCTCTGTGCCGTGTCTCAGTAGTGTCCCCTGTGCCGTGTCTCAGTAGTGTCCCCTGTGCCGTGTCTCGGTAGTGTCCCCTGTGCCGTGTCTCGGTAGTGTCCCCTGTGCCGTGTCTCGGTAGTGTCCTCTGTGCCGTGTCTCGGTAGTGTCCTCTGTGCCGTGTCTCGGTAGTGTCCTCTGTGCCGTGTCTCGGTAGTGTCCTCTGTGCCGTGTCTCGGTAGTGTCCCCTGTGCCGTGTCTCAGTAGTGTCCCCTGTGCCGTGTCTCAGTAGTGTCCCCTGTGCCGTGTCTCAGTAGTGTCCCCTGTGCCGTGTCTCAGTAGTGTCCTCTGTGCCGTGTCTCAGTAGTGTCCTCTGTGCCGTGTCTCAGTAGTGTCCTCTGTGCCGTGTCTCAGTAGTGTCCTCTGTGCCGTGTCTCAGTAGTGTCCTCTGTGCCGTGTCTCAGTAGTGTCCTCTGTGCCGTGTCTCAGTAGTGTTGCCGTGTCTCAGTAGTGTCCTCTGTGCCGTGTCTCAGTGTTGCCGTGTCTCAGTAGTGTCCTCTGTGCCGTGTCTCAGTAGTGTTGCCGTGTCTCAGTAGTGTCCTCTGAGCCGTGTCTCAGTAGTGTCCCCTGTGCAGTGTCTCAGTAGTGTCCCCTGTGCCGTGTCTCAGTAGTGTCCTCTGAGCCGTGTCTCAGTAGTGTCCCCTGTGCAGTGTCTCAGTAGTGTCCCCTGTGCCGTGTCTCAGTAGTGTCCCCTGTGCCGTGTCTCAGTAGTGTCCCCTGTGCCGTGTCTCAGTAGTGTCCCCTGTGCCGTGTCTCAGTAGTGTCCCCTGTGCCGTGTCTCAGTAGTGTCCCCTGTGCCGTGTCTCAGTAGTGTCCCCTGTGCCGTGTCTCAGTAGTGTCCCCTGTGCCGTGTCTCAGTAGTGTCCCCTGTGCCGTGTCTCAGTAGTGTCCTCTGTGCCGTGTCTCAGTAGTGTCCTCTGTGCCGTGTCTCAGTAGTGTCCTCTGTGCCGTGTCTCAGTAGTGTCCTCTGTGCCGTGTCTCAGTAGTGTCCTCTGTGCCGTGTCTCAGTAGTGTCCTCTGTGCCGTGTCTCAGTAGTGTCCTCTGTGCCGTGTCTCAGTAGTGTCCTCTGTGCCGTGTCTCAGTAGTGTCCCCTGTGCCGTGTCTCAGTAGTGTCCCCTGTGCCGTGTCTCAGTAGTGTCCCCTGTGCCGTGTCTCAGTAGTGTCCTCTGTGCCGTGTCTCAGTAGTGTTCCCGTGTCTCAGTAGTGTCCTCTGTGCCGTGTCTCAGTAGTGTCCTCTGTGCCGTGTCTCAGTAGTGTCTTCTGTGCCGTGTCCCAGTGGTGTCCTCTGTGCCGTGTCTCAGTGGTGTCCTCTGTGCCGTGTCTCAGTGGTGTCCTCTGTGCCGTGTCTCAGTAGTGTTGCCGTGTCTCAGTAGTGTCCTCTGTGCCGTGTCTCAATAGTGTTGCCGTGTCTCAGTAGTGTCCTCTGTGCCGTGTCTCAGTAGTGTTGCCGTGTCTCAGTAGTGTCCCCTGTGCCGTGTCTCAGTAGTGTCCCCTGTGCCGTGTCTCAGTAGTGTCCCCTGTGCCGTGTCTCAGTAGTGTCCCCTGTGCCGTGTCTCAGTAGTGTCCCCTGTGCCGTGTCTCAGTAGTGTCCTCTGTGCCGTGTCTCAGTAGTGTCCTCTGTGCCGGGTCTCAGTAGTGTCCTCTGTGCCGTGTCTCAGTAGTGTCCTCTGTGCCGTGTCTCAGTAGTGTCCTCTGTGCCGTGTCTCAGTAGTGTCCTCTGTGCCGTGTCTCAGTAGTGTTGCCGTGTCTCAGTAGTGTCCTCTGTGCCGTGTCTCAGTAGTGTTGCCGTGTCTCAGTAGTGTCCTCTGAGCCGTGTCTCAGTAGTGTCCTCTGTGCCGTGTCTCAGTAGTGTCCTCTGTGCCGTGTCTCAGTAGTGTTGCCGTGTCTCAGTAGTGTCCCCTGTGCCGTGTCTCAGTAGTGTCCCCTGTGCCGTGTCTCAGTAGTGTCCCCTGTGCCGTGTCTCAGTAGTGTCCCCTGTGCCGTGTCTCAGTAGTGTCCCCTGTGCCGTGTCTCAGTAGTGTCCTCTGTGCCGTGTCTCAGTAGTGTCCTCTGTGCCGGGTCTCAGTAGTGTCCTCTGTGCCGTGTCTCAGTAGTGTCCTCTGTGCCGTGTCTCAGTAGTGTCCTCTGTGCCGTGTCTCAGTAGTGTCCTCTGTGCCGTGTCTCAGTAGTGTTGGCGTGTCTCAGTAGTGTCCTCTGTGCCGTGTCTCAGTAGTGTTGCCGTGTCTCAGTAGTGTCCTCTGAGCCGTGTCTCAGTAGTGTCCTCTGTGCCGTGTCTCAGTAGTGTTGCCTTGTCTCAGTAGTGTCCCCTGTGCCGTGTCTCAGTAGTGTCCTCTGTGCCGTGTCTCAGTAGTGTCCTCTGTGCCGTGTCTCAGTAGTGTCCTCTGTGCCGTGTCTCAGTAGTGTCCTCTGTGCCGTGTCTCAGTAGTGTCCTCTGTGCCGTGTCTCAGTAGTGTCCTCTGTGCCGTGTCTCAGTAGTGTCCTCTGTGCCGTGTCTCAGTAGTGTCCCCTGTGCCGTGTCTCAGTAGTGTCCCCTGTGCCGTGTCTCAGTAGTGTCCTCTGTGCCGTGTCTCGGTAGTGTCCCCTGTGCCGTGTCTCAGTAGTGTCCCCTGTGCCGTGTCTCAGTAGTGTCCTCTGTGCCGTGTCTCAGTAGTGTCCTCTGTGCCGTGTCTCAGTAGTGTCCTCTGTGCCGTGTCTCAGTAGTGTCCTCTGTGCCGTGTCTCAGTAGTGTCCTCTGTGCCGTGTCTCAGTAGTGTCCTCTGTGCCGTGTCTCAGTAGTGTCCTCTGTGTCTCAGTAGTGTCCTCTGTGTCTCAGTAGTGTCCTCTGTGCCGTGTCTCAGTAGTGTCCTCTGTGCCGTGTCTCAGTAGTGTCCTCTGTGCCGTGTCTCAGTAGTGTCCGGTGTCCGCGGTTACAGGACTCTAACCTGTTCACACCAGAGTCTTGTTCCATCTCATTAAACTTGACTAAAGAGGCTGTTCTCTGTGTCTCTATTTCAGTCGCGGCTCATAAATCGGGACAGGTCTTTGGAGCGAGTGCAGAAGTGTGGTTTTCACACCGAGAGCTGAGGTCGTCACTTCACACCGAGAGCTGAGGTCGTCACTTCACACCGAGAGCGGGAGCCAAAACTCAACCCTTAGTCATGTGCTGATGGTGCAGTACCATGTGTGCAGAGGTCAGGAGGGAAGCGGGAGGACTTATGTCATTATTATGTATCGTTATTATGTCGTTATTATGTCATTATTATGTATCGTTATTATGTCATTATTATGTCATTATTATGTATCGTTATTATGTCATTATTATGTCATTATTATGTCATTATTATGTATCATTATTATGTCATTATTATGTCATTATGTCATTATTATGTCATTATCATGTATCGTTATTATGTCGTTATTATGTCATTATCATGTCATTATCATGTATCGTTATTATGTCGTTATTATGTCATTATTATGTCATTATCATGTATCGTTATTATGTCGTTATTATGTCATTATTATGTCATTATTATGTCGTTATTATGTCGTTATTATGTCATTATTATGTCATTATCATGTATCGTTATTATGTCGTTATTATGTCATTATCATGTCATTATCATGTATCGTTATTATGTCGTTATTATGTCATTATTATGTCATTATCATGTATCGTTATTATGTCGTTATTATGTCATTATTATGTCATTATTATGTCGTTATTATGTCGTTATTATGTCATTATTATGTCATTATCATGAATCGTTATTATGTATCGTTATTAGTGCAGTCAAAGGATTAAAACATTTCATTTGGTTTGAAAAGCGATGAAGCATAAGTATTCATCCAACCTGCTGCAAAAATAAAGAACTTTATTCTCTAATAAATGCTTCTCAGTCTCTGCTTTTGTTTTTAAGTCTTTAGAAGAAAGAAGAAGAAATGACCAGAAACAGAGGAGACGTGTTTATGTTTTTGTCCATGTTAACGTCCAGCAGCAGTGAGAGTGAGAGTAAACTCTAGCTCAGTAACGTGTGTGTGACATCACTCATAGGTGTTGTCTAGGTGACGGCCTTGGACCGGGGCTCTCACCTGTTCCTGGTGCTGCTGCACGACTCGGAGCTGCTCCTGGTTCAGTTCACACAGTCTCTGTCTGAAGCGGCCACAGCACTCCTCCACATGGTTCACAGAGGAGCTGGAGGAACCAGGAGGGACCACTGTGTCAGTGTACATGGCCTGGTCTCTCTCTCTCAGGTCTCTCTCTCTCTCAGGTCTCTCTCTCTCGGGTCCCTCTCTCTCTCTCGGGTCCGTCTCTCTCTCTCGGGTCTCTCTCTCTCGGGTCTCTCTCTCTCGGGTCTCTCTCTCTCGGGTCTCTCTCTCTCTCTCGGGTCTCTCTCTCTCGGGTCTCTCTCTCTCGGGTCTCTCTCTCTCGGGTCTCTCTCTCTCTGGTCTCTCTCTCTCTGGTCTCTCTCTGGTCTGTCTCTCTCTGGTCTCTCTGGTCTCTCTCTCTCTGGTCTGTCTCTCTCTGGTCTCTCTGGTCTGTCTCTCTCTGGTCTCTCTCTCTCTGGTCTCTCTCTCTCTGGTCTCTCTCTCTCTGGTTTCTCTCTCTGGTCTCTCACCTGTGAGGTACAAACATGTCCAGAGCTGAGTCCATGTCCACAGTGTTTCCAAAGCGTTTGAACTCAGGATCCTGGACCATCTTCAAGCCCTGGACTCTCTCACTGCGGCCTGACTGCGCACCTACACACACACACACACACACACGCACACGCACACGCACGCACACACACACACCCCCACACACACACACACACACAGAGGTCAGTTGTGTACACGCTCCTTACTTTGAGAAGCTAAAGCCTAGTGCGTACTCGCGCGGCGCGGTCCTTACGGTGGTGACGTCACCGCACACCCTTACGCAGCCGCACACCCTCGAACATTTCTAACTACGTAAGGGTCGCCGCAGAGAAGCTCCGCTGTGATTGGTCCGTGTGTGAGAGAAGCTCCGCTGTGATTGGTCCGTGTGTGAGAGAAGCTCCGCTGTGATTGGTCCGTGTGTGAGAGAAGCTCCGCTGTGATTGGTCCGTGTGTGAGAGAAGCTCCGCTGTGATTGGTCCGTGGGTGAGAGAAGCTCCGCTGTGATTGGTCCGTGTGTGAGAGAAGCTCCGCTGTGATTGGTCCGTGTGTGAGGGAAGCTCCGCTGTGATTGGTCCGTGTGTGAGAGAAGCTCCGCTGTGATTGGTCCGTGAGTGAGAGAAGCTCCGCTGTGATTGGTCCGTGTGTGAGAGAAGCCCCGCTGTGATTGGTCCGTGTGTGAGAGAAGCTCCGCTGTGATTGGTCCGTGTGTGAGAGAAGCTCCGCTGTGATTGGTCCGTGAGTGAGAGAAGCTCCGCTGTGATTGGTCCGTGTGTGAGAGAAGCTCTGCTGTGATTGGTCCGTGTGTGAGAAGCTCCGCTGTGATTGGTCCGTGAGTGAGAGAAGCTCCGCTGTGATTGGTCCGTGTGTGAGAGAAGCTCCGCTGTGATTGGTCCGTGTGTGAGAGAAGCTCCGCTGTGATTGGTCCGTGTGAGAGAGAAGCTCCGCTGTGATTGGTCCGTGTGTGAGAGAAGCTCCGCTGTGATTGGTCCGTGTGTGAGAGAAGCTCCGCTGTGATTGGTCCGTGTGTGAGAGAAGCTCCGCTGTGATTGGTCCGTGTGTGAGAGAAGCTCCGCTGTGATTGGTCCGTGGGTGTGTTTTAGACGGAAGCATGAAGCGGCTGCAGGAGCATGGACGAGGCACCTCTGAGCAGACTGCTTCAAAGGAACCGACGGAAAAGTAGTTTGGGCTCAGAGCCTGATATAGACTGGACTAGAGTTCTGTCGCATATCTAACGTATATATCTAACGCATATCTAACGTATATCTAACGTATATATCTAACGCATATCTAACGTATATCTAACGTATATATCTAACGCATATCTAACGTATATCTAACGTATATATCTAACGCATATCTAACGTATATCTAACGTATATATCTAACGCATATCTAACGTATATCTAACGTATATATCTAACGCATATCTAACGTATATCTAACGTATATATCTAACGCATATCTAACGTATATCTAACGCATATCTAACGTATATCTAACGCATATCTAACATATATCTAACATATATCTAACGTATATCTAACGTATATCTAACGTATATATCTAACGTATATCTAACGTATATCTAACGTATATCTAACGTATATCTAACGTATATCTAACATATATCTAACATGTCTAACATATATCTAACTTATAAACTGTGCAGTTGTTTGTTTTGCACTCGTATCTTATTGCGTCTGTTGTTTCCTCCTGTTCTTGTAAATCGTTCATGTTTGTCTCAGATATTTACCACTTTGTTTTTCTGTTTGTGCTGAAAACACTAATAACTGTAATATAGTAATAATATAATATATAATAATAACTGTAATATAGTAATAATATAATATATAATAATAACTGTAATATAGTAATAATATATATAATAATAATAACTGTAATATAGTAATAATATAATATATAATAATAATAACTGTAATATAGTAATAATATAATATATAATAATAATAACTGTAATATAGTAATATAGAGGGCGATAGTAGCTCAGTTGGTAGAGCATTGGCCTTAAGGCCAGAAGGTTGTGGGTTCAATTCCCACCTCTGCACCTTCTCCACCGACTCCCACTGATGACTGCTGTCGTTGTGTCCTTGGGCAAGACACTTAACCCCACTTTGCCCAAAGCCCCCACTGAAAGATCAAGGCTATGCTCACACTCAGAGAGCAGCAGTCCTCCTGTGGACTCACCACCTGCAGAGGATCAGTGAGGGGCTGGTGCTATGAGACTTGGGTGGCATCTCTGATTGCCACCCCCCTGACCCAGAAATGGATTAAAGGGTAGAAAATGGATGGATGGAAATGGATATAGTAATAATATATCCATCCATCCATCCATTTTCTTCCGCTTTATCCGTTGCCGGGTCGCGGGGGCAGCAGTCTAAGCAGAGACGCCCAGACTTCCCTATCCACACACACCTCCTCCAGCTCGTCCGGGGGGACCCCAAGGCGTTCCCAGGCCAGCTGAGAGACATAGTCTCTCCAGCGTAAGTAAGTAAGTAAGTAAGCTTTATTTATATACCGCCTTTCACAGACCAGAGTCACAAAGCGGTTTACAATTGTTATTTTATGGGCATTTGTCCTCTCACTCCACACAGAGATGGGAGCGGGGTCGCCGAACAGGAGGCGCATGCCAGACCTATTGTACATATTTTTAGTGGTAGGGGAAACCGGAGTACCCGGAGGAAACCTACGCAGACACAGGGAGAACATGCAAACTCCACTCAGAAAGGCCCTGGTCCGGCCGGGATTCGAACCCAGGACCTTCTTGCTGAGAGGCGAGAGTGCTATCCACTCAGCCACCGTGCCGCCCATATAATAATAATAACTGTAATATAGTAATAATATAATATATAATAATAATAACTGTAATATAGTAATAATATAATATATCCATCCATCCATCCATTTTCTTCCGCTTTATCCGTTGCCGGGTCGCGGGGGCAGCAGTCTAAACAGAGACGCCCAGACTTCCCTATCCACACACACTTCCTCCAGCTCGTCCGGGGGGACCCCAAGGCGTTCCCAGGCCAGCTGAGAGACATAGTCCCTCCAGCGTGTCCTGGGTCTTCCGCGGGGCCTCCTCCCGGTGGGACGTGCCCGGAACACCTCCCCAGGAAGGCGTCCAGGAGGCATCCTGAACAGATGCCCGAGCCACCTCAACTGGTTCCTCTCGACGTGGAGTAGCAGCGGCTCTACTCCGAGCTCCTCCCGTGTGACTGAGCTCCTCACCCTATCTCTAAGGGAGCGCCCAGCCACTCTGCGGAGGAAGCTAATTTCGACCGCTTGTATCCGCGATCTCGTTCTTTCGGTCATTACCCACAGCTCATGACCATAGGTGAGGGAGGGAACGAAGATTGACCGGTAAATTGAGAGCTTTGCCTTTCGGCTCAGCTCCCTCTTCACCACAACGGTCCGATACAGCTCTGACTGCAGACGCTGCTCCCTCTTTACCACAACGGTCCGATACAGCTCTGACTGCAGACGCTGCTCCCTCTTTACCACAACGGTCCAATACAGCGACCGCATCACTGCGCACGCTGCACCGATCCGCCTGTCAATCTCACGCTCCATCCTCCCCTCACTCGTGAACAAGACCCCGAGATACTTGAACTCCTCCACTTGAGGAAGGACCTCCCCACCCACCTGGAGAGGGCAAGGCACCTTTTTCCGGTCGAGCACCATGGCCTCGGATTTGGAGGTGCTGATTCTCATCCCAGCCGCTTCACACTCGGCTGCAAACCGTCCCAGTGCATGTTGCAGGTCCTGGTTCGTTGGAGCCAGCAGGACGACATCATCCGCAAAAAGTAGAGATGAAATCCTGTGGTTCCCGAACCGGACCCCCTCCGGCCCCTGGCTGCGCCTAGAGATTCTGTCCATAAATACAGTGAACAGAACCGGTGACAAAGGGCAGCCTTGGCGGAGGCCAACATGCACCGGGAACAGGTCTGACTTACTGCCGGCAATGCGGACACAGCTCTGGCTCCGGTCATACAGGGACCGAACAGCCCTCAGCAGAGGACCCCGGACCCCGTACTCCCGGAGGACCCCCCAAAGGACACCCCGGGGAACACGGTCGAACGCCTTCTCCAAATCCACAAAGCACATGTGGACAGGTTGGGCGAACTCCCATGAACCCTCGAGTATCCGATGGAGAGTATAGAGCTGGTCAGGTGTTCCGCGGCCGGGACGAAAACCACACTGCTCCTCTTGAATCCGAGATTCGACCATCGGCCGTAGCCTCCTCTCCAGTACCTTGGAGTAGACCTTACCGGGCAGGCTGAGGAGTGTGATCCCACGATAATTGGAACACACCCTCCGGTCCCCCTTCTTGTAGAGAGGGACCACCACCCCGGTCTGCCACTCCATTGGCACTGCCCCCGATCGCCACGCGATGTTGCAGAGACGTGTCAGCCAAGACAGTCCTACAACATCCAGAGACTTTAGATAGTCAGGACGGATCTCATCCACTCCCGGCGCCTTGCCACCATGGAGGCTGCCAACCACCTTGGTGACCTCGGCCAGGGAGATGGAAGTATCCGCCCCAACATCCTCAGCCTCTGCCTCCTGGACGGAGGACGTGACGGGGGGATTGAGGAGAACCTCGAAGTATTCCTTCCACCGCCCGACAATATCCCCAGTCGAGGTCAGCAGCTCTCCACCAGCACCATACACGGTGTTGGCAAAGAACTGCTTCCCCCTCCTGAGGCGCCGGACGGTTTGCCAGAACCTCTTCGAGGCCGACCGATAGTCATGCTCCATGGACTCTCCGAACTCCTCCCAGTCCCGGGTTTTAGCCTCTGCAACAACCCGGGCCGCGGCACGTTTGGCCTGCCGGTACTGGACAGCTGCCTCAGGAGTCCCACGAACCATCATTGCTCGATAGGACTCCTTCTTCGGCCTGACGGCATCCCTTACTGCCGGTGTCCACCACCGGGTTCGGGGATTGCCGCCGGGACCAGCACCAGAGACCTTGCGACCACAGCTACGAGCCGCTGCATTGGCGATAGAGGAAGAGAACATGGTCCACTCGGACTCGATGTCCCCCTCCTCTGCCGGGACCTGGGAGAAGCTCTCCCGGAGGTGTGAGTTGAAAGTCCGTCTGACAGGGGGCTCAGCGAGACGTTCCCAGCAGACCCTCACTACACGCTTGGGCCTGCCAGGTCTGACCGGCCTCCTGCCCTGCCAGCAGATCCAACTCACGACCAGGTGATGATCGGTTGACAGCTCCGCCCCTCTCTTCACCCGAGTGTCCGAAACACGCGGTCGAAGGTCAGATGATACGACTACAAAGTCGATCATCGACCTCCGGCCTAGGGTGTCCTGGTGCCACGTGCACTGGTGGACACCCTTGTGCTCGAACATGGTGTTCGTGATGGACAGGCCGTGACTGGCACAGAAGTCCAACAACTGAACACCGCTCGGGTTCAGATCAGGGGGGCCGTTCTTCCCGATCACCCCTCTCCAAGTGTCACTGGCATTTCCCACATGGGCGTTGAAGTCCCCCAGGAGAATAACGGAGTCCCCGGGCGGTGCACTGTCCAGTACCCCTCCCAAGGACTCCAAGAAGGCCGGGTACTCTGCACTGCTGTTAGGCCCGTAGGCCGTCACAACAGTGAGAGACTTGTCCCCCACCCGGAGGCGGAGGGACGCGACCCTCTCATTCACCGGGGAGAACTCCAACACGTGGCGGCTGAGATGGGGGGCAATGAGAATGGCCACCCCAGCTCGCCGCCTCTCCCCGCGGGAAACACCAGAAAAGTGGAGCGTCCAACCCCTCTCAAGGAGTTGGGTTCCAGAGCCCAAGCTGTGTGTGGAGGTGAGGCCGACTATCTCTAGTCGGTATCGCTCAACCTCCCCCACGAGCTCGGGCTCCTTCCCCCCCAGTGAGGTGACGTTCCACGTCCCAAGAGCCAGATGTTGGGTGTGTGGACTGGGTCGTCGAGGTCTCCGCCTTCAACCGCTGCCCAGTCCTCTCTGCACCTCGCCACCACGGACCCCTCTGCAGGTGGTGGGCCCACAGGAGGGACTGCCCACGTCATCCCTTCGGGCTGAGCCCGGCCGGGCCCCGTGGGCTAAGGCCCGGCCACCAGGCGCTCGCTTGCGAGCCCCGACCCCAGGCCTGGCTCCAGGGTGGAGCCCCATGCCGGGCGACGTCACGGTTTTCATTGTCGTGCTGTCCATGGTTGGCTTCGGACTGCGCTTCGTCTGACTCGTCACCTGAGACCTGTCTGCCATGGGAGGCCCTACCAGGGGCATGAAGCCCCAGACAGCATAGCTCCCAGGATCATCCGAGTACTCAAACTCCCCCACCACGTTAAGGTGGCAGTCCAAGGGGGGATAATAATAACTGTAATATAGTAATAATATAATATATAATAATAATAACTAATATAGTAATAATATAATATATAATAATAATAACTATGTTTTCAACAGAACTGTGTGTTTATTCACAGCATCACAGTTAAATGAGTTGAAACGATGAGTTTAGAACGGTCACATAAACCTACAGTAGAAACACATGTTTTTGTTCTGAAGGAGAAAGAAGCAGCATAAATGAGACCGCTTTGGTTTCTAAACTCCTGTGAGATCGCCATCATGTGGTTGGGAGTGGGATTACAACATTCCGTAGGTCCAACTGTGGTTCCGCGGGTCCAACTGTGGTTCCGCGGGTCCAACTGTGGTTCCGCGGGTCCAACTGTGGTTCCACGGGTCCAACTGTGGTTCCGCGGGTCCAACTGTGGTTCCGCGGGTCCAACTGTGGTTCCGTAGGTCCAACGTAACCGTGACCAGCGCCGCGCGAGTGTACACGGTACAGTAGGCTGAACGCACCATGGTTCAGTAGAGCCTTGAACTGCAGCACCACATGGTCCACGTCCAACTGGAAGAACTCCCACAATCTGATCTGAGGGAAGATCTCCTCCCACATCACACTGCGGATGGCCTACACACAGATACACACAGATACACACAGTTACACACAGTTACACACAGTTACACACAGTTACACACAGATACACACAGTTACACACAGTTACACACAGTTACACACAGATACACACAGATACACACAGTTACACACAGTTACACACAGTTACACACAGTTACACACACACACAGATACACACACAGATACACACAGTTACACACACAGTTACACACAGATACACACAGTTACACACACACACAGATACACACACATAGATACACACACACAGAGACACACAGATACACACAGTTACACACACACAAACACACAGTTACACACACACACACAGAGAGACACACACAGATACACACACAGAGAGACACTCACACAGATACACACAGTTACACACACACACAGATACACAGTTACACACAGAGAGAGAGACACACACAGATACACACAGTTACACACACAGAGAGAGACACACACAGATACACACAATTACACACACAGAGAGAGAGACAAACAGATGCACAGTTACACACACAGTTACACACACACACAGATACACAGTTACACACAGAGAGAGAGACACACACAGATACACACAGTTACACACACAGAGAGAGACACACACAGATACACACAATTACACACACAGAGAGAGACACACACAGATACACAGTTACACACACAGAGAGACACACACAGTTACACACACAGAGAGAGAGACACTAATTACAAAAAATGTATAGGCCTTTTAGGTTAGAGAGACCAAAGAGAGACCAGAGAGAAACCAGAGAGAGACCAGAGAGACCAGAGAGAGACCAGAGAGAGACCAGGGAGAGACCAGAGAGAGACCAAAGAGAGACCAAAGAGAGACCAGAGAGAGACCAGAGAGAGACCAGAGAGAGACCAGAGAGAGACCAGAGAGAGACCAGAGAGACCAGAGAGACCAGAGAGAGAGACCAGAGAGAGACCAGAGAGAGAGACCAGAGAGACAGACCAGAGAGACCAGAGAGAGACGAGAGACCAGAGAGAGAGACCAGAGAGACCAGAGAGACCAGAGAGAAACCAGAGTGAGAGACCAGAGAGAGAGACCAGAGAGAGACCAGAGAGACCAGAGAGAGACCAGAGAGAGAGACCAGAGAGAGAGACCAGAGAGACCAGAGAGAGAGACCAGAGAGAGAGACCAGAGAGACCAGAGAGACCAGAGAGAGACCAGAGAGAGACACCAGAGAGAGAGACCAGAGAGACCAGAGAGAGACACCAGAGAGAGACCAGAGAGAGAGACCAGAGAGAGACCAGAGAGACCAGAGAGAGAGACCAGAGAGAGAGACCAGAGAGAGACACCAGAGAGAGACCAGAGAGAGACACCAGAGAGAGACCAGAGAGACACCAGAGACACCAGAGAGACACCAGAGAGAGACCAGAGAGAGACCAAAGAGAGACACCAGAGAGACACCAGAGAGAGAGACCAGAGAGAGACCAGAGAGACACCAGAGAGACACCAGAGAGACACCAGAGAGACACCAGAGAGACCAGAGAGACACCAGAGAGACACCAGAGAGAGACCAGAGAGACACCAGAGAGACACCAGAGAGAGAGACCAGAGAGAGACCAGAGAGACACCAGAGAGACACCAGAGAGAGAGACCAGAGAGACACCAGAGAGAGACCAGAGAGACACCAGAGAGAGACCAGAGAGACACCAGAGAGACACCAGAGAGAGAGACCAGAGAGACACCAGAGAGACACCAGAGAGACACCAGAGAGAGACCAGAGAGAGACCAGAGAGAGACCAGAGAGAGACCAGAAAGAGAGACCAGAGAGAGAGACCAGAGAGAGACTAGAGCCGGTTTTCTTTGTGAAAACAACATTAGAGAACAGGCCGAGACCAGGTGTATTCATGTCGGCACCAGTAAAACCACAACTCATTATGAAACACAACCAGGACCTCAGGGAAGAAAACCACACATGGTTTCATCACAAACAGCTCTAATACTGTATATACTGAGGTCTAACTCTATATTTAATGTATACTGAGGTCTAACTCTATATTTAATGTATACTGAGGCCTAACTATATTTAAATGTATACTGAGGCCTAACTCTATATTTAATGTATACTGAGGCCTAACTCTATATTTAATGTATACTGAGGTCTAACTATATTTAATGTATACTGAGGTCTAACTCTATATTTAATGTATACTGCTATATTTAATGTAAACTGAGGCCTAACTCTATATTTAATGTATACTGAGGTCTAACTATATTTAATGTATACTGAGGTCTAACTCTATATTTAATGTATACTGAGGCCTAACTCTATATTTAACGTATACTGAGGTCTAACTTTATTTAATGTATACTGAGGCCTAACTCTATATTTAATGTATACTGAGGCCTAACTCTATATTTAATGTATACTGAGGTCTAACTCTATATTTAATGTATACTGAGGTCTAACTATATTTAATGTATACTGAGGTCTAACTCTATATTTAATGTATACTGAGGTCTAACTCTATATTTAATGTATACTGAGGTCTAACTATATTTAATGTAAACTGAGGCCTAACTCTATATTTAATGTATACTGAGGTCTAACTATATTTAATGTATACTGAGGTCTAACTCTATATTTAATGTATACTGAGGCCTAACTCTATATTTAATGTATACTGAGGTCTAACTTTATTTAATGTATACTGAGGCCTAACTCTATATTTAATGTATACTGAGGCCTAACTCTATATTTAATGTATACTGAGGTCTAACTCTATATTTAATGTATACTGAGGTCTAACTATATTTAATGTATACTGAGGTCTAACTCTATATTTAATGTATACTGAGGTCTAACTCTATATTTAATGTATACTGAGGTCTAACTATATTTAATGTATACTGAGGCCTAACTATATTTAATGTATACTGAGGTCTAACTATATTTTTAATGTATACTGAGGTCTAACTATATTTAATGTATACTGAGGCCTAACTCTATATTTAATGTATACTGAGGTCTAACTCTATATTTAATGTATACTGAGGTCTAACTATATTTAATGTATACTGAGGTCTAACTATATTTAATGTATACTGAGGTCTAACTCTATATTTAATGTATACTGAGGTCTAACTCTATATTTAATGTATACTGAGGTCTAACTATATTTAATGTATACTGAGGCCTAACTATATTTAATGTATACTGAGGTCTAACTATATTTTTAATGTATACTGAGGTCTAACTATATTTAATGTATACTGAGGCCTAACTCTATATTTAATGTATACTGAGGTCTAACTCTATATTTAATGTATACTGAGGTCTAACTATATTTAATGTATACTGAGGACATCAGGTCGTCTGTCCTTCGTTGTGTTTATTATTAGTTCATTATAATTAGTGCCATGAATAGAGCAGACATTTGGTCTGTGTTTGTTTTGCTCTATCAGCTGTTCATCTGGTGTGTGTGTGTGTGTGTCTGTGTGTCTGTGTGTGTCCGTGTGTGTCTGTGTGTGTGTGTCTGTCTCTGTGTCTGTGTGTGTCTGTCTCTGTGTGTGTGTGTGTGTGTGTCTGTGTGTGTGTGTGTGCGTGTGTCTGTCTCTGTGTGTGTGTGTGTCTGTGTGTGTGTGTGTGTGTGTGTGTGTGTCTGTGTGTGTGTGTGTGTGTGTGTCTGTCTCTGTGTGTGCGTGACCTGTAGATGCTGGTCCTCCGTGACCTCAGCAGGGAGGCCCCTCTCCTCGTAGCGGCCCTCCCCCATGCGGGTGGTGAGGTGCCACAGGGCTCGGTCCAGGACCCAGGCCGGTCTGAGGTGTGGAGAGTTCACCAGGTTATAGCCACACTCAGGGTGCTCCTGGATCCACGGGCTGTTAGCGGCTAACACACAAGATACACAATCACACACAACCAGAGGGGACCAGAGAGAGACCAGAGAGAGAGACCAGAGAGAGAGACCAGAGAGAGAGACCAGAGAGAGACCAGAGAGAGACCAGAGAGGACCAGAGAGAGACCAGAGAGAGACCAGAGAGAGACCAGAGAGAGACCAGAGAGAGAGACCAGAGAGAGACCAGAGAGAGAGACCAGAGAGAGACCAGAGAGAGACCAGAGAGGACCAGAGAGAGACCAGAGAGAGACCAGAGAGAGACCAGAGAGAGACCAGAGAGAGAGAACAGAGAGAGACCAGAGAGAGAGACCAGAGAGAGACCAGAGAGAGACCAGAGAGAGACCAGAGAGACCAGAGAGACCAGAGAGAGAGACCAGAGAGAGAGACCAGAGAGAGAGACCAGAGAGAGAGACCAGAGACCAGAGAGAGAGACCAGAGAGAGAGACCAGAGAGAGAGACCAGAGACCAGAGAGAGACCAGAGACCAGAGAGAGACCAGAGAGAGACCAGAGAGAGACCAGAGAGAGAGACCAGAGAGAGACCAGAGAGAGAGACCAGAGAGAGACCAGAGAGAGAGACCAGAGAGAGACCAGAGAGAGACCAGAGAGAGAGACCAGAGAGAGAGACCAGAGATGCATGTTTCTGGCCTCTGTTTGGATGATCTTTTCAGACAGAACAGGGAAACCCATCCTCACTCAGCCAATCAGCTCTCAGCCAATCGGCTCTCAGCCAATCAGCTCTCAGCCAATCAGCTCTCAGCCAATCAGCAATCTCATCTCAAAGAGTCAAGTAGTGACTCAGGCAGTGTTTCCTCTAATTTTTGAGAATGAGCAAAAACACAAATCTGACACTGTCAATCATGTGGACGAGCCGTAAATACATCTGTGCACCGACGTCACTGCTTCCAGAGTCTGTCAGAGGGTTTCTCTCACAGTCTGTCAGAGGGTTTCTCTCACAGTCTGTCAGAGGGTTTCTCTCAAAGTCTGTCAGAGGGCTTCTCTCACAGTCTGTCAGAGGGCTTCTCTCACAGTCTGTCAGAGGGCTTCTCTCACAGTCTGTAAGAGGGTTTCTCTCACAGTCTGTCAGAGGGCTTCTCTCACAGTCTGTAAGAGGGTTTCTCTCACAGTCTGTAAGAGGGTTTCTCTCACAGTCTGTCAGAGGGTTTCTTTCACAGTCTGTAAGAGGGTTTCTCTCACAGTCTGTCAGAGGGTTTCTCTCACAGTCTGTCAGAGGGTTTCTTTCACAGTCTGTAAGAGGGTTTCTCTCACAGTCTGTCAGAGGGTTTCTTTCACAGTCTGTAAGAGGGCTTCTCTCACAGTCTGTAAGAGGGTTTCTCTCACAGGACCAACACAGCAGGAGGTCTAAAGCACTGTTTATGTTGTGCTCAGTCTCTTCAGACAAACACAAAGTATTATTAGTAAACTTAGAGACCTCAGCTTTAACGGGGTCGCCTCAGTCCTTTACCCAGAGACCATAAAGCCTCTGGGTAAAGGGGTCGCCTCAGTCCTTTACCCAGAGACCATAAAGCAGGAGGGGGTCCATGTCAGCGATCAGGGGTAGTTTTACCCTGACCTTTAGTACAGATGGTACAGGCACAGGATACACTTACACACACATACATGAGAGGGAGAGACCAGAGAGAGAGACCAGAGAGAGAGACCAGAGAGAGAGACCAGAGAGAGAGACCAGAGAGAGAGACCAGAGAGAGAGACCAGAGAGAGAGACCAGAGAGAGAGACCAGAGAGAGAGAGACCAGAGAGAGAGACCAGAGAGAGAGACCAGAGAGAGAGACCAGAGAGAGAGAGACCAGAGAGAGACCAGAGAGAGAGACCAGAGAGAGACCAGAGAGAGACCTCACCTCGACTCGACTCGACTCGGATCCTGTGTAACCAGTACCAGGTCCTTCTTTAGTCCCTCTTGGTCCTGGTTCTATCCAGGCCGAGCTGGTACTAAAGTGTTCTAACTGCTGCTTGAAGCCATGGCTACCAAAGAATTTACCTGGATACTGGGTTGTTATGGGTTCTGGCCTCCCCTGACTCGGGGCCTCCCCTGACTCGGGGCCTCCCCTGACTCGGGGCCTCCCCTGACTCGGGGCCTCCCCTGACTCGGGGCCTCCCCTGACTCGGGGCCTCGCCTGACTCGGGGCCTCGCCTGACTCGGGGCCTCCCCTGACTCGGGGCCTCCCCTGACTCGGGGCCTCCCCTGACTCGGGGCCTCCCCTGACTCGGGGCCTCCCCTGACTCGGGGCCTCCCCTGACTCGGGGCCTCCCCTGACTCGGGGCCTCCCCTGACTCGGGGCCTCCCCTGACTCGGGGCCTCCCCTGACTCGGGGCCTCCTCTGACTCGGGGCCTCCTCTGACTCGGGGCCTCCTCTGACTCGGGGCCTCCTCTGACTCGGGGCCTCCTCTGACTCGGGGCCTCCTCTGACTCGGGGCCTCCTCTGACTCGGGGCCTCCTCTGACTCGGGGCCTCCTCTGACTCGGGGCCTCCTCTGACTCGGGGCCTCCCCTGACTCGGGCCTCCCCTGACTCGGGCCTCCTCTGACCAGAGTATAGAGCAGAGTCTAGTAGAGCACAGCAGAGTAGAGCAGACCTGTGTGGTTGTAGACCACGTCAGTGATGCAGACCATGTCCCACTCGGTGCGGAGCCTCTCCACCAGGGCCCCCACCTCCTCCCAGCCGTAGCTGCAGCCTGGAGGACTGAACCCAGGACTGAGGCTCAGCTGGTCTGCCAGAGAGTAGCAGGACCGAGACTCTCCCAGGGTCTGCAGGGGGGTGAAGTGGATCATGTTGTAGCCTGGAGGAGAGACAGGAGATTAGAGAGAGAAACCAGAGAGAGAGACTAGAGAGAAAGACAGAGAGAGAGACTAGAGAGAGACCAGAGAGAGAGACCAGAGAGAGACCAGAGAGAGAGACCAGAGAGAGAGACCAGAGAGAGACCAGAGAGAGACCAGAGAGAGAGACCAGAGAGAGAGACCAGAGAGAGAGACCAGAGAGAGAGACCAGAGAGAGACCAGAGAGAGACCAGAGAGAGACCAGAGAGAGAGACCAGAGAGAGAGACCAGAGAGAGACCAGAGAGAGAGACCAGAGAGAGGCCACATAGTTGATATGTGTGACAAAGAGCTTTGTAACAAATGTGCAGAAACAGATAAAATGGTGGTTCTTCAGATCCAGTTGTGAACAGCAGGATCTCAGTGAAGCAGCTGAAACAGACACCGCTCCAGGAAGAACCTTCTTTAAGTCCTCACTGCTGCTCATGTTAAACCAGGAAGTAACAGTTCCTTGGCTCTTATGGTCCGTGATTATTGTAGTTCCTGTGAACTGTGTGATTCTCTGATCTGCTGCTGGGGAATCCTCAACTCTGTACAGTCAGAGACACTTCAGTGGTTTAGGGCGAGACACAAATGCATTGACTGGTTTAAGCTAGCGCTAGTCGGCTTCAGCAGCAGGTACCAGTGATGTACCTGTGTGCTGGGGGTACCATGGGGGTACCATGGGAGTACCATGGGAGTATACTATATATTCAGATTCTCTCCAGGTTTTTTCTATTGTATCAGTTGCACTATAAATAGGTATGTACATACTGTACATATATATATTGTATTCTTTATATGTTTGACTGCATTTTTTTAATGTCTCCACCTTGTGGTTCATGTGTTTAATTGTGAAATGCTCTGTGGGTGTGGTGACTGCCCACCCTTGGGTGCTTGCCCCACCCTATTTAAGATGACTTCCTGTTGCTCGTCTCATGTTTCCTTGATGAAGGCATAACGCCAAAACGTTGCACTAATAAATTAGTTCCAATTTGCAAGTAAGACTGTGTGCAGGAATCTTTCTCTCTAGTACCATGGGAGTACCATGGGAGTACCATGGGAGTACCATGGGTGTACCTGTCTCCTTGGCAACGCGGAGCCGGTCGGGCCAGTCGTCCAGGAGTCCCAGACACTTGGACAGGTAGGTCTGGATGGTCACACAGTCCAGCGGCAGGACGTGGTTATCAGGCCCCACACGCAGCACCGGGTCCACCACGATGTAACCTCCTCCAGAGCGCTCTATCCCCCTGAGGGAAGACACAAAGACACAAATCAAACCAGAGAGAGCTCTATCCCCCTGAGGGAAGACAGAAAGACACAAATCAAACCAGAGAGAGCTCTATCCCCCTGAGGGAAGACACAAAGACACAAATCAAACCAGAGAGAGCTCTATCCCCCTGAGGGAAGACACAAAGACACAAATCAAACCAGAGAGAGCTCTATCCCCCTGAGGGAAGACAGAAAGACACAAATCAAACCAGAGAGAGCTCTATCCCCCTGAGGGAAGACACAAAGACACAAATCAAACCAGAGAGAGCTCTATCCCCCTGAGGGAAGACACAAAGACACAAATCAAACCAGAGAGAGCTCTATCTCCCTGAGGGAAGACAGAAAGACATAAATCAAACCAGAGAGAGCTCTATCCCCCTGAGGGAAGACAGAAAGACACAAATCAAACCAGAGAGAGCTCTATCCCCCTGAGGGAAGACACAAAGACACAAATCAAACCAGAGAGAGCTCTATCTCCCTGAGGGAAGACACAAAGACACAAATCAAACCAGAGAGAGCTCTATCCCCCTGAGGGAAGACAGAAAGACACAAATCAAACCAGAGAGAGCTCTATCCCCCTGAGGGAAGACACAAAGACACAAATCAAACCAGAGAGAGCTCTATCCCCCTGAGGGAAGACACAAAGACACAAATCAAACCAGAGAGAGCTCTATCCCCCTGAGGGAAGACAGAAAGACACAAATCAAACCAGAGAGAGCTCTATCCCCCTGAGGGAAGACACAAAGACACAAATCAAACCAGAGAGAGCTCTATCCCCCTGAGGGAAGACAGAAAGACACAAATCAAACCAGAGAGAGCTCTATCTCCCTGAGGGAAGACACAAAGACACAAATCAAACCAGAGAGAGCTCTATCCCCCTGAGGGAAGACAGAAAGACACAAATCAAACCAGAGAGAGCTCTATCCCCCTGAGGGAAGACAGAAAGACACAAATCAAACCAGAGAGAGGCAGTACTAAAGGGCTGGACTCTCCCCGGTTCAAGAGCCTTTCACCACGGTACTTCTTTAGTAATGGTTTGGTCCTGGTTCTACCCGGGCCGAGTCGATACCAAAACAATCTGACGTTGGCGACTGTCAATTCTGATTCCGAAATGAGTGCTTTCAATCTCAGACAAAGAAAATGTTTTTGAGTTTCAACCCAGTTTTCAGCAGAAACTCGACTGTCTTTATTGAGCCATGAATCCAGGATTCACTCAAACTACTTCCAGTAAAAGAGATGACAAATGGACTTCAGCTGAGACTTTAGAACCACAGACACACTCTCAGAACAAGACCAGATACTTTTCCTTCTTTCCCGGTGTCGGATTGTTTTGGTATCTCGGCCCGGCTAGTGGAGTCGACTCGGCCTTTACTACTTGGGTCAGAGCCACATAAGGAATGAAGGGCAGCGCCACCGCCGAGGTCATGTGAAAGAGACCCACATGGAACCAGTTAAAGACCCACATGGAACCAGTTAAAGACCCACATGGAACCAGTCACAGACCCACATGGAACCAGTCACAGACCCACATGGAACCAGCCAAAGACCCACATAAGGCTGACGAGCCGAGGGTTGGCCACCGCTGGACCAGAGAGAGAGACCAGAGAGAGAGACCAGAGAGAGACCAGAGAGAGACCAGAGAGAGACCAGAGAGAGACCAGAGAGAGAGACCAGAGAGAGAGACCAGAGAGAGACCAGAGAGAGACCAGAGAGAGACCAGAGAGAGACCAGAGAGAGACCAGAGAGAGACCAGAGAGAGACCAGCGAGAGACCAGAGAGAGACCAGAGAGAGACCAGAGAGAGACCAGAGAGAGACCAGAGAGAGACCAGAGAGAGACCAGAGAGAGACCAGAGAGAGACCAGAGAGAGACCAGAGAGAGAGACCAGAGAGAGACCAGAGAGAGACCAGAGAGAGACCAGAGAGAGAGACCAGAGAGAGACCAGAGAGAGACCAGAGAGAGACCAGAGAGAGACCAGAGAGAGAGACCAGAGAGAGAGCAGATACAAAAACTAAAGTACTGAAGGAGTAGTGGAAAAGATGAGCTGTGAGTGTGTTACTGGTGCTTTTGTGTTACTGGTGTGTTACTGGTGCGTTTGTGTTACTGGTGCTTTTGTGTTACTGGTGTGTTACTGGTGCGTTTGTGTTACTGGTGCTTTTGTGTTACTGGTGCGTTTGTGTTACTGGTGCGTTTGTGTTACTGGTGCGTTTGTGTTACTGGTGCGTTTGTGTTACTGGTGCGTTTGTGTTACTGGTGCGTTTGTGTTACTGGTGCGTTTGTGTTACTGGTGCGTTTGTGTTACTGGTGTGTTTGTGTTACTGGTGTGTTTGTGTTACTGGTGTGTTTGTGTTACTGGTGTGTTTGTGTTACTGGTGCGTTTGTGTTACTGGTGCGTTTGTGTTACTGGTGCGTTTGTGTTACTGGTGCGTTTGTGTTACTGGTGTGTTTGTGTTACTGGTGTGTTTGTGTTACTGGTGTGTTTGTGTTACTGGTGTGTTTGTGTTACTAGTGTGTTTGTGTTACTAGTGTGTTTGTGTTACTGGTGTGTGTGTTACTGGTGTGTGTGTGTTACTGGTGCTTTGTGTTACTGGTGCTTTGTGTTACTGGTGTGTTTGTGTTACTGGTGTGTTTGTGTTACTGGTGTGTTTGTGTTACTGGTGCTTTGTGTTACTGGTGGTTTGTGTTACTGGTGTGTTTGTGTTACTAGTGTGTTTGTGTTACTAGTGTGTTTGTGTTACTGGTGTGTGTGTTACTGGTGTGTGTGTGTTACTGGTGCTTTGTGTTACTGGTGCTTTGTGTTACTGGTGTGTTTGTGTTACTGGTGTGTTTGTGTTACTGGTGTGTTTGTGTTACTGGTGTGTTTGTGTTACTGGTGTGTTTGTGTTACTGGTGTGTGTGTTACTGGTGTGTGTGTTACTGGTGTGTGTGTTACTGGTGTGTGTGTTACTGGTGTGTGTGTTACTGGTGTGTGTGTTACTGGTGTGTTTGTGTTACTGGTGTGTTTGTGTTACTGGTGTGTTTGTGTTACTGGTGTGTTTGTGTTACTGGTGTGTTTGTGTTACTGGTGTGTTTGTGTTACTGGTGTGTGTGTTACTAGTGTGTGTGTTACTGGTGTGTTTGTGTTACTGGTGTGTTTGTGTTACTGGTGCTTTTGTGTTACTGGTGCTTTTGTGTTACTGGTGTGTTTGTGTTACTGGTGCGTTTGTGTTACTGGTGTGTTTGTGTTACTGGTGTGTTTGTGTTACTGGTGCTTTTGTGTTACTGGTGTGTTTGTGTTACTGGTGTGTTTGTGTTACTGGTGTGTTTGTGTTACTGGTGTGTTTGTGTTACTGGTGTGTTTGTGTTACTGGTGTGTTTGTGTTACTGGTGTGTTTGTGTTACTGGTGTGTTTGTGTTACTGGTGTGTTTGTGTTACTGGTGTGTTTGTGTTACTGGTGTGTTTGTGTTACTGGTGTGTTTGTGTTACTGGTGCTTTGTGTCACTGGTGTGTTTGTGTTACTGGTGCTTTGTGTTACTGGTGTGTTTGTGTTACTGGTGCGTTTGTGTTACTGGTGCTTTGTGTTACTGGTGCTTTGTGTTACTGGTGCTTTGTGTTACTGGTGCGTTTGTGTTACTGGTGTGTTTGTGTTACTGGTGCTTTGTGTTACTGGTGCTTTGTGTTACTGGTGCTTTGTGTTACTGGTGTGTTTGTGTTACTGGTGCTTTGTGTTACTGGTGTGTTTGTGTTACTGGTGTGTTTGTGTTACTGGTGTGTTTGTGTTACTGGTGTGTGTGTTTGTGTTACTGGTGTGTTTGTGTTACTGGTGTGTTTGTGTTACTGGTGTGTTTGTGTTACTGGTGTGTTTGTGTTACTGGTGTGTTTGTGTTACTGGTGTGTTTGTGTTACTAGTGTGTTTGTGTTACTAGTGTGTTTGTGTTACTGGTGTGTGTGTTACTGGTGTGTGTGTGTTACTGGTGCTTTGTGTTACTGGTGCTTTGTGTTACTGGTGTGTTTGTGTTACTGGTGTGTTTGTTTGTGTTACTGGTGCTTTGTGTTACTGGTGTGTTTGTGTTACTGGTGTGTTTGTGTTACTGGTGTGTTTGTGTTACTGGTGTGTTTGTGTTACTGGTGTGTTTGTGTTACTGGTGTGTTTGTGTTACTGGTGTGTTTGTGTTACTGGTGTGTTTGTGTTACTGGTGTGTTTGTGTTACTGGTGTGTTTGTGTTACTGGTGTGTGTGTTACTGGTGTGTGTGTTACTGGTGTGTTTGTGTTACTGGTGTGTTTGTGTTACTGGTGCTTTTGTGTTACTGGTGCTTTTGTGTTACTGGTGTGTTTGTGTTACTGGTGTGTTTGTGTTACTGGTGTGTTTGTGTTACTGGTGTGTTTGTGTTACTGGTGTGTTTGTGTTACTGGTGTGTTTGTGTTACTGGTGTGTTTGTGTTACTGGTGTGTGTGTTACTGATGTGTGTGTTACTGGTGTGTGTGTTACTGGTGTGTGTGTTACTGGTGTGTGTGTTACTGGTGTGTTTGTGTTACTGGTGTGTTTGTGTTACTGGTGCTTTTGTGTTACTGGTGCTTTTGTGTTACTGGTGTGTTTGTGTTACTGGTGCTTTTGTGTTACTGGTGTGTTTGTGTTACTGGTGTGTTTGTGTTACTGGTGTGTTTGTGTTACTGGTGTGTTTGTGTTACTGGTGTGTTTGTGTTACTGGTGTGTTTGTGTTACTGGTGCTTTGTGTTACTGGTGTGTTTGTGTTACTGGTGTGTTTGTGTTACTGGTGCTTTGTGTTACTGGTGTGTTTGTGTTACTGGTGTGTGTTTGTGTTACTGGTGTGTTTGTGTTACTGGTGTGTTTGTGTTACTGGTGTGTTTGTGTTACTGGTGTGTGTGTTACTGGTGTGTGTGTGTTACTGTGTGTGTGTGTTACTGGTGTGTGTGTTACTGGTGTGTTTGTGTTACTGGTGTGTTTGTGTTACTGGTGCTTTTGTGTTACTGGTGCTTTTGTGTTACTGGTGTGTTTGTGTTACTGGTGCTTTTGTGTTACTGGTGTGTTTGTGTTACTGGTGTGTTTGTGTTACTGGTGTGTTTGTGTTACTGGTGTGTTTGTGTTACTGGTGTGTTTGTGTTACTGGTGTGTTTGTGTTACTGGTGTGTTTGTGTTACTGGTGCTTTGTGTTACTGGTGTGTTTGTGTTACTGGTGTGTTTGTGTTACTGGTGCTTTGTGTTACTGGTGTGTTTGTGTTACTGGTGTGTTTGTGTTACTGGTGTGTTTGTGTTACTGGTGTGTTTGTGTTACTGGTGTGTTTGTGTTACTGGTGTGTGTGTTACTGGTGTGTGTGTTACTGGTGTGTGTGTTACTGGTGTGTGTGTTACTGGTGTGTGTGTTACTGGTGTGTGTGTGTTACTGGTGTGTTTGTGTTACTGGTGTGTTTGTGTTACTGGTGTGTTTGTGTTACTGGTGTGTTTGTGTTACTGGTGTGTTTGTGTTACTGGTGTGTTTGTGTTACTGGTGTGTGTGTTACTAGTGTGTGTGTTACTGGTGTGTTTGTGTTACTGGTGTGTTTGTGTTACTGGTGCTTTTGTGTTACTGGTGCTTTTGTGTTACTGGTGTGTTTGTGTTACTGGTGCGTTTGTGTTACTGGTGTGTTTGTGTTACTGGTGTGTTTGTGTTACTGGTGCTTTTGTGTTACTGGTGTGTTTGTGTTACTGGTGTGTTTGTGTTACTGGTGTGTTTGTGTTACTGGTGTGTTTGTGTTACTGGTGTGTTTGTGTTACTGGTGTGTTTGTGTTACTGGTGTGTTTGTGTTACTGGTGTGTTTGTGTTACTGGTGTGTTTGTGTTACTGGTGTGTTTGTGTTACTGGTGTGTTTGTGTTACTGGTGTGTTTGTGTTACTGGTGCTTTGTGTTACTGGTGTGTTTGTGTTACTGGTGCTTTGTGTTACTGGTGTGTTGTGTGTGTTACTGGTGCGTTTGTGTTACTGGTGCTTGTGTTACTGGTGCTTTGTGTTACTGGTGCGTTTGTGTTACTGGTGTGTTTGTGTTACTGGTGCTTTGTTACTGTGCTTTGTGTTACTGGGTGTGTTACTGGTGTGTTTGTGTTACTGGTGCTTTGTGTTACTGGTGTGTTTGTGTTACTGGTGTGTTTGTGTTACTGGTGTGTTTGTGTTACTGGTGTGTTTGTGTTACTGGTGTGTTTGTGTTACTGGTGTGTTTGTGTTACTGGTGTGTTTGTGTACTGGTGTGTTTGTGTTACTGGTGTGTTTGTGTTACTGGTGTGTTTGTGTTACTGGTGTGTTTGTGTTACTAGTGTGTTTGTGTTACTAGTGTGTTTGTGTTACTGGTGTGTTTGTGTTACTGGTGTGTGTGTTACTGGTGTTTTGTGTTACTGGTGCTTTGTGTTACTGGTGTGTTTGTGTTACTGGTGTGTTTGTGTTACTGGTGTGTTTGTGTTACTGGTGTGTTTGTGTTACTGGTGTGTTTGTGTTACTGGTGTGTTTGTGTTACTGGTGTGTTTGTGTTACTGGTGTGTTTGTGTTACTGGTGTGTTTGTGTTACTGGTGTGTTTGTGTTACTGGTGTGTTTGTGTTACTGGTGTGTTTGTGTTACTGGTGTGTTTGTGTTACTGGTGTGTTTGTGTTACTGGTGTGTTTGTGTTACTGGTGTGTTTGTGTTACTGGTGTGTTTGTGTTACTGGTGCTTTGTGTCACTGGTGTGTTTGTGTTACTGGTGCTTTGTGTTACTGGTGTGTTTGTGTTACTGGTGCGTTTGTGTTACTGGTGCTTTGTGTTACTGGTGCTTTGTGTTACTGGTGCGTTTGTGTTACTGGTGTGTTTGTGTTACTGGTGCTTTGTGTTACTGGTGCTTTGTGTTACTGGTGCTTTGTGTTACTGGTGTGTTTGTGTTACTGGTGCTTTGTGTTACTGGTGTGTTTGTGTTACTGGTGTGTTTGTGTTACTGGTGTGTTTGTGTTACTGGTGTGTTTGTGTTACTGGTGTGTTTGTGTTACTGGTGTGTTTGTGTTACTGGTGTGTTTGTGTTACTGGTGTGTTTGTGTTACTGGTGTGTTTGTGTTACTGGTGTGTTTGTGTTACTGGTGTGTTTGTGTTACTGGTGTGTTTGTTGTTACTAGTGTGTTTGTGTTACTAGTGTGTTTGTGTTACTGGTGTGTGTGTTACTGGTGTGTGTGTGTTACTGGTGCTTTGTGTTACTGGTGCTTTGTGTTACTGGTGTGTGTGTTACTGGTGTGTTTGTGTTACTGGTGTGTTTGTGTTACTGGTGTGTTTGTGTTACTGGTGTGTTTGTGTTACTGGTGTGTTTGTGTTACTGGTGTGTTTGTGTTACTGGTGTGTTTGTGTTACTGGTGTGTTTGTGTTACTGGTGTGTTTGTGTTACTGGTGTGTTTGTGTTACTGGTGTGTGTGTTACTGGTGTGTGTGTTACTGGTGTGTTTGTGTTACTGGTGTGTTTGTGTTACTGGTGCTTTTGTGTTACTGGTGCTTTTGTGTTACTGGTGTGTTTGTGTTACTGGTGTGTTTGTGTTACTGGTGTGTTTGTGTTACTGGTGTGTTTGTGTTACTGGTGTGTTTGTGTTACTGGTGTGTTTGTGTTACTGGTGTGTTTGTGTTACTGGTGTGTGTGTTACTGGTGTGTGTGTTACTGGTGTGTGTGTTACTGGTGTGTGTGTTACTGGTGTGTGTGTTACTGGTGTGTTTGTGTTACTGGTGTGTTTGTGTTACTGGTGTGTTTGTGTTACTGGTGCTTTTGTGTTACTGGTGTGTTTGTGTTACTGGTGCTTTTGTGTTACTGGTGTGTTTGTGTTACTGGTGTGTTTGTGTTACTGGTGTGTTTGTGTTACTGGTGTGTTTGTGTTACTGGTGTGTTTGTGTTACTGGTGTGTTTGTGTTACTGGTGTGTTTGTGTTACTGGTGCTTTGTGTTACTGGTGTGTTTGTGTTACTGGTGTGTTTGTGTTACTGGTGCTTTGTGTTACTGGTGTGTTTGTGTTACTGGTGTGTTTGTGTTACTGGTGTGTTTGTGTTACTGGTGTGTTTGTGTTACTGGTGTGTTTGTGTTACTGGTGTGTTTGTGTTACTGGTGTGTGTGTTACTGGTGTGTGTGTTACTGGTGTGTGTGTTACTGGTGTGTGTGTTACTGGTGTGTGTGTTACTGGTGTGTTTGTGTTACTGGTGTGTTTGTGTTACTGGTGCTTTTGTGTTACTGGTGCTTTTGTGTTACTGGTGTGTTTGTGTTACTGGTGCTTTTGTGTTACTGGTGTGTTTGTGTTACTGGTGTGTTTGTGTTAATGGTGTGTTTGTGTTACTGGTGTGTTTGTGTTACTGGTGTGTTTGTGTTACTGGTGTGTTTGTGTTACTGGTGCTTTGTGTTACTGGTGTGTGTTTGTGTTACTGGTGTGTTTGTGTTACTGGTGCTTTGTGTTACTGGTGTGTTTGTGTTACTGGTGTGTTTGTGTTACTGGTGCTTTGTGTTACTGGTGTGTTTGTGTTACTGGTGTGTTTGTGTTACTGGTGTGTTTGTGTTACTGGTGTGTTTGTGTTACTGGTGTGTTTGTGTTACTGGTGTGTTTGTGTTGTTTTATCTCTGTGTTGAGTGGATGATGAAGTCTACAAGTTATTCTGAAAATGTGACTGATGGATCGTTACCCGTATCCAAAGTAGTACTGATAGGAGCCCGCCATCTTCAGGTCCAGGGAACAGAACTTGTCGGAGTCGTCGTCGCGGCCCGAGGGGAAGTTCCAGGCCATGGCTCTGAACACATGGCGTCTGAACGGCTGTCCCTCTAGGGGGTAGTTTGTGTGCACCGACACCCTCCTGCCCTGGAGACTGGGACCCAGGCGGAACTGCAGCTCGAACCCTGCAACACAACACAGGACTGAGGCTGTAGACCCAGGACTGAGGCTGCAGACCCAGGACTGAGGCTGCAGACCCAGGACTGAGGCTGCAGACCCAGGACTGAGGCTGCAGACCCAGGACTGAGGCTGCAGACCCAGGACTGAGGCTGCAGACCCAGGACTGAGGCTGTAGACCTAGGACTGAGGCTGTAGACCCAGGACTGAGGCTGTAGACCCAGGACTGAGGCTGTAGACCCAGGACTGAGGCCGTAGACCCAGGACTGAGGCCGTAGACCCAGGACTGAGGCCGTAGACCCAGGACTGAGGCTGTAGACCCAGGACTGAGGCTGCAGACCCAGGACTGAGGCTGCAGACCCAGGACTGAGGCTGTAGACCTAGGACTGAGGCTGTAGACCCAGGACTGAGGCTGTAGACCCAGGACTGAGGCTGTAGACCCAGGACTGAGGCTGTAGACCCAGGACTGAGGCTGTAGACCCAGGACTGAGGCCGTAGACCCAGGACTGAGGCCGTAGACCCAGGACTGAGGCCGTAGACCCAGGACTGAGGCTGTAGACCCAGGACTGAGGCTGCAGACCCAGGACTGAGGCTGCAGACCCAGGACTGAGGCTGTAGACCTAGGACTGAGGCTGTAGACCCAGGACTGAGGCTGCAGACCCAGGACTGAGGCTGCAGACCCAGGACTGAGGCTGTAGACCTAGGACTGAGGCTGTAGACCCAGGACTGAGGCTGTAGACCCAGGACTGAGGCTGTAGACCCAGGACTGAGGCTGTAGACCCAGGACTGAGGCCGTAGACCCAGGACTGAGGCCGTAGACCCAGGACTGAGGCCGTAGACCCAGGACTGAGGCTGTAGACCCAGGACTGAGGCTGTAGACCCAGGACTGAGGCTGCAGACCCAGGACTGAGGCTGCAGACCCAGGACTGAGGCTGCAGACCCAGGACTGAGGCTGCAGACCCAGGACTGAGGCTGTAGACCCAGGACTGAGGCTGTAGACCCAGGACTGAGGCTGCAGACCCAGGACTGAGGCTGTAGACCCAGGACTGAGGCCGTAGACCCAGGACTGAGGCTGTAGACCCAGGACTGAGGCTGCAGACCCAGGACTGAGGCTGCAGACCCAGGACTGAGGCTGCAGACCCAGGACTGAGGCTGTAGACCCAGGACTGAGGCTGCAGACCCAGGACTGAGGCTGTAGACCCAGGACTGAGGCTGCAGACCCAGGACTGAGGCTGCAGACCCAGGACTGAGGCTGCAGACCCAGGACTGAGGCTGCAGACCCAGGACTGAGGCTGTAGACCCAGGACTGAGGCTGCAGACCCAGGACTGAGGCTGTAGACCCAGGACTGAGGCTGTAGACCCAGGACTGATGCAGGATGGTGGTGATGTCACACTGTGGTGATGTCACACTGTGGTGATGTCACACTGCGGTGATGTCACACTGTGGTGATGTCACACTCCTGACCTTCTAAGAATAGTAGCAGGTGAAATATAGACTTGGACTTGGCATGTGTCCAGGCTGTGGTCAGATAAAGGTCCTCATGGGTCTGGGATCTGCTTTGTCATGGTCTCCCTCTCTGGTCTCCCTCTCTGGTCTCTCTCTCTGGTCTCTCTCTCTGGTCTCTCTCTGGTCTCTCTCTGGTCTCCCTCTCTGGTCTCCCTCTCTGGTCTCCCTCTCTGGTCTCTCTCTCTGGTCTCCCTCTCTGGTCTCCCTCTCTGGTCTCCCTCTCTGGTCTCCCTCTCTGGTCTCCCTCTCTGGTCTCCCTCTCTGGTCTCCCTCTCTGGGCTCTCTCGCTGGGCTCTCTCGCTGGGCTCTCTCGCTGGTCTGTCTCTCACTTGGGTCCCTCTCTAGTCTCCAGTCAATCTAGTCTCTCTGGTCTCTCTCTGGGCCAGAGAGAGAGACACCAAAGAGAGAGACAAGGGATAGAGACCCGAGAGAGAGACCTGAGAGAGAGACCTGAGAGAGAGACCAGAGAGAGAGACCAGAGAGAGAGACTACAGAGAGAGAGACCTGAGAGAGAGACCAGAGAGAGAGACTACAGAGAGAGAGACTACAGAGAGAGAGACCAGAGAGAGAGACTACAGAGAGAGACCAGAGAGAGAGACCTGAGAGAGAGACCTGAGAGAGAGACCAGAGAGAGAGACCAGAGAGAGAGACTACAGAGAGAGAGACCTGAGAGAGAGACCAGAGAGAGAGACTACAGAGAGAGAGACTACAGAGAGAGAGACTACAGAGAGAGAGACCTGAGAGAGAGACCAGAGAGAGAGACCAGAGAGAGAGACTACAGAGAGAGACCAGAGAGAGAGACTACAGAGAGAGAGACCAGAGAGAGAGACTACAGAGAGAGAGACTACAGAGAGAGAGACCACAGAGAGAGAGACCAGAGAGAGAGACTACAGAGAGAGAGACCAGAGAGAGAGACCAGAGAGAGAGACTACAGAGAGAGAGACCAGAGAGAGAGACTACAGAGAGAGAGACCAGAGAGAGAGACTACAGAGAGAGAGACCAGAGAGAGAGACTACAGAGAGAGAGACCAGAGAGAGAGACCAGAGAGAGAGACCAGCGAGAGAGACCAGAGAGAGAGACTACAGAGAGAGAGACCAGAGAGAGAGACTACAGAGAGAGAGACTACAGAGAGAGAGACCAGAGAGAGAGACCAGAGAGAGAGACTACAGAGAGAGAGACCAGAGAGAGAGACCAGAGAGAGAGACCAGCGAGAGAGACTACAGAGAGATAAATGATTTCCGTCACACTGTTGCAGCCATAAAAGTTAAAAACCTTGTCTCTGGTGCTCAGCCTGAACATGCTCAGAGTGTAGTGTCGTCCTGTGTGTGTGCGTGTGTGGGCGAGTGTGTACCCGCTACACACACCTGCAGACACACCCACACCTGCAGACACACACACACCTGCAGACACACACACACCTGCAGACACACACACACCAGCAGACACACACACACCAGCAGACACACACACACCTGCAGACACACACACACCAGCAGACACACCCACACCTGCAGACACACACACACCAGCAGACACACACACACCAGCAGACACACACACACCTTGAGACACACACACACCAGCAGACACACACACACCTGCAGACACACACACACCAGCAGACACACACACACACCAGCAGACACACACACACACCTGCAGACACACACACACACCAGCAGACACACCTGTAGACACACCCACACCTGCAGACACACACACACACCTGCAGACACACACACACACCTGCAGACACACACACACACCTGCAGACACACACACACACCTGCAGACACACACACACACCAGCAGACACACCTGTAGACACACCCACACCTGCAGACACACACACACACCTGCAGACACACACACACACCTGCAGACACACACACACACCAGCAGACACACACACACACCAGCAGACACACCTGTAGACACGCCCACACCAGCAGACACGCACACACACCAGCAGACACACCCACACCAGCAGACACACACACACACCTGCAGACACACACACACACACACACCTGCAGACACGCCCACACCAGCAGACACACACACACACCTGCAGACACGCACACACCTGCAGACACAGCCACACCAGCAGACACACACCCACACCAGCAGACACAGCCACACCAGCAGACACACACACACCAGCAGACACACACACACCTGCAGACACACACACACCTGCAGACACACCCACACCTGCAGACACACCCACACCAGCAGACACACCCACACCTGCAGACACACCCACACCTGCAGACACACACACACCTGCAGACACACACACACCTGCAGACACACACACACCAGCAGACACACACACACCTGCAGACACACACACACCTGCAGACACACCCACACCTGTAGACACACCCACACCTGCAGACACAGCCACACCAGCAGACACACACACACACCAGCAGACACACACACACACCTGCAGACACACACACACACCAGCAACACACACACACACACCTGCAGACACACCCACACCTGCAGACACACCCACACCTGCAGACACACACCCACACCTGCAGACACACCCACACCTGCAGACACACCCACACCTGCAGACACACACACACCAGCAGACACACACACACACCAGCAGACACACCCACACCTGCAGACACACCCACACCTGCAGACACACACACACCAGCAGACACACACACACACCTGCAGACACACCCACACCTGCAGACACACACACACCTGCAGACACACACACACCAGCAGACACAGCCACACCAGCAGACACACACCCACACCAGCAGACACAGCCACACCAGCAGACTAGCAGACACGCTCACACCAGCAGACACACCTGTAGACACACCCACACCTGCAGACACACCCACACCTGCAGACACAGCCACACCAGCAGACACACACACACACCAGCAGACACACCTGTAGACACACCCACACCTGCAGACACACCCACACCTGCAGACACACACACACCAGCAGACACACACACACACCTGCAGACACAGCCACACCAGCAGACACGCCCACACCAGCAGACACGCCCACACCAGCAGACACAGCCACACCAGCAGACACACACCCACACCAGCAGACACAGCCACACCAGCAGACTAGCAGACACGCTCACACCAGCAGACACGCCCACACCAGCAGACACACACACACCAGCTGAGCTCACCTTGTTCCAGCCTAAACAGGGTTCTCTCCAGGTTCTCCTTCTCGTGCAGCATCAGGACTCGGATTTGCTTCAGGTGCTGCGGTAACATGGTCAGAGAGAGGAGGTGAAGAGCAGCCCTGGTTTCCTACACACACACACACACACACAAACACACACACACACATATACACACGGATAAAAAAAACACACACACACACACACCAAACATATCAAGTTAGTACATCATAAACTAACTTGTTGCTAAAATGCATGATTCACGGGACATTTTTCTAAAAGTTGCAATTTTTCCACTTCCACGTTTTTTTGACTAAAGCTAGAGTTTCTCAACAAGATGCGCTCTGTTTGACCGGTCACATGGAACTATGTACGGTGGAGGGGGAAAGTTTAGACGGACGCACAAACCTGGAGTGCGCCCGAGTGGCGAGACCCGTCAGTACAGAGAGAGAGACCAGAGAGAGACCAGAGAGAGAGACCAGAGAGAGAGACCAGAGAGAGGGACCAGAGAGAGAGACCAGAGAGAGAGACCAGAGAGAGAGACCAGAGAGAGAGACCAGAGAGAGACCAGAGAGAGAGACCAGAGAGAGACCAGAGAGAGACCAGAGAGAGAGACCAGAGAGAGAAACCAGAGAGAGAGACCAGAGAGAGAGACCAGAGAGAGAGACCAGAAAGAGACCAGAGAGAGAGACCAGAGAGAGAGACCAGAGAGAGAGACCAGAGAGAAAGACCAGAGAGAGACCAGAGAGAGGGACCAGAGAGAGAGACCAGAGAGAGACCAGAGAGAGAGACCAGAGAGAGAGACCAGAGAGAGAGACCAGAGAGAGAGACCAGAGAGAGACCAGAGGAGACCAGAGAGAGACCAGAGAGAGAGACCAGAGAGAGAGACCAGAGAGAGAGACCAGAGAGAGAGACCAGAGAGAGAGACCAGAGAGAGAGACCAGAGAGAGAGACCAGAGAGAGAGACCAGAGAGAGAGACCAGAGAGAGAGACCAGAGAGAGACCAGAGAGAGAGACCAGAGAGAGAGACCAGAGAGAGAGACCAGAGAGAGACCAGAGAGAGAGACCAGAGAGAGAGACCAGAGAGAGAGACCAGAGAGAGAGACCAGAGAGAGAGACCAGAGAGAGAGACCAGAGAGAGACCAGAGAGAGAGACCAGAGAGAGAGACCAGAGAGAGAGACCAGAGAGAGAGACCAGAGAGAGAGACCAGAGAGAGAGACCAGAGAGAGAAACCAGAGAGAGAGACCAGAGAGAGAGACCAGAGAGAGAGACCAGAGAGAGACCAGAGAGAGACCAGAGAGAGACCAGAGAGAGACCAGAGAGAGACCAGAGAGAGACCAGAGGGAGACCAGAGAGAGACCAGAGAGAGACCAGAGAGAGAAACCAGAGAGAGAGACCAGAGCGAGAGACCATAGAGAGAGACCAGAGAGAGAGACCAGAGAGAGAGACCAGAGAGAGACCAGAGAGAGAGACCGGAGAGAGAGACCAGAGAGAAAGACCAGAGAGAGACCAGAGAGAGAGACCGGAGAGAGAGACCAGAGAGAAAGACCAGAGAGAGACCAGAGAGAGGGACCAGAAAGAGAGACCAGAGAGAGAGACCAGAGAGAGAGACCAGAGAGAGAGACCAGAGAGAAAGACCAGAGAGAGACCAGAGAGAGGGACCAGAAAGAGAGACCAGAGAGAGAGACCGGAGAGCGACCAGAGAGAGACCAGAGAGAGAGACCAGAGAGAGACCAGAGAGAGAGACCAGAGAGAGAGACCAGAGACCAGAGAGAGAGACCAGAGAGAGAGACCAGAGAGAGAGACCAGAGATACTTGAAATCTTGAATATAAATTCTCTAGTCCTTTTCTTCTTTGTTTTCATTCTCCTGTGTTTTAGTGAGAGTCGTTCAGAACTTTGTGAACTCTTTCAAAATGTGCAAATAGTGTTTCCACAGATATGAAGATTACACACAGAGAGATCGATACACAGAGACCAGAGGGACCAGGGAGAAGGACCAGAGAGAGACCAGAGGGAAGGACCAGAGAGAGACCAGGGAGAGACCAGAGAGAGACCAGAGCAAGACCAGAGCGAGACCAGAGAGAGAGACCAGAGAGAGAGACCAGAGAGAGACCAGAGAGAGAGACCAGAGAGAGAGACCAGAGAGAGAGACCAGAGAGAGAGACCAGAGAGAGAGACCAGAGAGAGAGACCAGAGAGAGAGACCAGAGAGAGACCAGAGGGAGAGACCAGAGAGAGACCAGAGAGAGACCAGAGGGAGACCAGAGGGAGACCAGAGGGAGAGACCAGAGAGAGAGACCAGAGAGAGAGACCAGAGAGAGACCAGAGAGAGACCAGAGAGGACCAGAGAGAAGACCAGAGAGAAGGACCAGAGAGAGACCAGAGAGAGACCAGAGAAGACCAGAGAGAGACCAGAGAGAAGACCAGAGAGAGACCAGAGAGAGACCAGAGAGAGACCAGAGAGAGAGACCAGAGAGAGGCCAGAGAGAGACCAGAGAGAGAGACCAGAGAGAGACCAGAGAGAGACCAGAGAGAGACCAGAGAGAGAGACCAGAGAGAGACCAGAGAGAAGGACCAGAGAGAGACCAGAGAGAGACCAGAGAGAGAGACCAGAGAGAGGCCAGAGAGAGACCAGAGAGAGACCAGAGAGAGACCAGAGAGAGACCAGAGAGAGAGACCAGAGAGAGACCAGAGGGAGAGACCAGAGAGAGACCAGAGAGAGACCAGAGAGAGACCAGAGGGAGAGACCAGATAGAGGACCTCATGTGGAAACAGCTGTAAATGAGGATCCAGTTATTGTCTCATGTTGTTGTGAAACCAACTGTTATTTTGTTTCAAACACTGAAGACATGTCCATTGTTTCATTACACAGAGCAGGACACAGAGCAGGACACAGGACACAGAGCAGGACACAGAGCAGGACACAGGACACAGAGCAGGACACAGAGCAGGACACAGAGCAGGACACACAAGAGGACACAGAGCAGGACACAGAGCAGGACACAGAGCAGGACACAGAGCAGGACACAGAGCAGGACACAGACACAGAGCAGGACACAGAACAGAGCAGTACACAGAGCAGGACACAGAGCAGGACACAGAGCAGGACACAGAGCAGGACACAGAGCAGGACACAGAGCAGGACACAGAGCAGGACACAGAGCAGGACACAGAGCAGGACACAGAGCAGGACACAGGACACAGAGCAGGACACAGAGCAGGACACAGGACACAGAGCAGGACACAGAGCAGGACACAGGACACAGGACACAGAGCAGGACACAGAGCAGGACACAGGACACAGAGCAGGACACAGAGCAGGACACAGGACACAGAGCAGGACACAGAGCAGGACACAGAGCAGGACACAGGACACAGAGCAGGACACAGGACACAGAGCAGGACACAGAGCAGGACACAGGACACAGAGCAGGACACAGAGCAGGACACAGGACACAGAGCAGGACACAGGACACAGAGCAGGACACAGAGCAGGACACAGGACACAGAGCAGGACACAGAGCAGGACACAGAGCAGGACACAGGACACAGAGCAGGACACAGGACACAGAGCAGGACACAGGACACAGAGCAGGACACAGAGCAGGACACAGAGCAGGACACAGGACACAGAGCAGGACACAGAGCAGGACACAGAGCAGGACACAGGACACAGAGCAGGACACAGGACACAGAGCAGGACACAGGACACAGAGCAGGACACAGAGCAGGACACAGAGCAGGACACAGGACACAGAGCAGGACACAGAGCAGGACACAGGACACAGAGCAGGACACAGCAGGACACAGAGCAGGACACAGGACACAGAGCAGGACACAGAGCAGGACACAGAGCAGGACACATCTTAAACAGTGTTTTTGGTCTAAAGTTTAAAGGAAAACCATATTGTGTTTCTTTTTCCCGGGAGCAACAGTTGAACACATTACTCTGAGAACTTTTACTGAGTAGGATTTTTGGACTAATAACTATTTTCAACTAACACACACATGTGTTTGTTTCTTTAAAACTATAGAAGCACCTATAGGTCAGAGAAGCACCCGCATCCCCCCCCCCCCCCCCCCCGCTCTGAGCATGCGCACTGGCACAAGGTCAGGTATTCAAGTCTTTAATGTCACTCACTCTATTTATAAAGCTCCTGCTCAGTGTTTGGCTCGCTGGCACATCGTCACATAGCTGTGCATCTGACATATACAGCCCCACGCGGACTCACGCAGACTCACGCAGCCCCACGCGGACTCACGCAGACTCACGCAGCCCCACGCGGACTCACGCAGACTCACGCAGCCCCACGCGGACTCACGCAGGACGAGGCTCGGGCATAGCTCTGTAACCGGACGTAAACCCAAAACATGTGAAACTTTACGTTAGCGTCATATTTACAGCGCATAAACCCAGCACAGGTGACGCACAAAAGCGTTAATCTGTTAGAACATGTTCGTGCGCACATTTCGGCACGAGTCGATTTCCAAGAAGCGGAAAGTTACGCAAATACTTCCGATGTTTTGCTAAAGTTTAGAAGGACTGGTGCAAGGGGGCGGCACCCTGTGTGGCCCTCGTGAAGGCAAACAGAAAATAAACATATATAACATTTTAATTAACAAAATAAATGTCCTACGAGAAAATGTAAATATAAATAAATGTTCACAATCATCGTCATTTTGAAATTATCTTCCCAAGTTTGACCTAAAGTTGTCTCACTAGCTTTGCCTAACATTTAAATGTCTTGCCAGTAGATATGGGGTTATTAAGGAGTATGCGTCATTACAAACAGTTCACTAGAGGAAATTGAATTAAAGTTGTGGAATACGAGCCATTTCTGTCGCTAGCTTGTCCCTTGAATCATCCTAGTATAGCTGCCCTTAGCTCCTGGTTTAAAGGTCTTGACAGAACACAGCACATCACTGATGCACAAACACACACTGATGCACAAACACACACTGATGCACAAACACACACTGAAGCACAAACACACACTGATGCACAAACACACACTGATGCACAAACACACACTGAAGCACAAACACACACTGATGCACAAACACACACTGATGCACAAACACACACTGAAGCACAAACACACACTGATGCACAAACACACACTGAAGCACAAACACACACTGATGCACAAACACACACTGATGCACAAACACACACTGAAGCACAAACACACACTGATGCACAAACACACACTGAAGCAGTGCTAGCTAACGGGGCAGACCCAGCGGCACATGCAGGGGGCTCGGTGCTGTCAAACCGGGGTGACATGCAGGGTCCAGGCCCGGGGGAGCCTGGATGAGGCTGGCGGGGATGGAGGTACCTGTCTGTCCGGTGCTCGGTCGTTCACAGCCGCAGAAGATCAGACTGACTGTGGGGATACCGTGGGACAGGCTTGTTTGTCCTGGTTCCACGGCGGACGTGCTCAGAGTGCAGAGGGGGGCGTGGCCAGAGTGCAGAGGGGGGCGTGGCCAGAGAGGTGTACTGACGAGATCTGCATCCGCTGCGATATATACACAAAATATACAACTGGTGTGTCTCTCTCTCTAGTCTATCTCTGGTTCCTCTCTAGTCTATCTCTGGTCTATCTCTGGTCTATCTCTGGTCTCTCTCTGGTCTCTCTCTCTGGTCTCTCTCTCTGGTCTCTCTCTGGTCTCTCTCTCTGGTCTCTCTCTCTGGTCTCTCTCTGGTCTCTCTCTCTGGTCTCTCTCTCTGGTCTCTCTCTCTGGTCTCTCTCTCTGGTCTCTCTCTGGTCTCTCTCTCTGGTCTCTCTCTCTGGTCTCTCTCTGGTCTCTCTCTCTGGTCTCTCTCTCTGGTCTCTCTCTCTGGTCTCTCTCTCTGGTCTCTCAGATTCAGATTCAGATTCAGATTCATATTCATTTATTAGCCATGTGCAGTATAAAAACTACATTGGAATACATTTGCAAAAAAAGGTACTCTGTGTGCACCGACAGAATAAAAAGCACGATACAATGTAATATAAAATACACATACACTGAATATAAAATAATTCACCGATCAACAAAACGATACAAGGGGTAAAAGCAGGAATTAAAGTGCTATGTTTAGGCACCTAACAGCCTGTGGAAAGAAGCTGTTAGCATAGCGAGATGTCTTGCATCTCAGCGACTGATATCTTCTGCCAGAGGGAAGAAGCTGGAACATGGCTTTCCCAGGGTGGCCAGAAGAGTCATTGATGATTTTAAGAGCTTTGTTTAAAAGTCTGGATTTGTAAAGAACCTCCAGAACAGGAAGCTCACAGCCCACGGTCCTCTTTGCAGAGCGGAGCACCTTGTTTAAAGCTCTCTTTTCTTTATCTGTGATGTTTCCAAACCACACAGACACAGAACCAACAAGTAAACTCTCAATGGTGCAGCCATAAAAGTTAAGCACAATCTTAGAGTTAGTGGTAAATTCTCTAAGTTTACGCAGAAAGTAGAGACGCTGACGAGCTTTCTTAACGACTCAGTGTTTTTAACCCATTTCAGGTTAGACAGAGTTAAACCCAGAAACTTACACTCCTCTACGATCTGCACCTGGGAGTTGTCAATAACAACAGGAGTGTGAGAACTGCTATGACTGAAGTCAAAGACAAGTTCACATGTTTTTGCAGTGTTCAGCTGGAGATTGTTTACTTTACTCCACTGAAAAACATGAAAAACTCTCTCTCTGGTCTCTCTCTGGTCTCTCTCTGGTCTCTCTCTGGTCTCTCTCTCTGGTCTCTCTCTGGTCTCTCTCTGGTCTCTCTCTGGTCTCTCTCTCTGGTCTCTCTCTGGTCTCTCTCTCTGGTCTCTCTCTGGTCTCTCTCTGGTCTCTCTCTGGTCTCTCTCTGGTCTCTCTCTGGTCTCTCTCTCTGGTCTCTCTCTGGTCTGTCTCTGGTCTCTCTCTGGTCTCTCTCTGGTCTCTCTCTCTGGTCTCTCTCTGGTCTCTCTCTCTGGTCTCTCTCTCTGGTCTCTCTCTCTGGTCTCTCTCTGGTCTCTCTCTCTGGTCTCTCTCTGGTCTCTCTCTCTGGTCTCTCTCTGGTCTCTCTCTCTGGTCTCTCTCTCTGGTCTCTCTCTGGTCTCTCTCTCTGGTCTCTCTCTCTGGTCTCTCTCTGGTCTCTCTCTGGTCTCTCTCTCTGGTCTCTCTCTCTGGTCTCTCTCTCTGGTCTCTCTCTGGTCTCTCTCTGGTCTCTCTCTCTGGTCTCTCTCTCTGGTCTCTCTCTGGTCTCTCTCTGGTCTCTCTCTCTGGTCTCTCTCTCTGGTCTCTCTCTGGTCTCTCTCTGGTCTCTCTCTCTGGTCTCTCTCTCTGGTCTCTCTCTGGTCTCTCTCTGGTCTCTCTCTCTGGTCTCTCTCTCTGGTCTCTCTCTGGTCTCTCTCTGAGCTGGTCCAGCTTTATGGGGTTTTTTACCAGTTCAAACCTACAATGTAAATCAGGGCACATACAGTTCTAATCTTCATAAAAGTATCACATTACTCAATCAGGAAGAGATTCCCAGTACTTTATACATGTTTGAAATAATTTGAGAACAAATATATCGTCGTTTCTTTCATCCCTGTCACACAAATATACAGAACATTAAAAAGTTAATGTAACAGTATCCGTAGAGTAGTGTTTTCTGTTTGTGGGTCTTTACCTCCACCTGCTGGACAAACACTATCGATACAATCTCTGATCTCTCCCTGGTCTCTCTCTGGTCTCTCTCTGGTCTCTCTCTCTGGTCTCTCTCTCTGATCTCTCTCTCTGGTCTCTCTCTGGTCTCTCTCTGTGGTCTCTCTCTCTGGTCTCTCTCTGGTCTCTCTCTCTGATCTCCCTCTCTGGTCTCTCTCTGGTCTCTCTCTGGTCTCTCTCTCTGGTCTCTCTCTGGTCTCTCTCTGGTCTCTCTCTCTGGTCTCTCTCTCTGGTCTCTCTCTCTGATCTCTCTCTCTGGTCTCTCTCTGGTCTCTCTCTGGTCTCTCTCTGTGGTCTCTCTCTCTCTGGTCTCTCTCTCTGGTGTATGTGTGTTGGTTGTTTCAAATCCTCCAGAGATCAGAGTGTGGACTTGACCCTGTGCTGCTCTGATAAGCCCTGACCACACCCTGGAGCTACAGAAGGTCCACCCACCAAGAGGCTCCACAGAGAGAGAGACCAAAGAGAGAGACCAGAGAGAGAGAGACCACAGAGAGAGAGACCACAGAGAGAGAGACCACAGAGAGAGAGACCACAGAGAGAGAGACCACAGAGAGAGACCACAGAGAGAGACCACAGAGAGAGACCAGAGAGAGAGACCACAGAGAGAGGCCACAGAGAGAGACCACAGAGAGAGACCAGAGAGAGAGAGACCACAGAGAGAGAGAGACCACAGAGAGAGACCAGAGAGAGAGAGACCACAGAGAGAGAGAGACCACAGAGAGAGACCAGAGAGAGAGAGACCACAGAGAGAGAGAGACCACAGAGAGAGACCAGAGAGAGAGAGACCACAGAGAGAGAGAGACCACAGAGAGAGACCACAGAGAGAGAGACCACAGAGAGAGAGACCAGAGAGAGAGACCAGAGAGAGACCAGAGAGAGACCAGAGAGAGACCAGAGAGAGAGAGACAACAGAGAGAGAGACCACTCACCACTGTAAGAACAATGGTGAGTGAGAAACATGTGTTGTTTTCAGTCATGTTCATGGTAGTTGTGTGTCTTTGTGTGGGTCAGTTATGTTCATGATAATTGTGTGTCTTTGTGTGGGTCAGTTATGTTCGTGATAGTTGTGTGTCTCTGTGTGGGTCAGTTATGTTCATGATAGTTGTGTGTCTTTGTGTGGGCCAGTTATGTTCGTGATAGTTGTGTGTCTTTGTGTGGGTCAGTTATGTTCATGGTAGTTGTGTGTCTCTGTGTGGGTCAGTTATGTTCATGATAGTTGTGTGTCTTTGTGTGGGTCAGTTATGTTCATGATAGTTGTGTGTCTCTGTGTGGGTCAGTTATGTTCATGATAGCTGTGTGTCTTTGTGTGGGTCAGTTATGTTCATGATAGTTGTGTGCCTTTGTGTGGGTCAGTTATGTTCATGATAGTTGTGTGTCTTTGTGTGGGTCAGTTATGTTCATGATAGTTGTGTGTCTTTGTGTGGGTCAGTTATGTTCATGATAGTTGTGTGTCTTTGTGTGGGTCAGTTATGTTCATGATAGTTGTGTGTCTTTGTGTGGGTCAGTTACACAGAGCACGTGTTTTTAAGAGTTTATGATCAATACTAAGGACTATTGTTGAGCTGCTTCACACTTCTACACAACTCACTCTACGCTGTCTCTTTCTGGTCTCTCTCTGGTCTCTCTGGTCTCTCTCTGGTCTCTCTGGTCTCCTTTCTGGTCTCTCTCTTGTCTCCTTTCTGGTCTCTCTGGTGTCCTTTCTGGTCTCTCTGGTCTCCTTTCTGGTCTCTCTGGTCTCCTTTCTGGTCTCTCTCTGGTCTCCTTTCTGGTCTCTCTGGTCTCTCACTGGTCTCTCTGGCCTCTCTCTCTGGTCTCTCTGGTCTCCTTTCTGGTCTCTCTCTGGTCTCCTTTCTGGTCTCTCTGGTCTCCTTTCTGGTCTCTCTGGTCTCATTTCTGGTCTCACTCTGGTCTCCTTTCTGGTCTCTCTGGTCTCTCTCTGGTCTCTCTGGTCTCCTTTCTGGTCTCTCTCTGGTCTCCTTTCTGGTCTTTCTGGTCTCCTTTCTGGTCTCTCTGGTCTCTCTCTGGTCTCTCTGGTCTCCTTTCTGGTCTCTCTGGTGTCCTTTCTGGTCTCTCTGGTCTCCTTTCTGGTCTCTCTGGTCTCCTTTCTGGTCTCTCTCTGGTCTCCTTTCAGGTCTTTCTGGTCTCTCTCTGGTCTCTCTGGTCTCCTTTCTGGTCTCTCTCTGGTCTCCTTTCTGGTCTCTCTGGTCTCTCTCTGGTCTCTCTCTGGTCTCTCTCTGGTCTCTCTCTCTGGTCTCTCTGGTCTCCTTTCTGGTCTCTCTCTGGTCTCCTTTCTGGTCTCTCTGGTCTCCTTTCTGGTCTCTCTGGTCTCCTTTCTGGTCTCTCTCTGGTCTCCTTTCTGGTCTCTCTGGTCTCCTTTCTGGTCTCTCTGGTCTCCTTTCTAGTCTCTCTGGTCTCTCTGGTCTCCTTTCTGGCCTCTCTGGTCTCCTTTCTGGTCTCTCTGGTCTCCTTTCTGGTCTCTCTGGTCTCTCTCTGGTCTCTCTGGTCTCCTTTCTGGTCTCTCTGGTCTCCTTTCTGGTCTCTCTCTGGTCTCTCTCTGGTCTCTCTGGTCTCCTTTCTGGTCTCTCTGGTCTCCTTTCTGGTCTCTCTGGTCTCCTTTCTGGTCTCTCTGGTCTCCTTTCTGGTCTCTCTGGTCTTCTTTCTGGTCTCTCTCTGGTCTCCTTTCTGGTCTCTCTGGTCTCTCTCTGGTCTCTCTGGTCTCCTTTCTGGTCTCTCTGGTCTCCTTTCTGGTCTCTCTGGTCTCCTTTCTGGTCTCTCTCTGGTCTCCTTTCTGGTCTCTCTCTGGTCTCCTTTCAGGTCTTTCTGGTCTCTCTCTGGTCTCTCTGGTCTCCTTTCTGGTCTCTCTCTGGTCTCCTTTCTGGTCTCTCTGGTCTCTCTCTGGTCTCTCTCTGGTCTCTCTCTGGTCTCTCTCTCTGGTCTCTCTGGTCTCCTTTCTGGTCTCTCTCTGGTCTCCTTTCTGGTCTCTCTGGTCTCCTTTCTGGTCTCTCTGGTCTCCTTTCTGGTCTCTCTCTGGTCTCCTTTCTGGTCTCTCTGGTCTCCTTTCTGGTCTCTCTGGTCTCCTTTCTAGTCTCTCTGGTCTCTCTGGTCTCCTTTCTGGCCTCTCTGGTCTCCTTTCTGGTCTCTCTGGTCTCCTTTCTGGTCTCTCTGGTCTCTCTCTGGTCTCTCTGGTCTCCTTTCTGGTCTCTCTGGTCTCCTTTCTGGTCTCTCTCTGGTCTCTCTCTGGTCTCTCTGGTCTCCTTTCTGGTCTCTCTGGTCTCCTTTCTGGTCTCTCTGGTCTCCTTTCTGGTCTCTCTGGTCTCCTTTCTGGTCTCTCTGGTCTTCTTTCTGGTCTCTCTCTGGTCTCCTTTCTGGTCTCTCTGGTCTCTCTCTGGTCTCTCTGGTCTCCTTTCTGGTCTCTCTGGTCTCCTTTCTGGTCTCTCTGGTCTCCTTTCTGGTCTCTCTCTGGTCTCCTTTCTGGTCTCTCTGGTCTCCTTTCTGGTCTCTCTGGTCTCCTTTCTGGTCTCTCTCTGGTCTCCTTTCTGGTCTCTCTGGTCTCTCTCTGGTCTCTCTGGTCTCCTTTCTGGTCTCTCTGGTCTCCTTTCTGGTCTCTCTCTGGTCTCCTTTCTGGTCTCTCTGGTCTCCTTTCTGGTCTCTCTGGTCTCATTTCTGGTCTCTCTGGTCTCATTTCTGGTCTCTCTGGTCTCTGGTTTAACTGTATCCACATGGTTAGTGGCAGACAAATTTAATTTTGCTCTAATCGCATTAAATTTCAGATATGTACCACAATTAAAGAATATTGTCCAGTGTGTGTGTGTGTGTCAGTGTGTGTGTATGTATGTGTCAGTGTGTGTGTGTGTGTGTCAGTGTGTGTATGTGTGTGTCAGTGTGTGTGTGTGTCAGTGTGTGTGTGTGTCAGTGTGTGTGTGTATGTGTCAGTGTGTGTGTGTTTGTGTGTGTGTGTGTGTGTGTCAGTGTGTGTATGTATCAGTGTGTGTGTCTCAGTATGTGTATGTTTCAGTGTGTGTGTCTCAGTATGTGTATGTGGCAGTATGTGTGTGTATCAGTATGTGTATGTGTCAGTGTGTGTGTGTCTCAGTATGTGTATGTGTCAGTGTGTGTGTGTGTCTCAGTATGTGTATGTGGCAGTATGTGTGTGTATCAGTATGTGTATGTGGCAGTGTGTGTGTGTCTCAGTATGTGTATGTGGCAGTGTGTGTGTGTCTCAGTATGTGTGTGTGTCAGTGTGTGTGTGTGTGTGTCTCAGTATGTGTATGTGTCAGTGTGTGTGTGTGTGTACGTGTCAGTGTGTGTGTGTGTGTATGTGTCAGTGTGTGTCAGTGTGTGTGTGTGTGTGTCTGAATCTATCTTTGTAGTAATAATAATAGTTTAGATCTGTCTGGTCCAGTGTGACTCACTATGACCAAACACTCATCACATTTATATTCTCATGAAGGTGTTTAGAAAAGGTATCTTTGGAATCTCTCTCTGGTCCCTCTCTGGTCTCTCTCTGGTCTCTCTCTGGTCTCTCTCTCTGGTCCCACTCTGGTCTCTCTCTGGTCTCTCTCTGGTCTCTCTCTCTGGTCTCTCTCTGGTCTCTCTCTCTGGTCTCTCTCTGGTCTCTCTCTGGTCTCTCTCTGGTCTCTCTCTGGTCTCTCTCTCTGGTCTCTCTCTGGTCTCTCTCTGGTCTCTCTCTCTGGTCTCTCTCTGGTCTCTCTCTCTGGTCTCTCTCTGGTCTCTCTCTGGTCTCTCTCTGGTCTCTCTCTGGTCTCTCTCTCTGATCTCTCTCTGGTCTCTCTCTGGTCTCTCTCTCTGGTCTCTCTCTCTGGTCTCTCTCTGGTCTCTCTCTGGTCTCTCTCTCTGGTCTCTCTCTCTGGTCTCTCTCTGGTCTCTCTCTCTGGTCTCTCTCTGGTCTCTCTCTGGTCTCTCTCTGGTCTCTCTCTGGTCTCTCTCTCTGGTCTCTCTCTGGTCTCTCTCTCCGGTCTCTCTCTGGTCTCTCTCTGGTCTCTCTCTGGTCTCTCTCTGGTCTCTCTCTGGTCTCTCTCTCTGGTCTCTCTCTGGTCTCTCTCTCTGGTCTCTCTCTGGTCTCTCTCTCTGGACTCTCTCTGGTCTCTCTCTGGTCTCTCTCTGGTCTCTCTCTGGTCTCTCTCTGGTCTCTCTCTGGTCTCTCTCTCTGGTCTCTCTCTGGTCTCTCTCTGGTCTCTCTCTGGTCTCTCTCTGGTCTCTCTCTGGTCTCTCTCTCTGGTCTCTCTCTGGTCTCTCTCTCTGGTCTCTCTCTCTGGTCTCTCTCTGGTCTCTCTCTGGTCTCTCTCTGGTCTCTCTCTGGTCTCTCTCTGGTCTCTCTCTCTGGTCTCTCTCTGGTCTCTCTCTGGTCTCTCTCTGGTCTCTCTCTCTGGTCTCTCTCTGGTCTCTCTCTCTGGGTCTCTCTCTCTGGTCTCTCCCTCTGGTCTCTCTCTGGTCTCTCTCTCTGGTCTCTCTCTCTGGTCTCTCTCTGGTCTCTCTCTGGTCTCTCTCTGGTCTCTCTCTGGTCTCTCTCTGGTCTCTCTCTGGTCTCTCTCTGGTCTCTCTCTGGTCTCTCTCTCTGGTCTCTCTCTGGTCTCTCTCTGGTCTCTCTCTGGTCTCTCTCTCTGGTCTCTCTCTGGTCTCTCTCTCTGGTCTCTCCCTCTGGTCTCTCTCTGGTCTCTCTCTGGTCTCTCTCTGGTCTCTCTCTGGTCTCTCTCTGGTCTCTCTCTGGTCTCTCTCTGGTCTCTCTCTGGTCTCTCTCTCTGGTCTCTCTCCCTGGTCTCTCTCTGGTCTCTCTCTGGTCTCTCTCTGGTCTCTCTCTGGTCTCTCTCTGGTCTCTCTCTCTGGTCTCTCTCTGGTCTCTCTCTCTGGTCTCTCTCTGGTCTCTCTCTCTGGTCTCTCTCTGGTCTCTCTCTGGTCTCTCTCTGGTCTCTCTCTGGTCTCTCTCTCTGGTCTCTCTCTGGTCTCTCTCTCTGGTCTCTCTCTGGTCTCTCTCTCTGGTCTCTCTCTGGTCTCTCTCTCTGGTCTCTCTCTGGTCTCTCTCTGGTCTCTCTCTGGTCTCTCTCTGGTCTCTCTCTGGTCTCTCTCTCTGGTCTCTCTCTGGTCTCTCTCTCTGGTCTCTCTCTGGTCTCTCTCTCTGGTCTCTCTCTGGTCTCTCTCTCTGGTCTCTCTCTCTGGTCTCTCTCTGGTCTCTCTCTGGTCTCTCTGGTCTCTCTCTGGTCTCTCTCTGGTCTCTCTCTGGTCTCTCTCTCTGGTCTCTCTCTCTGGTCTCTCTCTGGTCTCTCTCTCTGGTCTCTCTCTCTGGTCTCTCTCTGGTCTCTCTCTGGTCTCTCTCTCTGGTCTCTCTCTCTGGTCTCTCTCTCTGGTCTCTCTCTGGTCTCTCTCTCTGGTCTCTCTCTGGTCTCTCTGGTCTCTCTCTGGTCTCTCTCTGGTCTCTCTCTCTGGTCTCTCTCTGGTCTCTCTCTGGTCTCTCTGGTCTCTCTCTGGTCTCTCTCTGGTCTCTCTCTGGTCTCTCTCTGGTCTCTCTGGTCTCTCTCTGGTCTCTCTCTGGTCTCTCTCTGGTCTCTCTCTGGTCTCTCTCTCTGGTCTCTCTCTGGTCTCTCTGGCCTCTCTCTGGTCTCTCTCTGGTCTCTCTCTCTGGTCTCTCTCTGGTCTCTCTCTGGTCTCTCTCTGGTCTCTCTCTGGTCTCTCTCTGGTCTCTCTCTGGTCTCTCTCTGGTCTCTCTCTCTGGTCTCTCTCTGGTCTCTCTCTCTGGTCTCTCTCTCTGGTCTCTCTCTGGTCTCTCTCTCTGGTCTCTCTCTCTGGTCTCTCTCTCTGGTCTCTCTCTCTGGTCTCTCTCTCTGGTCTCTCTCTGGTCTCTCTCTGGTCTCTCTCTCTGGTCTCTCTCTCTGGTCTCTCTCTCTGGTCTCTCTCTGGTCTCTCTCTGGTCTCTCTCTCTGGTCTCTCTCTGGTCTCTCTGGTCTCTCTCTGGTCTCTCTCTGGTCTCTCTCTGGTCTCTCTCTGGTCTCTCTCTGGTCTCTCTCTCTGGTCTCTCTCTGGTCTCTCTCTCTGGTCTCTCTCTGGTCTCTCTCTGGTCTCTCTCTCTGGTCTCTCTCTGGTCTCTCTCTCTGGTCTCTCTCTGGTCTCTCTGGTCTCTCTCTGGTCTCTCTCTGGTCTCTCTCTGGTCTCTCTCTGGTCTCTCTCTGGTCTCTCTCTCTGGTCTCTCTCTCTGGTCTCTCTCTGGGTCTCTCTCTCTGGTCTCTCTCTCTGGTCTCTCTCTCTGGTCTCTCTCTCTGGTCTCTCTCTGGTCTCTCTCTGGTCTCTCTCTCTGGTCTCTCTCTCTGGTCTCTCTCTCTGGTCTCTCTCTGGTCTCTCTCTGGTCTCTCTCTCTGGTCTCTCTCTGGTCTCTCTGGTCTCTCTCTGGTCTCTCTCTGGTCTCTCTCTGGTCTCTCTCTGGTCTCTCTCTGGTCTCTCTCTCTGGTCTCTCTCTGGTCTCTCTCTCTGGTCTCTCTCTGGTCTCTCTCTGGTCTCTCTCTCTGGTCTCTCTCTGGTCTCTCTCTGGTCTCTCTCTCTGGTCTCTCTCTGGTCTCTCTCTCTGGTCTCTCTCTGGTCTCTCTCTCTGGTCTCTCTCTGGTCTCTCTCTGGTCTCTCTGGTCTCCTCTCTGGTCTCTCTCTGGTCTCTCTCTCTGGTCTCTCTCTAGTCTCTCTCTGGTCTCTCTCTGGTCTCTCTGGTCTCTCTCTGGTCTCTCTCTGGTCTCTCTCTGGTAACACTGCTCTTCCATCCCTCAGATGTGTCCATGGTGGGGCCCTTGCCTCCTGCTCCTGTCCCTGGGGGCCCCGGTGAGGCCCTATCCTAACGGCAGAGTGAGTAAATCCTGCAGCAGCATGGAGCCCAACCACCACAGCCCGGGTCAGAGGGGCCCCGCTCCCTATGCCCTCCAGACCAACACCTCCAGCTACAGCCCTGGGGACCGTGTAGAAGGTACCAGGAACCATCAGAGGAACCATGTGTGGAACCAGACTGTGACCTGTGAACTTTGATCCCGCAGTGACCCTGTCCGGCCCAGGCTTCAAGGGCTTCCTCCTCCAGGCCCGCGATCCTGATGGGGACCCCTCTACTGTGGGCACTTTCTCCCTCACAGACCCCCACGCCACACAGCTGCTCACCTGCCACAAGCACCAGGTACTACAGCCTCAGTCCTGGGTCTACAGCCTCAGTCCTGGGTCTACAGCCTCAGTCCTGGGTCTACAGCCTCAGTCCTGGGTCTACAGCCTCAGGCCTGGGTCTACAGCCTCAGTCCTGGGTCTACAGCCTCAGTCCTGGGTCTACAGCCTCAGTCCTGGGTCTACAGCCTCAGTCCTGGATCTACAGCCTCAGTCCTGGGTCTACAGCCTCAGTCCTGGGTCTACAGCCTCAGTCCTGGGTCTACAGCCTCAGTCCTGGGTCTACAGCCTCAGTCCTGGGCCTACAGCCTCAGTCCTGGGTCTACAGCCTCAGTCCTGGGTCTACAGCCTCAGTCCTGGGTCTACAGCCTCAGTCCTGGGTCTACAGCCTCAGTCCTGGGTCTACAGCCTCAGTCCTGGGTCTACAGCCTCAGTCCTGGGTCTACAGCCTCAGTCCTGGGTCTACAGCCTCAGTCCTGGGTCTACAGCCTCAGTCCTGGATCTACAGCCTCAGTCCTGGGTCTACAGCCTCAGTCCTGGGTCTACAGCCTCAGTCCTGGGTCTACAGCCTCAGTCCTGGGTCTACAGCCTCAGTCCTGGGTCTACAGCCTCAGTCCTGGGTCTACAGCCTCAGTCCTGGGTCTACAGCCTCAGTCCTGGATCTACAGCCTCAGTCCTGGGTCTACAGCCTCAGTCCTGGGTCTACAGCCTCAGTCCTGGGTCTACGGCCTCAGTCCTGGGTCTACAGCCTCAGTCCTGGGTCTACAGCCTCAGTCCTGGGTCTACAGCCTCAGTCCTGGGTCTACGGCCTCAGTCCTGGGTCTACAGCCTCAGTCCTGGGTCTACAGCCTCAGTCCTGGGTCTACGGCCTCAGTCCTGGGTCTACAGCCTCAGTCCTGGGTCTACA